TTGCCGTGTTCGCGATACCTGAAACTTCAAAACGCCAGCCGAGGCCATGTTGAGAGTCCTCTTTCCGAATTCAAGTCCCTTCACTTGTCATATTGTCAGGGCGGTACCAGGACCCATCCATACGCCACCAGAGTGATCTGGTCAAGTATTGGGGGCGCCTTGGAGGCCGTTCGGATTGTCTCACTCCGATCGTAGACATGTAATGAACGACAGACGCTCGACTGCGAGTCTCGCTGACCGCGAAAAGTGAACAGGACAGAGCGTCGCAGTTGCACATCGACGGGTTGAAGGAGAACTGTGACTAGAAGGGGCTGAAGCCGATTTCGGGTCTTCAACAAGAAATCATGGACCTTGCGGCTGACTTCAGCCCCCATAGATGCTAACTTCAACTAGCTAGCGCGGAGTTAAGAGTTACGCACCCCACCTCTCGTAATCTTATCAGATCATCTTCTACGGCACCAAAGTTGGTCCGACGGAAATATCTGGTGGTCGAAAGTCATCCTGAGGGACAAGGCGCAGTGGGCCACCTCTGCAATACCTCGTCTACTACGCACCCTGTCAAGTTTCTATGTATCGGAAAGATGGGTCGGAGCCGAGCCAAGACCGCTCTCGGGAACAATCAGTGCGCCCTGGTTGAGGCCACGCCGGCATGCGCATACGCGAATAGTAGTTCTCTCATATATAAAGAGTGCTACCAGTCCCGTTGTTTTTCCAAGTCATTTAAAGCTACGCAAAGCCTTCGTGGTTACAATTCCACTTATACTTGACGTTACCTTCATACGATCTGAGAGCACCATGGAACTCTCATCGACATGGCTTTATGCCATCACGTATACGGGGTCCGTAATCATTTTATGCTATTTCTTTGACGAAACGTGTAATCCGGCTAATATGGGCATTTATGCAGGGCCTACCTGATTCTCTTTACTGTAGCAATGACGCAGCACGTTGTTACAGCCATGACTCCGTACATCACGAGCGGTTTCTCCTCCCATTCACTGATCCCAGTCACCTCCCAGATGGCTTTCATTATACTCGGGCTCGTCTCACTGGCTCTTTCTCGACTTATAGACCTATGGGGGATGGCGGAAGGTTTCGGTCTCACGGTTGTAGTGACTGTTTTGGGTAACGTACCAGACGAGACCATCGCATCACTTGTAGCGGACGCATCGAGCTAATGGAGTTTCTCAGGGCTACTACTCATGATGTTTTGTCAAAATGTGGCCATGTACACAGCCGCGGTAGTAAGAAATGCCTCCCACTCCCCGTGCAGTCACGATTGGCTTTTAACGTTGCAATTTCTTCGCAAAAGGTCGTCTATGAGATTGGTTATGGCGGCATCCTCTATACCCTCCTTGTTTTTGTGACAGACCAAGCACAACCTAAATATCGTCCGATGGCAATAGCACTGACAAAGGTCCCATATATTGCAAGTACGTTTGCAGGCCCAAGGGCCGCGCAAGCGTTCTATGCCCGCGGGCTTACAAAGTTGGCCTTTGGCTCCTTCCTCGCCATTCTGCCTACCATCGCAGGACCCGTCTTTTGCATTCTCTTATGCCAACAACGGAAGGCCATGGCGACATCGTCACCTTTGGAGGCTCGAGACCCTCGGGGACGAAGCAACATCTTCCGCGCATCAGCACGATACCTACGAGACTTTGACGGCGAGTTATCAATCCAAGCAGTGCGCATTCTATAGACAAGCTAACCTCTGTGAAAAGTGATCGGCATTGTCCTGGCGTGTGTTGGCGTGACGATATTCCTCCTCCCATTCAACCTTGCCGCTACAGGGCTGCACGGATGGAAAAGTGCATCGACAATCTCTATGATTACGCTGGGACTCGTGCTCTTGGTTCTATTGGTGCTATACGAGTGCTACATCGCGCCGCAAAAATTCCTTCCTTTTGAGCTACTCCGAGACCGCGTCGTGTGGGGTGCGTGTCTAAGCGTCTTTGGCGTTCAAATCACTCTGTTGTCAGTGTTCGAATAAACGCACGACGTGCTGGGAAACTGACCGATCAAAAGCTGTTGGTTCTCGTATTTTACGTCCCAGCTCCAAGTCGTTCACAACATGACTATTGGTGAGGCCGGCTACCTAGCCAACACGAACTACGTTGGCACCGGAGTGGCGGCAATCCTCACCGGCATGTACGTGTCTTCCCCCCCTTTTCATATACTTCGAAGCCTATGCTGACCAAGAGTGTGCTACCTTCAAGTGCTATGCAACATCTCGGTCGGGCAAGGACAACTAGTCTGTCAGCCTTGGCAATCTATACTCTCAGCACAGGCATGATGATCCAGTTCACGTCGTCGAGCTCGGAGTCGGCTCTCAACGGCATCATTGCATGCCAAGTATTGATCTCCCTCTCAAGTGGCATTCACGCGGTGAGTGCGTACATTGGCGTACTCGACGGAGCTTCTCCATCCACACTCTCGATGCGGCTCGCGCTCGCCTACCTGTCTAGCATGATTGGTGCCTCCATCGCCCTCGCTATCTCGGGAGTAATCTGGACCAATGTATTTCCGGCACGCCTGGCGTCGAACCTTGCTGATATGGGCTTGTCTCCCGAGGAAGAAACGCGAATTTACAGTTCGCTGATCGTCCAGCTATCCTACGGCCCTGGTACGCCTATTCGAAACGCCATAATCCGCTCATACGGAGAGGTTTTTAGGACTATTATGACTGCTGCCACTGCGTTGTCTGTGGTCTCCTGGGTTGGGGCCATAATGATGCGTGATATAACCGCCAGCGAGCGGGATGCGAAGGAACGAGGGCCAGTGTCCATGCATGAAAGGGAGTCAACACTTTCCCCTGGGACACGCAGCGAGGTGGTCAAACCAGCGGAGAAATAGAAGTGGTGCAGTCCAGTAGCTACCACAAATACAAGAAGTGCACGTATCCGGTAGCCGTGGTCCCGCCTACCATTCGGGCATTCTGATGACCCTCTTGTCTCGCTGTTCCAATCGTTTCAATGTTGTGAGGAGAGACCGTGGGAGTTTCTGCCGTGACGCTTCGTCTTGCAAAATCCCATTCGGTCGAGTTTGCCGATCAGCATGGATTGCTCTCAGATATGTGACGAATAGCAGTCGTGCGGTTGTGGGTTGCTAGTGAGTCAAGCCCTTGGATCATAGAGCCACTCGGGATTGCTTATGTACATCGAACTTCCATAAAGCCTCGGTGCAGGAACAGATAGCTACTGGCGAAGCCTTCGTTTCCAACTTATTGCAAACTTGCTCCGCACGCAATCTGGTTGCCAGTTGATCGTGGCAATCTCCGATGTGGCGTTGTGGGTGGCGCCAGCGCTCACTAGTATGTACTGCGGGCAACATGCCCAGCTAGGCGCGTCATGGACTTGCGTGGATTGTTGGTTTTAGCCAGTAGGACCCCCGCTCAAGAGAAGTCGCGATGCACGCCAAACGTCGCTCGCGCATCTTGGAAATGCCGATATCCGTCTGCTTCGGATATAGCCGCATCTATGTCCGGCGACGGCGCCCCGCCGCTCGAGCATGTATAGAATCTATAGATAGAGCAGTGTTGCTGCGCGCGCTGCGTCCATTGAAGCCGCTATGCTGCCTCGTAGACAGCAACGGTTAGCGCCTTCATCGATCACTCGTCATCATCATGGCTGAAAGGGAAATCGTCTTCATCACCGGCGCGAACCAGGGCATTGGCCTCGAGACCGTCAAGGCCCTGCTCCAGTCCGACAAGCCGTACTGTATCTTCCTAGGCAGCCGCTCGCGGAGCAACGCTGACGGCGCGATGGCCGACTTGAAGGACCTGCTTGCGGAGACGAAGAGCACGGTAGAGCCGGTGCAGATTGACGTGACCGACGATGACTCCATCAACGCTGCCGCGCAGCTCGTCGAGTCGAGGGTCGGCAAGGTCGATGTTCTCATCAACAACGCCGGTTCGTGTTCTCCTTGGCCGCCCTTTCCAACACTTCGACTAACCCGGTCTACCAGGCGCGGCCTTTGACACGGGATTCGTGGCCGACGCGTCCAACTTTCGCGCCGTCTTCAACAAGGCCTGGGACGTCAACGTCTCGGGTGCGCAGGTCACCACCACGGTGTTTGCGCCGCTACTGATCCGCTCCTCGGCCCCACGCCTGCTCTTCCTCACATCCGGGCTGTCGACGTTGAACGGAGCATTCGACTCCTTCATGCCCCCGTGGGCGCCCAAGCCGGTGAGTGGCTGGCCCAAGACGGGTCTCATGGGCCACCAGGGGTACAAGTCGGCCAAGGCCGGACTGAACATGCTCATGCTCACCTGGCACTGGATCCTCCACGGCGACGGCGTCAAGACGTGGTGCATCAGCCCGGGGTTCCTGGCCACGAACCTCGGAGGACGGGGGGCGGACGTACTCAAGGCCGCGGGCGCGGGGGACCCGGCGACGGGCGGCGACCTGATTCGAAAAGTGGTGGAAGGGGAGCGGGACGCGGATGTAGGCAAGGTCGTGACGCAAGACGGGGTCCAGCCGTGGTGAGACGGAGAAGAGGGCACAGAAGAGGGCACTCAACACGAAGGGTTGGCACCAGTGAGAAGGTATCCGTCCCGGTGCATGTTTTCCTCATCCGTGAACACAAGATCCCGCCATCTCCGTTGGCCTTTCCCTTCTCACCATCGCCATTCCCGTTGTCGCTGGATCATGGGTAAATCACAGGCCCATCGTAGATGGAGGAAATGATGGCATAGAGCTCGCCAATGCCCGACAATCTGCATCGATTGAACCTTCCGCGAAAGCCGTAAGTATGTCATGTGCAGCACTTACGGAGCACTGGCAGTACATGATTCGCAACAGGACGTTGGTCTTTGCTGACTAGAGTGGCTGGGGCAGCCCGATGGACTCGGAGACTTCTCACATTCCCTAGCGCTGAATGCTGCATTAGACCCACGTCACAGGGCTTGGGAACAACGCACTTCGGCATGTCCATTCAATCCAAGTCGAAGGAGCCATTTTTCTCTTCCCACGCACGCTTCTGAAGCTTGGCCCTGGCTCGCAATGGCTTTTGTGGTGTCTTCCATTTTTGCGATCCTCGACATCGTCGTGACTTTGGTGGCCACTCTCGCCACGCATGTGACGGAGTTTGCGACGAGGAGCGTCACAGCACGCGCCGCACCTATAGTTGACGACGCGACGCTTTCAACATGCCGCCACCGTCTTGACAGCACGGAGCCTCTGACCCTGACGCTCCCCGACGCTCGCGTGCTCAGCTACGCCCTGTTCGGGTCGACAAATCCGGCAGCCAAAACCGTCTTCTTCCTCCACGGCTGGCCAGGCTCTCGCATTGAAGCCACATATCTCCATGAGGCAGCCAAGGCCAACAACCTCCGCGTCGTCGCCGCAGATCGGCCTGGGATAGGGAAATCGACCGCGGACCCAAACCGGACGCTGCTGTCTCACGCCGGCGACATCCGACAACTCGCACAGCATCTCCACGCGGACGAATATGGCATCCTTGGCGTCTCGGGAGGCGGCCCGTATGCCCTGGCCTGTGCCAGAGCGCTACCCGCCGATAAGCTCAAAGTCGTCGCAATCGTCTGCGGCCTGGGCCCGGCGGATATCGGCTACTGGGGCATGTACATCATGAACTACCTGGGCTGGACATATGCATCGCGCTACACGCCGCGCTTTCTCGGCTGGTGGTTCAACCGCGAAGCAACGGCGAGGCTGGATCGCAGTAGAAAGGAGCGCATGGACATGTTGATCAAGAGCTTCGAAAACGCACAGGCGACCCTACCGCCAAAAGACGCTCGTATTTTTGGCGATGCGGACGTGATGAAGGTGCAGATCCGGACCGGAGAGGAGGTGCATGCGCAAGGCACGCAATTCTGGCTGCAGGACATGAAGCTGCTTGCATCGGACCCGGGATTCGACGTGGCAGACATTCGCAGCGATTTGACGGTGCAGCTTCTCTATGGCAATGCAGACCGGAACGTGCCGCTCAAACATGGCAACGAGATTGCGAGGAGACTGGTAAGTCGCAGAGGCGAGACTGACGAGCGCGTGTCCATGAAGGTGAAGGAGAATGAGACGCATGCAAGCATATTCTTCGACTACAGAGACGACTTTCTACGAGATATGGCAGCAGTCATGTAGATCTTTTGCCTCGACGGCGATAACACGCTGTACGTTCGCCCCTAGAGGAGGGAGATCTCCAATGCATGACCAGCAAGCCATATAGATACAGATCAGGGTCGTCACTCAGTCCGAATCTTTGCGTCAATAGCAGCGCGTGGGTCGCAAAATGCAAATCGCTGAGTAGATCTTCAATGTTATATGCAGATTCATCATCGGGGGGCTGCGCCATCCAATTACATGTGTCGACAGGCACTGTAACTGCCTCGTACCCCTTTGTAGCGTGAGCATTGAACCGTAACCGAAAGTGGGTTTCTTTACGCCGTTGACATCTCGAGACCTTGTTGAACCGCTGGTCACTAATGTAGAGCTTGAAGTCAATGACTCTCTGTTTACTCTAGCGTTTCCCTGTTATTAATCCACCACCTCCTTTCTTATCGAAGGGACAGACCGCGGCAGTGACTCCCTAGGCCTGTCATATCCACTGTAACGCCGCGGATTAATAACGTAAAGGAATCATAAGATCGCGAATATACTTACAAGATTATGTCCATATCATTCAAGGTGCGTCCTTTGGTCTCTGGTAGGAAAATAAACGCCCAGATTGACGCCACAATCATCGAGGAAGCGAAAAAGAACCAAGTGCCATAGCCAAGCGCGTTGAAGAGGTACGGTAGGGCTTTCGTAATTGCAAATTGAGCCAACCTGTATACAGTCAGTCGCCGGGGGGAAATGAACATCTAAGCTACGTAACCATTGTATCATCGCAGCCCAAGTCCCTGTTAAGTTTCGCAGGACACCAGGGAATATCTCGGCTGACACGATCCACGGAATGCCATTGAGGCCAAATGACCAACTGAAACGCAAAATCATCTTTTAGCAGCAAATGATAACAGAGGACCTGAATAAGACGTACAAGGTTGAGTATACCATGATCATGGCCGTTGCGGCCTGGCCGCCTGCCGCGGTAGAGGGTGACAAAGGCTTGCCAGCTTTGATGACATCGGCAGGATGTCCAACTTTGACGTAAGCCCCAACAAACCAGAGACAAAGTGAGCAAGCGACCGATGAGACGATAGTCGGCAGGCGCCGCCCCAGCTTATCTATAAGCAGCCCGTAAAATATTATTGAAGCCACGGCTGGATGCTTATCAGCATCTAGACGCAGTTTCATCTGCACGAAACGTACCCTTGACTAAGCCGTACACACCCGTATAGAGGGAGACATCGCTGATGCCCAGAGATGCAAACAGTGTCGGCGAGTAGTAATTGATGGCTGCGGCTCCGGACATATTCTGCAAAAGAAAAGCGCAAAATACGAGCAGCACCCGATTCCACATACCTCGGCGGGATAGTTCGAACAATGCTCCCTTTGCAAAGGCCATCGAACCTTGACCGTACTTCCGTGCGAGATCTGCTTCTTCCGATAGTCTGACGCGCATCATGTCTAGGTCTTCCCCAACATCTACATATTGTCAGCATGTCGACAGTTGGAAAGGGTATCTGGGCACTGACATGGGTGATCCCGAGGCAGTCTCCTCAAATGCTCTAAGACCCGCGTTGCTTCTTCTTCCCGGTCATTCCGCATCAGCCACAGGGGGCTTTCGTGGAGAAAGAATCCCCCGACAAAGAGGATGCCGGCGGGAATGAACTGAACTGCCATGGGCAACCTCCAGCTGGTCGAAGAGTTAGGATTCATGTGCTGATTGATGCCATAGTTGATCCAAAATCCGACAAGGGTGCCAATCTGATAAGCAACTTCAAACAGTCCGGTAAGAATCCCTCTGATGGACACGATGGATAGCTCCGCGATGTAGCTTGGGACGGTGGCAGTAATGGCACCACAAGCTACGCCAGTGAGAGCGCGGCCAGAATCTTTTCTAAGTCAACCTTTGAACATATTCCACGTAGTGTGGCACGCACATATGTATGACAGCTGCGTTGTCGCCGCTACCATGAGAGCTGCTCCAATGAGGAAGAGGACCACACTGTACTGTAGTGCCCGTTTCCTGCCGACCTTCTCAGTGACTTGGTAAGTGTCAGTAACAGAGAAGCAACGGGCGCCGCTGATAACGCTAGCTGATGCCAGGTCGCCGATTGCGCTCACCAAAGAAGCAAAGAATCGCGCCGAAAAAGGCTCCAGCTTGAAAAGCCGACGTAATGTTGCTCGAGATGTCGGCGGCCTGCTCCTTACGAACGCCGAATGACTCTACGAAGCTTTTCCGAGCAATCGTCGTTCCGATAAAGGCGGAATCGTAGCCAAATCTACAAGTATATCAGATTGGCTGGTCGCTAGTCCCGGCGCGCTTCGTGGACCTACAAGATCGATCCAGTTGCAATGATAATGGCTTCATTATATAGTCGCCAGTTGTATACCTCCTTTGGTGTCGGTCGATCCTCAACAGCATGAAACAAACCCATAACTGCGATATTTCTAGCCGTGCAGCTCGACGAAGTAAGCTCATCGTTGAGATTCAAGAGTGCAGTGGCCGTGATGCTGCGTTTTATCGTGTTGCCAGGCTAAAGTTTACCTGGTTGGTACTTCGTGTTAGTTGGTAGTACTACCGTAGACGAGCAGGGATGATGAATAAGTACGATCCTGGGGCAAAAGTGGAGAGTCAGGACAAGGGAGTGGCCTTGCACGTCGCACGACAGGTTTGGAGCGAAACATTGGTAATAACTCCGTACACATTACTGTATAGTCCGCGTTGAACCCAGCTCTGACACCAGACTTCGACTACATGCGCTTCAAATATTTTAACGAAGACAACTTATTCGCAATGGCACCTTGCCTGGCACATAATTGGCCCCCTTTAATCACAACTTCGACGGCTTGAGGGAGCCTGGAAGGGACGAACAGCCAACCAACACTCGGGGACGTGGCACCAACCAAATCCCTGACCGACAAGCGAGCTATAAGTATGGTGGCGACACGCTGAATGCCTCATAACGGAACCCCTAAGTGGTAACCCGCCTACCCTTGCTCCTCTGAGTCTCGGCTAGTGACTGGAATCGGCAAACCGAGCAAAGAACTCGCCCTTGCAAAGTTATTATTAATATGCCTGATCTTCTCACCGCCTATTGCGTGTCCCATTTTTGAGTGCTTTCAAGCGTCGTGTCCCTTGATCTCTGAAATCCCACCGTCTCTCCGGCGCAGCAAGTCGGTCGTCATCGCTCGATTCACGTACGCCTGCCTCAACATCTTCAGCAAAATCATCGCCTCGTATCAAGTCAACCCGTCTGCTTAGGGTTGGGGGGCCCGCGCAGGATTCTTCTTGGGTGGACTTGCACTTTAGGCTGACCCTTCACCTACTTCTTCATTCCTGAGCCCAAAAACCGGACGACGGCCGGATTAGACCTTCTCTTCGAGCGCGATGTACCCGGGAGGAGATTTTCCGAGTCTGAAGTGAACATCACAAAGGTGACGGGAAAGGCTGCCGCAACTTGATAGTTCATGCAAGCTGTATCGTCTATAGATTCGCATACTTCGCAGACTCTGGTCAACTTGCACATACAACGTTTTTGCTCGGTCGCCGTATTGGATTGCAGATCAAGGTGGCAAAATGTGCAAGTTAGCTGTCCTGTCGGTGCGAATCAAAGTGAATAAGCAGTATTCTAGTGTAGTCTAATCTGTAAACTCTACCATGTCACTTCCAAGAACTTTCTACTCCCTTTAACTCTAGCTCAGATAGAGTTGGGCTGCTGATTAGCCTGCCCAACCGTAGCATCAACACAGACATTGCCGTTCTTCGGAGCGGTGAGATCAGTTCCCTGGCAGCACCACCCATTGATTGCGCAGCTGAAGACGCCATCTTGACCAGCACAGTTGGCCCCGCTGGCAGGATAACACGTCTTTGGCGTAACACAGACGTCATCGGCGGATGTCTGAGCTGCGTAGTCGCTCTTTGCGGCGATGGTCCCAGGGGGGCAAGACGCGGTACCGTCTCGTGCCTTGATGGCGGCGTTGGAAGGGGGAGGCTCTTGGTTTGCCTGGCCAACGGTCGGGTTGACGCAAACATTGCCATTCTTCGCGGAGGTGAGATCGGTGCCCTGGCAGCACCAGCCATCGGCGGCGCATCCAAAGGTGCCGTCGAAGCCAGCGCAGTTTCCCCTCGGATCGTAGTAGCAAGTGCCAGGCACGACGCAAACGTTGTCAGGGGTCGTTTGGACGCCGTAGTTGCTCAAGGCAGGGACGGTGCCTGGCGGGCAAGAAGGAGCCGGGGCAGCGCTGGCAGTAAGAGCCAGGGCGGCAGAGGCGACAAGAGCGGACTTGATGATGAAGTTCATTTTGGCTGGGTTGATGATACGGTCGAATAATTGTAGGGCTGTAGATGTCTGTGGAGGTATTGTAGCTTGGTGATGCTGAATTGATTGATGATCTGGGTCTGGCCGAGGACGGGGAATGACTGCATTCTTATACTTGATCCGGCCTGCAACAAAGGCGCTGGCAAGATGAAGGCGTTGACGTCTCTGCATGTGCGCCTGAGGGCACGAACATCGTGAAGCTGGGTGTGTCGTGTAAGTTGCGGCTGACGCCCCCTTTGGCGGTGGATGTGGTGCTGTGGCGTAGACGTCCAGATAGTAATCGCCATATTTAGTATCGCCATTTTACGGAGTGGCCGATTTTCGGGCCTTGGTGTCAAGATACACCGAGACCTCCGGATCAACGACAACCGAATGTGCCACACCAGCCGGTGGGCCAGGCCATATCGGAAAGTGTACCAAACCAAGTGTGAATGCTTCCAGAGGCTCTGGGCCGGGGTACCCGATTGCGTCAGTGAAGGACTAACGGCCTATGTGACTAAGACGGGCCGCTCCGGTCCATCGGTCTGGGTTCGTCGCGGCCCCCGGTCTGACGGAACATGTATGGGTTCCTGAGGCTTTACCTCCCTTTGTCTGTCCAGGGGAGACAATCGGATGCTAACCTTCAATCGCATCGTTGAAACGGACTCATCGTGTCGTGGAAAGGGAAAGTCGGTGGCAAAACGGCGCAGTCACGTACATATGAGCTACAGCCACAATGCACCTCGTTATTAAGTGACTTACGCGGTCTATTATATGGTCGTATCAAATCAGACTACCGCAACGGATGCGCGAATACCGGCTGCCCTCGTCTTGCCTAGACTGGCGTTTTGATCCTGTAGTACAATAGATGGTGACGTGTCGAAGCCTAGGGACTTTCGCCGTCTCGGCCCCGACAGGGTAGTTTGTACTAACAAGTGATGGAGCTTGAGTGCGGCTGAGTAGTCCAGCCAGTGGCGCCAACTTTCCCTGGTGTCGTGCAACGATGGACATCCCACCAGTTCGCAAGAGCCGCAATTCGGAATGAGGTCGGCCGACAGCGCCAAAACCTTACCCCGCATGAACATGTCGTCTTTGGACCGTAGCACCCCGCACGGGGCTGCCGCGCCCATCAGAGTGAGTTGACAAACCTGTCCCCAGCTGTCCTGCGCCTGGCTGGGACAGCTGAGCCTCTACATGAATTCGATTGGCTCTGGATCCAGCCATACAATTTGCCCACAGCAGCAAGCGGCCAAACCCGGTGGAGTGGTCTGGGCCCATGCCGTCGCCCTGTCATTGTCCCGAGTAAAAGTCCAGTGTATGAAAGCCCGCAGCTGCCCACCCCACCCTCGGCGGCCGCACGTCCAGTGAAGGTATCTGGCGCATAAGGCGGTGCGGCCCTCCCGAGTTGGATGTTAGGTGCCGTTTACCGGAGCTGTATTTGAGTTCATTGGACCGAACGATCCCAAGCCGAACTCATGGCAGCAATCGCAACAGAGCGTCCCGGGAGTGCAGGCCGGAGAGACATTAATGCCAAGGTAAAGCGCGATGTCAATGGCGATAGAACTGTAGGTACGAGCGTACCATTGGTCTCAAGTGGGTGCACACGGACTGACCATTAATCTGCGAGAACGGCTTCAGCAGCACTAGTGAATGCCTGTGTGACGTGGATGAAGGGATAGTCTTGTCAGACATGCCAACTGGGGTCCTTTCCGCCGACAAGAGTGCTAAATATAGACAGTTTCGTCCTGACAACAAGATTCGTTCCCGCTAGGCATGGCTTTGGGTATCACGGTGGGAGCCATCTGGTGGCGGAGGTCATGGCCCTCGAGCTTCAGCCAGTTCCTCTACCACAGAGAAATGCATTGCATCAGGCCGCACATACCTCTTGTGTCCCTCACGCTCTCTCCCTTGGTCTATAGCAAAGCGTGACTAATACCATAACCTCCTGCCTCACTTACACGGGGCCGGCACCAGGGATCCCGGCTCCGGTCTTGGTACGGCCCCACAGTGTATTATGTAAGGCTCCGTGCGTCTCCGATTCTCCGAGTCTCCGCAGCCCCCACTTCGACCGCGCCCAACCCATGCAAAACCCATCATCCCATCTTGCCCACGCACCTCTCCTGCATTGGCAGCAGAGCGGCCCCACCACATCACAAAAACTCGTTTCGCAACGAGTTCATGGCGCCTGCCGCCCGAGGCATGTCCATTGACGATGTGACTGTCATCATCACCACCTCTCCTACGCCCTCGGCTCCGGGGACCGATCTCGTGGCCGCCGTCGCGAGGTCATTCCGCACGCACTGCCCCGACCTGCTGGCTTGCCCCGTCATCCTTGTGCTGGACACGTACGACACCATTGGCGCCTGGCCGAGGCTGAAGAAAGGGGTCGTGACAGCGGATGGCGCGGCACAGTACAATGTCTACAAACAGAATGTGAAGCAGCTCGTGCTCAGCGAGTACCGCCGCGCTCGCGAAGAAGAGTCATCAGACGGCGGTTCTGCCTCGGAGCCCCTGGTCGAGTTCGTCGGCGAGGCCGAATATGGCTTTGAAGGCAGGGGAAACCCCGTCGGGCTGCACATCTCTCGGACTGCGGATGGCCTCATCACCTTCATTGAGCCGTCACGGCGCCTCGGCTTCGGGCTGGCCGTGCGTTCGGCCCTGAGGATTGCAGACACACCCTACGTATGGGTACAGCAGCACGACTGGCCTTTGTCAGCCGACATCCCGTTGCGGTCGATCTTGCGCGCCATGGACGAAGATTCACCCGACAGGCCGGTCAAATACGTATGCCTCCCTTCAACCCGCATGCGCTCGTACGCGACCTCGAATCACGTTGTCAAGTTCCCCGCCTTGCGCACCTTGACCGCCGCTCTCAAGGGTGACTTTGCGGCCTCCGACGATGGCGACTCGTTGCCGCTAACACCCCTCTTCTTCTGGCATGACAAGCCGCACGTCGCTTCGAGAGCGCACTATCTGGAGCGCGTGTTTGCGACACGTCTGGCCATCCAGCGAGGCGGCTTCATCGAGGACCTCATCGGTCAACGGGCGAGGGACCAGATGAAGCAGGGCAGCTGGGCACGGTGGGCTTGTTGGCTGTATTATCCAGATGAGGGAACGAAGCTATGTGTCAGGCACCTCCAGGGCCGGACTTGGAAAGGCGCGAAGGCGGTTCGAGGAGTTTGAGGCGTGTGATCCCCAGCTGCGTTGTTACTCGTTTTTACCCTTTTTTACCTTGCGGGCGTGCCATCGTTTACATAGACTGACGGTATTGAGACCATTATTAGCTGACACGTCCAACATACCATTGGCATTGAAGAAGAGCATTCATCAGGGGCATCGGGACATTTTTCCTCATGCTACGATGATCTGCTGACGGAATCATGCCATGTGCTGAAGCATCGCATTTAGCCTAATCGCGGGTACATCCGGTCCCACTGCACCGGGGGTGGACAACCCATACCCCTCCCCTGAACCACGACTCCAACTCTATTTTCAACACAAAGCCTTGGCTAAACGGCCGGCAGTTGATCTACAGAACAGACCAGCTCAGGCGTGCCGGACCGCGCAACCAAGCGCACCATAGAGAGCAGACCAAATGTAACAAAAACTTCGCCAGGCTCATGATGCACCGCTCGTTTGTCCCCCGCTTCACGTACCCCGGATCGGCTGTATATATAAATACTTCCGTGTTGCAGCCCCCGGGCTGATAGCCCAAGGTTCACAGCCCATAAATTCCCCTGCACTCGACTCGTCAAGACGTGTAGCCTCTGCTACCCCTTCTTGACTCTAAACCTACGACAACTCTCAAAGCGACTCTGTGAACTTGCCTCGTAAACATGGGGACGGCCTACAACATTGGCCTGGCTTGCTTCGCAGCCATAGGGTGCGGGATGAATCCGTTCACGACAAGGTCTGAAGACATACCCGCTAATAGTAGACTAGCTCGTTTCTCTTCGGTTATGACAGCGGCGTCATGACGGACGTCATCGCCAGCAAGAACTTCCAAAATTTCTTTGACACAACGGATACCTCCCCCATCGTCGGCGCCATCAATTCGACGTTCAGTGGTGGTGCCGTCTTCGGTGCCCTCTTTGGAGGTGTCATCATGGACAGATATGGACGGCGCAGGACAATCGGCGTCGGCGCTTTGATTTGCACCGTCGGCGCTCTGTTGCAAGCAGCGGCCTGGCAGTACGTGAAACTCTGGTGCTAGCTACGGAAGCTCAGATCTAACCCCTCGCAGTCTCGCCATGATGCTCGTTGGGCGTATTACCGCTGGCTTCGCCATTGGTCTCTTGTCTATGAGCGGTAAGCAGACAGCAAAAAGTGTCCCTTTCCTTGAACACCCCACTAAGAGTGACGGAAAGTGCCCGTATATCAGTCCGAGTGCGCGAATCCTAAGATTCGCGGGCTTATTGTCGGCTTGGCACAGCAGATGATTGGCGTTGGCTTCATCGTCTCGACCTGGGTCGGGTACGGCAGCCAGCAAATGCCTGATTCATCGCAGTTCCAGTGGCGGTTCCCGTTGGCATTCCAAGCGCTCCCGTCCGCGCTGTTGTGTATTGGCATGCTCTGGCTTCCCGAGAGTCCCCGCCACCTCATTGCTACCGACCGTCTTGAGGAGGGCATGCGCATCCTCCGAACGCTACACTTTGATGGCACCAACGAAGATTGGATTCAGGCCGAGTTCCAGGAGATTAAGATGACCATTGATGCCGAGAAAGCCGCCACGGCGCCAGGCTGGCTCATCATGTTCCGCGTTCCCCAATGGCGAAAGAGGCTGGCTCTCGGCACGTTTGTCCAGGTATTCACCCAATTCACGGGCATCAACGTCATCGGGTACTACCAAACCGTCATGTACGAGTCGCTGGGCTTTACCGGCAACACGAAGCTTCTCGTCGCCGGAGTCTACAACTGCTGCGGCCCCATTGCTAGTGAGTTTCCGGCCGCGCTCCTAGCACTATCAGGTTCCTTGACCCGTTTGCTTACCGGCATTCCAGACTTGATCTTCATCGTCTTCATCGCGGACCGATTCGGCCGCAGGAAGTCGCTCATTTGCGGAGTTGTCGCCATTACGCTAGCGTTGATTTGCGAAAGCGCCATCAACAGCCAGAACACGAATGGCGACAAACACAGTCTAAGTATCGTCGGGGTTGCGTTTTTGTTCTGTGTTACGATCTTCTTTTCTCTCTCGTTTGGACCAGTGAGCTGGATATATATGGCCGAGATCATGCCATACCAGATCCGCGCAAAGGGTTGCGCCTTTGCCACCGGCATCGGCAACTGGCTTGTGTCTACATTCTGGGCGCAAGTTAGCCCTATTGCTTTGAAAGAGCTGGGATGGAAGTTTTACTTCCTCTTTGTGGGTAAGCTCATTTCGCGATCCCCCTTCCACTTTGCAGAGGTGAGCTAATTGGGTGCGCAGCCTGGAACCTCGTCATTACTCTTCCCGCACTCGTGTTTTACTTTAGGGAAACAAAGGGATTGTCGCTGGAAGAGATTGATCTCATGTTCGGCGGTAGTGTCGATGATCCGATAGAATCAGACCTCAAGAAGCCCGCTGCGGCCGTGGAGACAAGCGCTGTACACGACGAGCGCTCAGTAGAGATGAGGTAGGAAATGGCCAAGGATTGTTGCAACATACCAGTTCGGGCGGGCTACCTGATCACCAAGTCCTGGTCTTCAGGTCAAGAAGTGGTTAGTGGTCTGATAGGACATGGAGACGGCCCAGAAGCTACCTCAACATGATATATAGGCGATAAACGCGATAGCATACTCACCAGTAACAACTATGGCCCAAGCCTCGAGCCGGCCGCAGAGATATCAACGTGGCCACGAAGTGACCACTGGACTCACTCTATACTCTGCCTGTACATACCCAGCTCTCATTACTTCGCCTATGTGATTACCCACACCAAGGGTCACACTGCCGATGCTCTCACGATACCACTATCGCGATGAAGCCGAGCCGTGGCGACAATGACCTCGTCATCCGCCGCGAAAGCCTTGTCTCCAAAAGCTAACGCAACCTCCTCCAGAGTATGGCTCGCCGTCTCGACGTAATAAAAGTACACGAGTGCTACCGATGTAAGACAGAAGCCAGCAATAATGACGTAGTAATAGCCGCCGATGCCTGCGAACGCATCCGGTGCGGACATGCCAATGACAAAATTGAAGAGCCAGTTGGAGCACGTGGCTAGGGCCATGCCCTTACTCCGTGCCCTCAGCGGGAATATCTCAGCAGGTAGAAGCCATGGAATTGGTCCCCAAGTGAAGCCATAAATGGCGTTGTAGATCACCACGAAAGCGTAAATGAGGTGTGCCCGCACGTTGGGGTCTTGCAAAGTCGCCTCCGTAAAGGCACAAACCATGCACAGCGCTATGGCCATGAGAACGCCTTTGATCCGTAACGTCAGTCAGTCAGTACACTTGCGTGAGAAAGAAAGAGAACCACGGGCCAGGACTCACCGCCAAGCAGAAGCAAAGGTCGTCGGCCCCATGCATCCGCTAGCCACCAGCTGAGCATCGTGGCGGCAACATAGGGCACGGAGTTGGCCGCCGTGTATAGCAGCGACTTTTCCTGAGTAAAACCCGCACTGGCCAGCGTCGTTGGGAGATAGAATGAGATGACGTTGATGCCGTTGAGTTGGGCAAACATTTGGGCCGTGATGCCCACCAAGGTGCGCTTTCGATAGCGCGTGAACATTTCCAACCACGACGACTGCCCAAGGGTGGCTTCGTATCGCGCCGCTTCTGTAATCTCTAACATGACCTGCTGCACCTCAGGGCACTGCGTGTTGCCGTCGGGCGTGTGCAAGTCGGCGATGGTCTGAAGACATTCTTTCGGAAACCCGTTAGAGGCGAGCCAGCGCGGCGTCTCCGGCAGGATGAAGGACATGGCAACCAGGATGAAGGCCAGCCCCATCTGTATAAAGTACGGCCCCTGCCATGACTCACTCTGTGGAATCAGGTGATGAAACCCAAAGTCAACCCACGTAGACAGGGCATAGCCGCCGATGAGGAATGTGTACTCGATGCCGACCATGAGGCCGCGGCGATGCGGCGCGGCAATCTCTGTCTGAATGACTGGCACGGTCATGGAGAGAAAGCCCACGCCCAATCCCTGGATGGTCCGGCCGGCAATGAACATCTTGAAGTCGGGTGCAAAGGCTTGGAGGAAGGCGGTTGCAAAGTAGATGAAGCCGCCGAGACGCACGCACTTCTTTCTGCCGACCATGTCTCCGACTCGCCCAGCGATAAGCGAGCCAACGGCAGCCGAAATCTGCAAGCAGGCCACGAGGATGCCCGTGATGGACGGGTCGATATTGTCACTCGTCCCATCGGCTCCGCCATGGTCGCGAAAGAACCGCGCTAGAAATACTGGGTTGACCAGCAGGCCAGCGACGATTCCTGACGTGTACGATCAGTACAAGTGACGATGGTTGAGGCAAGGCAGCAGCACGCAGATGGGGGAGACTGGGACGCACCTTGGTCGTATCCGAAAAGAGCATCGCCCAAGCTCCCAAAAGCACATGTCATCCACAAAAGAGGTTTCCCCCTGAAAGGATACCGATGGTTGATGCGACTCGGCTTCACCTTGCGCTCGAGCCAGGAGGTCTCAACCACGGGAGCTCCAACCTGGGCCGAGTCCGGGGCGACTCGCTCCAAGCGCGTCGGTGATGCTGGCTTCTCCATGACAAGTGGGTTCGATCAAGTGTTTTTGCTGTTTCGTGTCCCCGGGTACTCTAATCATCTGTGAGTTGGACCAAGATGTATCATAATCCGGGGCCCCGGATTATATAGACTTTATGCGTTCCAAGTCCCTGCCCCAAGGTGGCCTATCCCCGCAATGTCACCACGCGCAAAAACCTGGAGGATGCGCACCACCAGCTTCCAATCTTGTCGAGAGCCAGCCTTGGTTGCGGAAAAGGGACCATGACTCGAGGTTCTCGCTCAACCTTGCTCGTGCCCGCGGGCAGGGGGGCCATGGGTGGCCGGCGGCCACACGGAACAGAGGACGGCGTTGCAGTGGATCTCGGCTTTGGGCCGTCGGCTTCAGCTTGGCCCACCCGCCTTCCAGCGCCGCCAACGGTTCCGGCGGAACCGCCGGGCGAGGCCGCGACTTGACAATGCTCACTCGTCTCGGGTGCGGGCCCATCCGGTACCCAGGAAGCGAAAGCATGTTGTGTTCCCCCTTTACTATCGATTCAACTTGCTGCACAAAGCCAACAGCGCGGGCAAGGATGTAGGTGGTTGCAACTTGCAGGATGACGTGCCACTAAACGACAAGTGCTGAGGGAATCTGGGAGGAAATTTGTCGCTATGTTTGCGGGTAGCCTCCGCCCCAGTTGAAGTCCCAAAGCCAGAAGAATTCGTTCCCCAAGCTTTCGGCCTCATGCGCTTCTACGGACGGTATGTAATCGCCTCCAACCCCGCTGTGAGGGGGCCCGTCACCTCCAAACAAGGCCATGCTGCCGTGGGCTGGCGCAATGCTACTCTGCAGTGGTGGTTCCTGAGCCGTCGTCGGAAAAGCTAGTTGGCGGTACCTGTTAGTAGCGCCCCGTCTCACAACATGTTGTGGGCATCCGTCGTCTTACCGTGCTGTACAGATGCGAGGCTCTCGTTGAGGCGTTGTGCCACGCCAACGTTTGGCCATACTTGTCCCTCCGGTGACATAGCGGAAGTATGTCCAGACACCTCTGCTGTATGGGCTCGAAGCGGAGCGCCGTACGGCGTTGCCTCAGCCATAGCGTGATCCTCGCACCGCGAAACCTGGCCGCGGCGATCGCCAGCCTGTACCATGGCTGGTGCGAGACGTCCCAGCATGGCATCACCCTCTCGCCTCACGAGCAGCGCAATGAGGTTCTGCAAGACCATGCCACTCTGCCGAGAGAGTGCCGACTGTTCACCCATTGCCTCTTGTAGACGAAGCACGCGCGAGACGATCCGCTTCAATTGCTGTGCTCTATCCGACAAGGGGTCCGACAATGCGAGGAGAATGAGCACAATCCCAGCGTGAAAAACATTGATGGCCATGAACGCGACAAGGTGACTGTCTTTGGCGAGCGCCGCAAGTTTGGGCAGCTCCGTGATTCGCGTGGTCCCCATCGCCGCGTCTAACCAGTACTCGGAATGCCCAACAGCATGATTCACTATCGGAATGTGATCATTTGTGTGTGGGTTCACATTGTCGCCGGAACTCGGCCCTGGAGGTCCATGGCTGGTGAAAGCGTGTTGTAGTGGGCTGTCATGCAGGCTTGCAGACTCCATTGACAAATGGTCGACCTGCCTGGCCAAAAAAGGTCGATAGAGCACAATCAAGAGGTTGTCGAAAGTCAGCTGCAGCGACAAGGACTGCAACAAGTGAGCCCTCAAGCGCTGGTTGCTGCTCTCGGGACGATAATCCTGTTCCAGATCCAGAACCAGATGTGGAGGGAGCTGGCTCCGCCAGGCAAGGAGCTCCGTCGTTACTTCACTGGCGAGGGAAGCATACTCGGTCTCAAACCTCTGCTTAGTGGACCCTGGCGACAGATAGCCAAAGATGTTTCTCAGCGCCGGCGACGCGATGCGGTAGAGTTTGCTGAGCTCCGTCTGGTAGGGTGAGTACACGATGCCCCGATCCAGTCCGTGCTCGTCTGTGGATTCTTGCACAAAGTACGGACATTCGGCGAACTCGGTGGGCAGTTGCACGTCGCAGTCTTCGTCATTAATTGTCATCGGTCGGCCGTAGGAGATGGAAGCGAACCTAGACGCGTTAAAAAAAAAAGAAAAGAAAAACAGGAGAATGGCCGCGGTGTTGGCCCGAAGTACGAACCGATCCCACGTGTATACCGTCCACCAAACCCTCTTCCGCTCCTCGATATCCTCAGCGTCGCCTTGCGCGATATGCCGATGGAGACCCAATGCATGGGAGATCTTGATGGCTGCACCTAGGAGGGCAAACGAGAGGTTTGGTCGTCCATGGTAGACGTGGTGTGACCCAAGGAGGATGCACGTCTGCACGGCCGTGACCGACCGATCATCCATGATGTAGACCATTCGAGACTCAACAATGTGGATCAAGTCACTGGTCCATTGTTGCCATTCTCGGCAGTCCTCTGCTGCGATACGCTTGGATCGATACCAAGCGGCCATGGCTAGAACAATGGAGAGGAGGGTAAGGAACGGTGCGTCGGACGGGCTTGCGTAGCCTTCGTCTACAGACGAGAGGCTGCGCCGGAACCGGCGCTCACATACCACCAAGGAGAACCAGTGGACGGCTTCAAAGTAGTCTTCCAGCAGAGAATGAATGAGCTGCCGGTCGGGGAATCGACAGCCAAGAATGGCTGATATGGGGACGCGGGCATTCGTTGCGTCGTTTCTGGATGATGGCGAATGAAGCTCGCCGTCCGGAATGGCAGAGGTGGCATAGGTACTCATGTGGTCGCTGCCGAGCTTGCACATCTGACGTCGGGCGGCGCGCAGACTGTCAGCGCGCGTCACGCCATGGAGGGTTGTAAACGCGCACCTTTCTGGCAATACCCATTGCCGACTCCGACTCGCCATAGTCGACAGCAAGCTGCGAACAACGATCCTCAGCCGATACAGGCGCATCGGCTTCAACAGGGTCTTGGCGCCTGCGGAGTTGGCCAACTCCTGGCCTTGCATCGCGAGACTGGCCCGTTCGGGGCGACGGGGGCCCAGCTGTCGTGCTTGGATGGCGCCGGAACTGCCTGCAAAGGGCAAAGAGATCCATCAGTAGGCCATGCGGGGACTCTCCCGAAAGCAGTTGCCAGACCTACCTTGGTCTCTTCCCATTCCGGGATGTCTGCTTGCTGGGGGAACTGCCGGTGGATTCGACGGCCCCTTCTCCATAAGCAGGCTGGCAATCCACGTCTGCGCGGAGACAGAGGGAGCATGGCCGGTATGAGTCGCACTACAGCCGCCAAATTGAGTGAGCTACTTCTTCTGTCCGGGGGAGGGCAAGGGGTTCACACGCGTGACTTGTTGCGACGACATCTCTGGCAGGCCGTGGTGACTCTGGTGGGGAGCCGACGGGGAGGAGGCGGAGCTCTCGCAGGCATTGTGTCGTTCTCCGGCGGAACGGGCCTCAGGTCTGGGGCGAGCCGGCAGTCTCTTGATCAATCGACGTTCAAAAAGGTCGAAGTCCTCGCGACCCGGGCCACGAGGTTGGCTTGCTTCCAGGTTCACACGCCGAGAATGTACGAGTTGTGCCGCGAGTCATGTTGATCACAGCCATGCAAGACCCTGCTCTTGTTCCGCCAGCCACGGTTCCGGCGGATGCGGGGACGACGGCTTGCAGCCCGCCATATTCCAGCAGAAGACCGACCAGCGACCGCGGCGTGCCGGCGGATCGCCAAACCACCCCACATGGTGTGCCACCGTTCTGCCTCGAAGCATTCTCGAAAGTTGGGGAGGCGCTCATCGCGGTAATCCCCGGCAAAAGATTCTGCGGGTACATGTCGCCGTGATTGCATTCATGGCTCGGGTGTTGCCCAACCGTGCAAAAGCAAACCCCCCCTGCCCCCAATGGCGTGGCTCTGGGCATTGACACGGTTGACGCGATGCTCCATTTCACTTTTGGTGCGTCCAAGATCTCCTCGGGTGGTGCTCGAGCCGAGAGAGCAATTCCCACCTTTATATCTATAATAGCGGCCCATGGTGGAAACAACTTTCCCGGGGCGTTCCAACCTAGGGAGGGACGGACACAAGACTGCGCAGAGCCACCTAATGAGCGCAGGCGACGCAACGTTGAGATGCAACGTCGGCTGCCCGTATACACCTCCTCTTTGTGGCCGTAGTCGATGGGGGCAATATTATACGGGTCGTCCTTATAGTTCGAGAAACCGGGCAGAGATTACATATGCCCAACACAAAGTCAAGACAGCTATGCTATTCCGTGTCGTTAATAATGTGCTAATATGGCATGTTGCGGCCTCAACGGAAACACCGCAACAAACGGCCTGGCATCCGGATAACCCAGGCAGAAAGTAACGCGACGACCGGAAGCGATTTCGGGGACCCACGCATAGCGGACTACAGTCAGACGAGACGGCTGGGTCGATCATTGTTATGGCAGGCGAAAGTCTTGGTTGGTCAGTATAGTAAAGAGGCTGCGTTCGTCGGGCACTGCGACGTGCAGCGAGTCGAAGTTAAATAATGGTAGAGGCATTGAGACGCGTCACTCCAAATCAGTAACGTGCTCGCACTTCGTCGTCGCAGTCCCGGTAATAAGTGTCGGCAGTGATACCACTGTAGCCGGGCAGCCAAGGCGCCCCGCTGCTGTCAAAACATGTCATCACCATATTGCCAGTGCAATGCGACTCGGGGTGGCATCGAAAAAAATGGTTCAGTCCCCCTTTTGCTTCGCGGTATGGTACTGGCCTACGGCCAACTAGGTCAACACCGTGAAGCTCGAGCAAGTCCTCCACCATCGATTGATTCAGCAATATCACCAGATCCCTTGACCCTAGACTCTGGCATGGACCGAGCCTTCCCGGCCAACCCTCGCCCAACAATGCAGTACTGCTTCTCAGCGAATACTTTCTCTCCCTCCCTCCCTCCTTCCCCACTCACTCTCTCCCCCCTTTTTTCTGTTAGTCCTGAGTAAGCATCCATCCTACCACTAATAGATCGCCAGAGCAATATACCGACATGGAGCGAGTGTAGGCAAGGCGCATGTATCACGACCTTGATGATTTAAAACAGTTCGAAGTGCGTATATTCTGCGATTGACTGTGTCGGGGAGTAGCGGCAGGATTGCTAAGGACCAGAACATGGGAGTAAAGAACCGCGGCCACGCGCCTATTCGATAGAAGCATAGCGATAACACGGCGTCTCATTATAAATCATTCACGTTACTATCTCATCCTCTTAGGGAATAGTAATAAGGGTCTATAGCGCTTATTGATCGTTAGTTACTAGTAAAGGGTTAAAAAAAGGGGTATAATATATAAGTAATAATATCTTTTAATTAGAACGAATTATATTATTCTTTAATTCTTAATGATTAATTAGAGCTAAATTATTAAGAAAATAATAATTATTAAAAGGTAATAGGCTAATAGAATATCGTAGTAATATTCTATTATTAGCGAGGAAGGAGGTAGCCCCTTAAGCAAGGCTATTAAGTAGCCCCTAAGTAGCCCCTTAAGCGAGGCTATTAAGCGTACCGCCTTAACTAACGCAATAAAGTATACGCTCGTAATAGAATATAATATACGCTATAAATATATAATATAAAGCAGCTTTAAATACGTAATTATAATAATATACTTAACGTAATTATATCTAAGGCTATATATATTAAGGAGGCGCTAGCTATATATACTTATATAGCTAGGGGCGCCCCTTAAATACTATAGCCTTTAATACTAAGTATATATATAGCTTTAAGTATATATAATATAGATATAAAGTAAATAGGTATTAATACTATATATTATATAATCTATATAAAGATTAAGAGGCTATAGAATATATTACTATTAACTATCCAGCGTCTAGAGTAGCCTACCTTTAACCCTATAACCTCTTCTTTTTTTTATATTTTCTAGATAACGTAAATACTTAATATAATAACCTATTCTACTTAATATATATCCCTCTTAATTCTACCCCTATATAACTAATAGACTATAATATACTATAATAAGTACCTTTTAATATAGCTTTAACGTAAGACTATAATATATAATTTATATATATTCCTTTACTTACTTAAGCTCAGCGTTAAGACTAGTATTAGCTTTAATAAAGTAGAGTATCTTACTCCTTATCTTCTTAATCTATAGTATATATTATATTAATATTACCTATAAAAAGCTCGTCTAGATTAAAAGGCGCCTATACTTCCTAGCGATAAATAGTATTAGCTTAAAAAGCTACCTATCTATATAGAGACGGCATATTCTAACTAAATAGATTAAAAGGGGCTTATATATTTAAGCATTACTTATATTAATACTTAATATATAATATTAATAAGCTTAAGATAATAGATAGCGCTATTAATATATAAGTAGCTTACTAAAGCTTATCCTATAATTCCTCTCTATAAATAGAAGTTATATAAGTACGCTTCGAAACCTAGCTAATAAGTATATCTTACTCTTTTATAGCTAGGCTCTCTCCTTATATATAGGCGCTAATATATAATAACTCCTCTATCATAAGAAGCGATAAGAGGAATAAGGTACTCTTTATAGCTTATATTATAGTAAGTATACCTATAGGCTTACGAAAGGCACTATAAGTAAGTATAGGAAGAGGCATAGCCCTATAAATATCTTCTTTTTCTAAGAGTAAAGGAGGCTCCTCTATAACCTAGCGAGTAAGGATATATAGAAATAAGGACTTTATAAAGCTAAGGCTAGAATAACGAGGCTTATAAGAAAGGTAAAGAGACAACTAGCGCTAAAGAACTAACTAAGAAACGCTTAGCTAAAAAGGGGCTCCTTAAGGCTATATATATATAGGCTATATATATATAGGCTATATATATATAGGCTATATATATATAGGCTAAGCCTATAAAGTAATTAATTATAGTAAAATTAAAAGCTATAGTAAAGGAGGTAAAGGTAATATAGACTAGCGGACTAAAGTAAATTAAGTCTAGCGAGTAAGTATTATAAAAGGTATATAGTAATTAACTTAATATTAAGGAGGTAGAGGTATTAATAAATTCTTATAGCTTTTAGACTCTTTTAAGAGCGCTAAAATAGGGCTTAAAATCTACTAGCTCGTAATTAATACCTTATAGCTAAAAGGGGGTATAAGGGGTAAAGCCTATAGGCGCTAAGACTAAGCTTATTAAAGCGAGCGAGTAAATATAGTTAGCTTATATATATTATAGCTATTAGTAATAATAGAATCCTCCTTATAGTAATAAAGGGCCTAATTAATAATATAGTAGTTAAGGTTATAAGTAAGGGCATTATATAAAGTACTAGTATAATAACGGGTATTAATATCCTAAATATAGCTAATAGCTTACTTATCCTTAATAGAGAAAGCCTTATTAATAATAGTATTTCCTTCCCTTTTTAAGTAGAAAATAATAAGAGACTCGATTATTAAAGTAATATAGACGTTATTAATATAATAATATCTTAGCGATATCTTATCGTTAAGATTACTTATATTTTAGTCTAGAATGCCTTTTATATAAAGAAACGTCGATTACTAGCTATAGTTATTAAGAGATTAATATAAATAGTTATAAAGGCGACCTTTATAGCGCTTAATGCGCTAATTTAAGGGTAAATATATAAGGTCGTTATTAGTATCTTCTATACCCTTTAATTTATATAGAAAATAAGCTATAGCGAGCTAGATTTCTATTAAACTAGCTACTTACTAAGCTAGGAGCTAAGTATATCGTTAAAAGGCCTTAAGAGTATAGTACTTAATTTAAGTATAAAGAGACTTTACGTTAGCTTAAAGTATAAGGAAAAGCTTATAGTTTATTAATAGCTAAAGGAAAGCCTATCGAACTTTATTATAAGTAAAGTACTTCGATATATATACGAATTTATTAATATAAGCTAGCTAGCTAAGCTTTATTATACTAACTTTAATAGCTTAGTTATAGATAAAGATATCTATAGAGCTATTAGCTCGAGTTTTAATTATAAGGTCCGAAGAAAGTCTAAGATAAGGATCCTAAGAGTTAGTTAGCTTATAAAGCTCGATATATATAAGATAGCTATTATTTACCTTTAGGTATAATAGCGCTATGCCCTAATTCTAGAGCTCTTAGAGATTTAGGTAGCTAATAGGCCTAAAAAGGGCTTATATACCTCTTAGAGAGGCGTAAGTTAGATATTTTCGATGGTAAGTATATTATAAAGACTATAAGATACTCTATATCCGCGAGCCTAAGCTTTAGCTTCCTCTTTATTAACTTTAAGAATAGGGCCTTTACTATTAAAAGCCGAAAGGCCTATCTAAATAAAACTCTCTAGGCCTTACTCTATATCTATATCGTTACTAGAAACTCGACTTTTATACTTTTATATAGCTTAGGGTAGGGAGAGAGGTATATTATCGTTAAAAGAAAGGTAATTAAGCGAGCTAAAAATACTATTAATATCGGTCTTAATACTCTTTTAAGGTCATAGCTAGCCGCTTATATAAGAGGTACGTTAAGAGGTAGCTTAAGTCGATCTCTAAGGGTTGACTAAAGGTAGGCTAAAAGTAATATAATTAATAGCTTCGATATCTTTTAGGCTAGGGCTAGTAATAAAGAATTTACTATATTAAACGGCTAAAAGCTAAGCGAGCTTAAGGTATATAGATCTATATTATAAAGTAATAACTTATTTTTTAGTTAATAATTAAAATATCGAAATTATAGAATAAGTAGTTAATAGCTAAAAGAATACTTATAGGCCCTTTTAGTAATATAGCTTAATATTACCTTTATTTATAGGAGCTATACTCTTAGCTAGACGGTCTAGCTTTAGCTAAAAGAGAAGGGTACCTAGCCTTACTAGCCTTAGAACCTTTCTTAGGCGGTATAATATAATTACGTAATATTAAGGCATAGAAACTTCTTAAAAAACGAAATAAAAGGTTTCTTAGCTTTTAAGAAGGAAAATATAGCGTTTTCTAGCTTTAAGGCATAATTAAAGCAGGCATAAGAAAGCTAGTATAAAGGTATAAAGATAGTATATAAAGAGGGAAAAATAAACTATATAGACCGCTTACTAAAAACTATTTCTAAATCTCTAAGATTCTTAGGCAAAAAGATATATATATATTATTATTATAATATATATCTATCCTATTTAATTTATCCTATCTTATCTAATATTAAGCTAGCCGTTATAGCGCTTATTTAAGCTACTATAGCCCGCTATAATAACTATTATTAGCGACTTATATACCTTACTGCCTATTTAATAAGTACTTATTAATAAAAACTTAAAGATTTCTAGACGGAGCTTTATATATAAATATACGTAAACTTTATAGCTTTTAAAATAATACTTTATTAATAGTTGCTTTTACGTTATACGCTACTCTTATTCTATATTAATAATTATCGATAAGATACTACTTAATATTTCTTAATAATATTAAAAAGGCTTAAGCTATCGATTTAAAGCTACCTTAATATAGGTACTCGCTTTATAGTCTATTTTATGAGGTATTTATAATATAGTATAGCCCTTATATAATAATAGCTATAATACCCCTTTTTTTACTAACGATCTTAGCCCTAGCTTTACGCTAGCCTTTATGCCTAAAAGTGCTATATTTACCGATAAGAGCTCTAGCTAAGAAGATAATATTAATTTAGAGGATAATAGTAATTCTCGATTACTCCTTTTCCTCATTACCTATTTATAGTATATATTAATAGCCTAATAGCTATTCTCGATATTTTACGCTAAGATACTAACGAACTAATTAATATAATACTTTTATTAGCTAAGTTCGACCGCTAGGAGCTTAAGGATATCGTTTTATATAATAAGCTAGAGCTAGAACCCGTCGAGATAACTATTCTATTTATCGAGGATTTTATAGTAAAGGCTAATATTATAGACTTAAGGGTTAACGCCCCTTAAGCTTCTTCCTTAGCCCTCTTAGTTATCTATATAGCTAGTAATTATATAGAAATAATCTCTACCTTTAAAGAAGACCTTTTAGTTCTTATTAAGTATCGCTAAAATAAAGAGATATAACTTTTAGACCTAGAGCTTATTCTTAGCCTCTTTACTTACTTAATAGGCCTTAACTATAATAAGTACGCTAGGCTATAAGAAATTATAGCTTTAATTTAAGATAAAGATAATAAGACTATTAAGGAGGTTTCTAGGCTATCGAATTAACTTAATACTTTTAAAAACTATATTACTTCTTAACTCCCCTTAATTAATATAAAGACTATTAAAATTCCCTTAATTCTAGAGAAGCTACTTATAGTAAGGTATATAAAAAAGGAAGAATTAAAATTAATACTAACTATAAGCCTATATATAGTCGACCTTATTTCTTTCTTTAAGGTATTTATATCGACCTAAAAAGCCTAGGATTCGATATATTAAGGTCTAGCCTATTTTATAGATGACTTTATAGAGCTTTTTTACTCGCTTATATAAGCCTCTTTAATTAAAACTACCTCTAGAGAATATACCTATCTTTAGCTCGAAGCTTTATTTAAGCTAGAATTATTAAGCCTAGATTTAGACCTTATTAATAGTAACTCTATTTACCTATCTAATTTTATTTATTATTACTACCTTAATAAGAGCTATATCTATATCGATATAATTATTAAGATACCTAAATCTATATACTATAAGCGGGTTATTACTATAAGTCGAGACTTTTAGGAGTAATTTATATCTATCGAGTAAAGTAATATTATTCTTATTATTTACGAGCTTATAGTATTTAATAAGTTAAATAGCTTATTACTTACTTAGCCCTTTTCTATAATAAGCTTCTAGCTAGTATTATTAAATAATAAGTTTATTTTATATTATATTAAAATAGTTATTTTAAAGAACTATATTATCGATATAATTAACAACCTTTTTATTTACGATTATTATTAAAGTAAGAGCTATAATAACTTTATGCCTTATTAAGACGTTATATAGATAATATAAAAGCTAGCTTTAAGCGTTATTAACTAAGAGGGATAATAAGTAAAGGCTAAAAAGAAGGTTAAGATCTTCTAGAAGTATAACCCCTTTTTAATAATAATTACCGAGGAAGAGTAGCTTATTCGTTAAGCTATAGTCTATTTATTAACGTTAGTTATTAACTCTAACCTTACCTTTAACTATAAGATTATACTTCTTTACTATACTTACTTAATTCGAGCTTAGCTTAAGCTCGAAATATATAGCTAAGAGCTCTTTAATATAAAGTAGGATACTTTATTAAACGCTATAGCTAAAAGGCCTATATAGTTATACCTAGTTATAGCTTTTATTAATAGCTTTAGCCTCTATCGTAATATATATTATTCTCTCGTTAGCGTCTATTTTATTATTACTAGATTAAGCTTTAATAAGTATAAAAGCTAGTTTAATATTTTCTTAATTATACTTAGTCTATATAGCTCGAACTTTAATAATATCGTCTACTCGCTTAGCTTAATCTAAGAGCTAGATATTAGCGTTAAAACGACTATCGATAGCTAAGATATTATAATCTATATATTAATTCTAGCCTACCTTAACGATATACTTTAATAGGCTATAAACTATAGATTCTATAGACCTCAAGCTAATAAATTTTACTATTTTTACTTTATTAGTAAATAAGTAGCTAAATCTAGCGTAACGAACGATATTTTAAATTTCGATATTATTACTTATAGAAGATACTATCTCTAAGCTATCGAAATAAAGTCTTATATAAATAAGCTCTTAAGTAAGGTATTTAATACTAACGATATTATATAGTATAGCCTTTAATAAAGCATTAAAGAAAATCGCCTTACCCTTTTATCCCTTATTCCTTACCTAAATATAATCTTTAATCGCCCTATCGATATTACTTACTTTAAGTTTAATAGCCTTATTTACCTTCTTTACTCTCTTTTTCTTAATATCTTAATATTAGATTCTTAAAAGGATTATACTTAAAGGCTATATTATTAGCTATTTTTAATAGGCTAAGGTCGAATCTAGTCGCCGCTTTACTACCTTAAGAGCTATACTTTAATAAAGTATGCTTAGTAGTTAGTTATTATACCTTATTTACTTCGAGAGTAAGTATATAAAGAATACTTTAATGCTACCTTTTTCTAGGAAGTCGATCGTTTTTACTTAAATAAGGGCGAGGGTATTTAAAGCGTCGACTTTATCGTTTAAATATTTACTCGAATTACTAAAAGTAATAGCGTAACTATAAGAGCTTTATTAATAGTAGATAAGTATATTAATATAATAGGAATTATTATTATTACTCGCGCTAACTTTTATATACTATATTTATTAATATCTTAATTTATCTAGCGATTAGCTATATCGTAAGCCTCTTTATAAAGTACTTTATAGTATATCTCGCGAGCTTCTTTATAAGTTTTATCTTCTTAGCCTATATCTTAGTAAAGAAGCTTATAACTAAGCTCTAGTTAATATAAAGACGATATTAATTTAGAGATAGCTAATAAATTAGTTTATATTCTTATTATCGATAATACTTTAAGTATTAAGACTATAAATCTATTTAATATTAAAGATAAGTAAGCTATTTAATACTTAAATAATATATTAAGGCTTAATATTTATATAAGAGTTTACTATTTATTTATAACTAAAGAATATACCTTATTAATTAATATTAATACTTTAGTAAGTAAAGGTCTATATCGATAAGTAAAGCTCGTATTATTAAATAATAAGCTAAGTACCCCTAAAATTCTATATCTCTTTAATAGCTATTATATATTTTATATATTATAATAGATATTAATAGCTTCTCTAAGTAGTTTAAAAAGTATATATATAAGACTAATTTCTTAAATATCGAGAAGTTATTACTTTAAAAGATTATTATTTAAACGACCGTTCGCTTTATAATAAATCGAGCGTTCTTTATTAACGACCTTAAATTAACTTAAGTTATAATAGCGCTTTAAAATAAATATCTAACTATCTTTAAGATATTTATCTCTTAGCGGGAAATAATAAGTATAAAGAAGATAATAAACCTTATAGAAGGATAATAAGATAATAAGTTCGATATAAATATAGCTATATTAATAAGGCATAAAAGGTATATAATTATTAAGTATATTTTACCTTAAAACTTACTTAACGATTTAATTAATAATAGATAGAAGCTATTAATATAATATATTAATATATTATCGAGTTTTCGGCTTTACTTTAATTAAGTATACTTATAGGAATACTATAAGCCCCTTATTCTCGATTTTAGGAAGTAGCTAGTCTAATAGGTAATAAAAACCATATAGATAGAGATATAAGTTTAACCCCTTTCTTTTATTTTATCGTTTCTAGTCTCTACCGCCTATTAAAGTAAAGGTAGCTATATAATCTCTTAGCTATAAGGAATAATATAATACCCTTTTAATCGGGACTTTTTATAGTAATTAGGTAAGTACTTATATAGTCTAATATTATAGCTAGCCTATTTAGCTAATTAAGTTAACCGGCCTAATTAAGATTATCTTATAATAAGCTAAGCGGTTATTTATATATTATCCCTTTCTAGGCTTATTAAGTACTTAGACGATACTATTTTAGTTAATAAGATACCGAGTTTATCTTTAGCCCTAGCGGCTAGGTTTTATAGGCCTCTTTAGTATAGCGGCCCTAAGAGCGCTCTTAGTATTAATACTTAAGGGGCGATTACTAGTATATCTCCCTAGCGCTAAAGGTCGCCTTTAAGCTTAATTAATTAATATAGAAATGCCGCTAACTTTTTACTTTAAACGCTAAGAACGATAATTAAAGATAGGTTCTTAGTTAAGGCGATTATATAACCTTCTAGACGATAGAGATACTTACGGCCCGTCCTACTTATATTAAGTATATCTTCCTCTATATACTTTAAGAGTTATACTTTATTTTCCTCGTCGTTACGCCTATCTATATTAATAAAGCTATTTATAACTTAATTCTAGACTTACTATATACCGAACTTACCCCTAAATCTATTAGTATAATTATAAGGCTTAGCGTAATCTAGCCTATAAGGCTATACGTAATGCCTATATAGGGCAGGCTTATATAGGTATATTAAGATATTAAATAGCTCTAAATTAATATATCTCTTTATTTCTCTCGTTATCGCTTAAAGTCATTAAAATTAAATAAGCTATATATACGTATATATAGAAGACGGCTATATAAAATAGCGAGTAATAATGTATAAGTATAAGCGATACGTATCGACGTTAAGTATAAGGATATTTATATTTAATAGCTAGTTATATTAAAGGATATTTTAGCGGCTAGTGCCGCTATAGTATAGTAATTCTAAGGGTAGGTGCTATAAGTACCTCTATATCTCTTTAGGGGTAATTAAATACGAGTGCGACTTTACTATAACTTCTATACCCGCTATCTAGCGCGGCTAATAGCATTATATCGGCTTTACGTTAATTAGCTATATTCTACCTTTTAATCATTTAGCTATTCTTAATAATTTGCGATCTTTTAATTATTAGCTACTATAAAATCATTAGCTAAGAAACTACTATACTTTCCGCCGCATTGGCTACCCCCTAACAATCATCAAAAGCCCCCATACAGCACCAGTACTAAACTGATCCGCTCATCCTACCACCTTGCCCTCTTTCCTGCGCAGGACCTTGCCGCCTCGCGCACCCGTCATCTTGCCCTCGTCGACCGCCACCTCGCCGTTGACGAGGACGAATCGAATGCCGCGGCTCGGCACCTTGGGCTCCTCAAAGGTCGCCATATCCTTGACCGTCTCCGGATCAAAGAGCACCAGGTCCGCCGCCGACCCCTCAGCCAACAAGCCGCGGTGCGGATACACGCCGAGGCGCTTGGCCGGTCGAGAGGTCAAATGCGCAATCATGTCGGGCAGCTTGAGGAGACCCAGGTCGCGCGAGTAGTGGCCTATTGACACACAAGTCGTCAGCTTGAACGCGCGATCAAGCACCGTCTGAGGGAGTCGTTACCCAAGTACCGCGTAAAGGTGCCATAGGCGCGCGGGTGCAGCGTCTCGCCGTGGAGGATGGCGTCGCTGCCTCCCATGTGCACGCGGTGCTGCATAATGTGCTGCACGTTCTCCTCGTGCCCAACGTGCATGAGACAGCTCGTCGCCAGGCGGTCCTTGCGCAGGATCTCAAAGAAGATGTCAATGGCCGGCCGGCCGAGGGTGCGCGCCACTTCGCCGACGCGGCGCCCGGACCACGACGCGATGCTGGGGTCGCTCGCCGAGCCAACCTACCGCATTCCGTCAGTGTGCAGGTCCAGGCGTGAGAAGTTGGACATGGGTAGTTGGCTCAGACGCACCTGTATCTCGTCCCAGTTCGTCGGGATGCCGTGGCCGCCGTCGCAGCCCTTGACTTCGACAGCGACGCGAATCTCTTCGCGGGTTGCTGGATCCTCGAGGCGCTTCAGCGTCTCGGCCGGTCCGCCCGACGACGCCCAGCTGGGTAGCAGCGCGGCGAGGGTCGTGCACCCGGGCAGGTACGGATACGTGTCGAGCGTGACATCGACGCCCTTGGCCAGGGTCTCATCGACCATGGACACGAGCTCAGGGGCGCGGCCCTTGTTCTCGGAAAAGTTCAAGGTCGCGTGCGTCAGGTCTGGCAGCCAGGTCAGCCGGGAGATCCTGTTGCGCGCTCGTGGCATAGCACGCAGACACGAAACATGAGAGACCTACGAACAGGGCAGCCGGTCGTCTTGCCGAGCTCCAGCATCTCTGCGTAGCTCTCAATGGCCTTGAAGCCGTAGCTGCGGTGGTGCGGTGCGTAAAAGGCACCCGGGTACTCGTCCGCGAGCACCTTGCAGAGCACGGCGAGCTCCGACGTAGACGCGTACATGCCGGGCGTGTACGTCAAGCCGCTGCAAGTTGAGGGAATTCACATGTTAGCATCCTATCATCTCCATCCCACAGAGGACACGTCACGTACCTCGACATGCCCACGGCACCCTGGTCCATGGCCTCGCGAAGCAGCTTGACCTGGTCATCAATCTCTTCAACCTTGGCCGCTGTGTCGTAGGGCCCGCAGGCGAGCAGCCGTAGGTTGCCCTGGGGTACGAGCGCGGCCACGTTGGTCGCGGTGCGGTTGCGCTCGAGGCAGTCCAGATACTCACCCAGCGTGCGCCACGCAAACATGCCGACGTCGCGCAGGGGCACGGCGGCGCATTCGCCGTCGGAAGGGTTACCGTTCCAGCCGGCGATCTGCTCCCGAATGGCGCGCATCTGCTCTTCGCTGCGCACGGGGGCGTACGAGATGCCATCCTGACCAACGACCTCGGTCTGTTGCATCAGGCGCAGGGGTTGCTCGTGTTAGTCCTTCTCTCGCGCCGTCCATGTAACCGGCTGATGGGGACCCAGGGGCAAACACACCGTGCATCCTTGCGTGATCTTGGCCTCGTGCTCCGGGTGCGTCAGCAAGTACAGGTCTGAGTGGGCGTGCATGTCGATGAAACCCGGCGACAGGACGTGGCCGGTGGCATCGACACGCCGGGCCGGACCGGCTTCGGCGTCGATGGACCCCGGAGCCCCGATCCGGGCCACGACGCCGCCGGACACGAGCACGTCGGCGACCCGCGGCACGGCGGCCTCGTCGCCGCTGATGACGGTCGCGGAAGTGAAGAGAATGTCGGATGCCATGATGCCTGTCCTTCCACGCGTAGCTGCCGTGAAGTGCAAGAGTGACGTTTTGTCTGCGCGGAGTGGGAAGCGGCTGTCGACCGCCTCGTTCATGCGGGAGACGAAGCCCGCCCGCCCGCCTTCCCCCCGTTGCCCCAACTGGACCCCACAGGCCTGACGCCAGTGTGGTGATGGTTCTGGATGGGTCCGTGGGGGACGCGCCAAGTGTGGCTCCTTGCGAGTGCTGATTCCTGATTAGGCCTTATTACGTGGGGGTTGCCGACTTGCGGAGCATGAGCAGGGAGTTTCTACGACTGACAGCAAGGGCCTGCATGATGGATTGTTTCATGCTGCACGTAGACAAAGTACCTTGCATCTTTATTAGCCTGTCCGTGGCTGACCAGGAGTCAAGGCTCGGGCTCAGTGTCAATCCACCCCGGATACGCGATACCCAGTGCTCGACTCTCAGATGTCAACGGTGGTGCTTCGCCCTCATTAACGCAGCCAATGCCCACATTCACCCTTGCTCCTTCGCCTGATCTCGTCTGGTACAGGGTTGGGAAACACTCTCTTCCCAAGGCACAATGGAGGAAACACGGTCCGCGATTCTTTGAGAAGACGACATTGGCTACATGTCTTGTAGCTTAGAGCACATTGAGGTATGGCTGGAGAACCTCCTGGGTGTGGTCCCAGATCTTCGTCTGCGCCCTCTCCCTCAACAAACGCACGGCCCTGGCATTCGGAGTGCTGTCGCACTTGTAGTTGACGAGGAACAGGCCATTTTCTGACTTCCCCAGGGAGTTGACACCCGGCTTGCCCTGCCACCGCACGCCGCGACCGCCAAAGGCCGCGCTGGTGCATTCGAACAGGTGCCTCTGCCCCGACTCCTCGTCGCTGAAGCTGAATAGCGCAATCAGAGGTTCAAGCAGAAGCCAGATGAGCCAGGCGACGATCGAGTTCGGCTCGGAGCCCCTTCGTACGTTGCCCGTGTTGACCCACCCCGGCCAGGAGTGAATAAATGTCACGGCGGGATGCACGTTGGCCAAACTCTCCAGAGCCATCGTGTTCATCGCCGTGTACTGCATCTGGGCCTTGACGGCGCCGAAATTGCCAGGCTTCTTCAGGCCGAGGTCGTCCACGTCAACGCTCGCCCGCTCCATGCCGCCGCCCAAGACGCTGACGACGCGCGGGGCCTCTGCTTGCTTTAGGAGGGGTAACAGGTGCTGAATGAACAGCAGGCGCGTGTAGTACTCCAAGCTCTGGGCGACCTCCAAGCCTTCTGCGGTTTCTCTGCGGGGGCCAAATGGTGCATAGCCTGTGGTGAGGAAGAGCAAGTCAACGTGCGACTCTTGACTCCTGACGATGTCGCAGATGCGCCTCGTTTCCGCGAGGAGCGAGACTTCGCCTTCTGTCCAAATGACGTCTGCTGTGGCGTTGATTGCCCGCAACTCGTGTATGAAGGCGCGCGCGCGATCTTCAGAACTCTTGCGCCCAACCAGGTAGATTCTCATGCTCGCGCCCGTAGCGACCAGGGATTTGACGGTGTATTGGCCGATGCCTGATGTGCCGCCCACGAAGACGGCGACGCGTGGGGCCGTCGCATCGTTGATGAGTGCGTTGGAGGCTTGTATTGCCTTGTAGGGAACCATGATGCATGCTTTTGGCGACAATTATAGGCCGACAATTATGGCTCGGAGATCGCTCATAGCATGGGCGCTTTGTTGAGAATCTCATTGTGGGAATGCTAGGCTGGGATGTTTTTTGGTGATGATGATGCGGATTGCGGAGTTGTGGCGTCGCTGCTCACCGCGCTCCGCAACAGCGCTGCGTTTCGGGTTCTCGGGCGTTACAAACGCCGCCAGCGAAGAATCGTCACCTCCGAATTCCGTGCAACGACACGCTTCCTCCAGCCATCCCACAATCCGTGACTGCTCTGGGCAGAATTGGCCATCCAGTCATTGCGGCATAAGCTCCACGGAGCATACCCTGGGCGGCGACCACTGTGGACTCACGCGTGAATCATTGGTCCAGTGCCTAAACATGGAGCGCAGCCAGCGCGACATCCGTTCAGTTGTTGCCAATGCTCTTCCTTGATACAGCGAGGGTAACTTCCAGGCGGCTCCATGGCTTTGATGCCAATGCCCCTCGTTGCATGTGCATGTCGGTACTTCAAGGTTCAGAGAAATCTCTGGCATGGCGCGACTTTGAATGTTTATGCCGCGAAGAGTTGCTGTGCTTCTGCCGGGCCCAACTCAATAACGAATGTTGCAATATGTGACTTGGGAGTCGAGACTCGTGGGCCATTTTGAGATTGAGGGCCGGCGACAGGACACTTTACGACGAGAACGACAGTAGACTGGAAAAAAACGTTGACTTCCGTCGCGCTTCGCGACGAATGCAAGCTGTGTTTCGTACTTCACATGGTTTCGTCTACTCGATGGTAGCTGCCCTCAGCGGGTCATGACGGCACGCCCAGCCTCCAGTGTTCTCTGCGTCTCCGGGACAACACTGGAGGTCCCATATTACCCATTTTATACATGTATAGAGGATGCTTGCTGCGCATACAAACCGTCGGGTGCTGTGCGACTCCTGCTGTGCACAACAACAATGCCGTTTGCATTGCTCAACCATGCGGCACCCAAGACTGAGCGCAAGGCCAGGCCTCAACTCGGCCATGCACCTTTTACCACGTATGCGTGGGTCCCCTCTGAACTGAATGCCATGGGACAAGAGAACCGAGGCAAGCGAGGCACTATGGCTCGCAGATTAGCATGTATAAGACTCGACATCGTCGTCGAAGCCTCCGACGCACCAGCTGCCTCAACAAGTTCAACGTTCCTCAAGGCCTATGCATCAAATTATAGTCTCACATGAGCGACTCTTTCACCGAAGAAATCACGCATTGAACAAAAAAAAAACATGCAGTATTTATGGATCATCATAACGCTCCTCGCGGCCTTTGGTCTCGCAGCACCAGGCCGGAATCCCAAAATCGCAACGCCCAACGCGCGACGTCTGGCATCAAAAGGCACCAATCCCAAAATCGCAGCGCTTGACGCACGACGTCTAGCTCCGCCAGGTTCCAACCCAAAGGACCCATTCCCCAACCCTCAACTTGCATCGCCTGAGGGAAGCGGCGGCCCCAAGGTTGAACCGATTCATGCTCCCCCGCCACCGGCCGGGTACGCGTCGCTGTGGACACCGCTTCCGCATTGGACTCCACGGATATTGCGTGTGGCGCTGCGCGGCACCAATCCCAAGAATGCCTCACCTAAGGCCCATAGTGTTTACCCCCGAGGTACCAATCCCAAGACTGCCGTACACATCTTCGAGTCCCCAGTCGTGGCTCGTCGGGGGACGAACCCCAAGGCTACTTCACCCAACACACAATCCATGTCGGCCCGAGGAACAAATCCCAAGGCCGATACGCCCAACTCCCACTCTCACCTCGTGTCTCCTCGAGGGACGAACCCAAAAGTTGGTGCACCCAAGTCTCATTTGTTGTCGCCGAGAGGCACCAATCCCAAAATCACATCGCTCAACTCCCGATCTGTCTCGCCTCGAGGAGGCACCAACCCCAAGGCTGAGTCCCCTAACGCGAAATGGCTCGAAACCGAGTCTCCAGGAGAGTATCTTTCATCACGAGGTACCAATCCGAAATCTGGATCGCCCAAATCCCACGCCATGTCCTCGCGGGGCACCAATCCCACAATCGAATCACCTAGCGTACAGCTTCTTGACGATGACGATCCGTCAATACATCTGGAAGCACGGGGTACCAATCCGAAGATGGCATCGCCCAAGCCCCGGCTCGTGTCATCTCGAGGTACCGATCCCGAGTCCAAGTTGCCCCAGGTGCAAGGGCTCGAAGACGAGGCCTCGTGGCCCGATTCCCATTTGATGTTCTCTCGAGGAACGAACCCCAAAGCTGAATCGCCCAGGTCGCAGCTAGTAGAGGACGATGCTCCGGGTATCCTGGCATCACGGGGTACCAATCCCAAAATCGCGTCACCCAACTCCCATGTCATGACGTCGCGGGGCACGAATTCCAAGGCCAAATCACCAACGGCGCGTATGCATGAAGATAACGGGGATGCCCCGGAAGTTCTACGAGCACGAGGGGCAAATCCCAAGATCGCATCGCCCAACTCCCATCGTGCATCCCCGCGGGGCACCAATCCCAAACCGCCCGGATCCCTGATCTTCAAGCTCCATTCTCGCGCAGTACGTGCTCCTTTCTACCCGGCTACCTCTCGCACCATCCCGTCGTCATGTCACAGCTGCATCTGCTGACAGTTACGCTCCATATGAACAGGACGTGGACAGCGTTGCCCGTGTCATGGAGGCGCTAGGAGGGCGGGTGCGTAGACGGCTCGACTACTCTGCATTCAAGGCAGTGTCTGCGGACCTCCCCAGCCAAGACGCGGTCGAGCAGGTTACCAAGATGCCGAGCGTCACCGGCACTTGGCCGATCAAGGAGGAGAGATCGTCCACGGACTGGCTGCGTCGCGCCTCCACCGGTGCAGACAACGCGAAAGAGCTCACAAAGCGGCAGCTGCCAGTCGTCTCCTTGGGCGACGAAAGATCCGCCAATGTGACTCTGACATCCCACATTGCCAGCCAGGTGGACAAGCTCCACGCCAGGGGCCTCACGGGGAAAGGCTTCACCATTGCCATTGTTGACAGCAGCGTAAGACACCGTCACAACGGTGAATGTTCGGCGGCTTGCTGACGACTCGCATCAGGTGGCTTGGGCGCACACCGCTCTAGGTGGATGCGTAGGAGCGGGCTGTGTCGCTCACTTTGGCAATGTTCACAATGGAACCGTCCCGGCGCCAAGGGATGCGAATGACCATGGCCCTGCCGCAAACTTGAGCGACATCGTCTTAGCGCAAGCTGATACGCATCCCTTGGGGTACTCAGGCGTGGCACCCGGTGCCAAAGTTCGACTGTACGCCCCATCCAGAAATAGACGCCACACGCTCTACCTGGACGATGTGCTGGATGGTATCTACCGCGCATATGGCGACGGAGCCGACATCATCGTCGTTTCGAACCATGCTTCCCAGGGCGGTTGGCCCCAAAGTCCCTTTGCGGCTGCTGTGGCCGACCTTGCGGCCCGTGGCGTCGTCGTCATCGTCGGTGCCGGCGATGGTGGCCAGCAGGGCATGTTTTCGCAGTCGGATCCGTCTGCCGCGGCGGGCGCCATTTCCGTCGGCACCATGGGCAATAGCGTCCAGGCCTCCGTGGCAGAGGCTGGCGAAGCGCGGTACGTTGTCAGTCGCCCGGATGACCTGTCGCCGCACGAAGTGGCCTTTGACTACTTCCCGACCCGGTACATGTACAACAGAGAATTCAGAAGCACGCCGAAAAAGGTGTATTCCACCGTTCGTCACGACGCCCTCGCCGGAGATGCATGTGAGCCGCTTCCGGAGACGACTCCAGACCTGAGAAACAAGATTGTCCTTGTCCCCACGGGTGGGTGTGACGTCTTGGTCAAGGTGCGCCATGTCGCGAGCAAGGGCGCCGAAGCGGTTCTTCTGTACCCGGGGTCAGAGGCGCCGCTTCCCACCCGCCTTGACCTGAGCGAGGAAGATGACACGCTGCCTACCATTGGCATGGTCAAGTCCTGTACCGCAGAAGACATCATCAACGCCATCAAGACGGGATCGCGCGTGGATGTGACATTGCCAGATCCAGGCAAGCCGACGCGCTGGGTATATTTTACGCAGCCAGTGGAAGCGGCCATCAGCGACAAGACATCATGGGGCCCGAGTTGGGACCTGGGCCTGAAGCCGCAACTCCTCGCGGTAGGCGAGTCGATCCTCACCGCGACACCAACTGGGTACAGTCTCCGTTCAGGAAGTGCTCTGGCAGCTGCGTTTGTCGCAGGTGCCGTCGCTCTCCTAGGCGAGGCGCGGGGCTCCCTGGACCCAGCCGTCGTTCAGAGCCTGCTGGTTTCCAACTCGCAGCCCCAGCCCTTGCGGACGGCAAATGGCTTCATGCCCTATCTTGCACCGGTTGCGCAACAAGGAGGCGGCCTGCTACGGGCCTATGATGCCGCGTACTGCACGACAATCCTGACGCCGTCGAGCTTGAACTTTAATGACACCGAAAGCGACGTGCGAGGGATTGACTTTGTGATCCAGAATGGTGCCACGATCGAGGTGGTGTATACGTTGGCTCATTTTCCTGCGCTCACGGCCTACGCCTTCCACTCTGACGGCCAACTGGACGGCTTTCCGAAAAGGGGGCCGGAGACGGTGCCGAGCTTTGCCAGGCTATTCTTGAATCATACCACCGTGACTGTTCCGGCGGGAAAGTCTGTTACCGTCCGCGTGATGGCATCTGACCCCAAAGGACTCGATGCCAGTCGTCTTCCCGTCTGGTCTGGCTATATATCGATTAACGGCTCTGATGGCTCGTCTCTTTTCCTGCCTTACCAGGGCATCGCCGGATCCATCCGTAAGCGTCGCGTGCTGTCCGCAGACAGCGTTGACCTCTGGGAAGGAGGCGTCAACCGCGGGCAGTCGTCAGGACTCGTCGCCACCTTTTCGCGAAGCGGTGACCTCTTTCGCAAGCCGTCGGGCTACGACTTCGGCTTCGCAATTACACCCGACGCCGGTATCTCGCAGATCCAGGCCTACGTCGCGGCGGTACCATCAGGGCCAGGTCATGCTACGAGCCAACCAAACTCGACAGCGCATACTGCGCCCACGGAGAGGCAACTGCATGGGTTTCCGCAGTTTTGGAAGCCCAAGGACGTTAATTTCTTCACGTGGGACGGCATGCTGGACTCTGGCGAGTACGTGCCCGAGGGAGAGTACAAGTTTGTCGTCCGGGCTCTACGAATTTTTGGGCATGCCGACGACGCCCGTGATTGGGACACGAGTGACTCTGCACCATTTCATGTCAAGTACAACAGCACGTAGGCATCGAGTGTAGAAGAAGTTGTCCCCTGTGCATCCTGCCTATGGCGGGTGCCGTGGGGCAGTAGGCCACTGCTTGCTGGTATCAATGCCTCAACTTGATCGCGAACAGCGACTACAGGCGTGTGTCTTGTCTGACTCTGGATGATGTTCTCGTTGCCCTCGCCATGCATTCAAACAGATAGACTTCGGCAATGCCGCTTCAGTACCGAAGAGCCGGGCTTCTACCAGACCACGACGAGATGAGGGAACATGAACCAGTTCCGGTTGCAGAGGCGGGCGGGCCGACTGAGGCGACCTGTGTTGGCTGACGCGGGGCGGGAGAAGAGCCAGATCCGGTGCCAAACACCGCGCGCCATGGGCAGCACCCCAAACCCCTAACTCCGCGCGAGGGCCAGCTTGCATGGGGCCCCCTACTGCGCTCAGCAAATGACCGCGCGGAAAGCCTCTGGTGGCTTCAACTTTGCGGCACAAGCACACTGAAGTCTATTAACACCACGGTTTCTGCTGGCGCAGGACGAATGAAAGGAGAAAAACATGGTACAAGAAGAGACAAGGTTCGGGATGAGCCTTTTCATAATTAACAACATGAAGACAACGATCGAATAAGGGGCGTGCACCGTTCCTGGCAATCCGTGAACGCTGCACTTGGCCAACGCCATTTACATCCTTGGGACTCTCCCATGTCGTGAGAGCTGACTTCAAGTTCGCAGTCGTCTCGGCAAATGCCTCTTTGGGATGACATGGAGGCTGTCTTTCCCCACATGGCGACTGGATGCTGACATGATACTCAAGCCTCGGAGACTTTTGTTACCACCGCCATGGCAACATGGCCCGACTACTGATTCCATTACCAACTGGTATTTGCGGATACGTATGGACGGGAGAAGGCCTAAAGCCAGTGCCCCTTATAACTGCATTCCTCAGGGGCAAATCAATCGCAAGAGCCAAGGCGTCCTCTTCTGAACCCAGACTCACCACATCTCCGTCCGAGAGCTTCTTCGATTCCGGGTGAGCGACTCGACTTCACAGTCCTACGGTCATCGCCAGCCACCAAGGCGGCCATCATGGGCCATCCAATCTCCAAGGTGGCCTACACGCCCGTGTCGTACATCCTCAGCGCTCTCGGTCAGCCCCTCATTTCTGGAGGACTCTTGGCGGCCATCACAGTCCCTTCGCCTCTTCGAGACACCGTTTGCAACGTGGTACAGACGGGCGCTCCCATTCATATCGCCCACCTGAGGTCGATACTCTTCGGCATCCTTTTTCTGGGAAGCGTTCGAACAGCAAGTCGCGTACTGGACCATCGCGCCAATACGAACGAGTCGCGGTCCGACTCGTCTCGATGGAACTTTCCAAACGAAATCGTCGTCCTTACAGGCGGGTGCGGTGGAATAGGCAAGTCTATCGCCGGGTTGTTGTCAGCAAGGGGCATCCAGGTTGCGGTTCTTGACATACAGGCGTCGCCTCCCGAGTTTGACGAGAACCCGAACATCCACTACTTTTACTGCGACATCACGTCCCAGCGCAGTGTTCGGGACGTCGCGCAGCAGATACGCGATACCCTTGGGGAACCATCTGTGCTCGTCAATAACGCCGGAATCAGTCATCGCAAGTCCATCATCGAACTGTCACGCGCGAATCTCGAGCAGACGTTTCAAGTCAACGCCATTGCGCACTGGACAACATGCCAAGAGTTCCTGCCGGCCATGATCGCCGCCAACAAGGGCCACATTGTCGCAGTGGCTTCATTGGCGGCATTTGGGGCCATGCCGTTGCAAGGCGACTATGCTGCGACGAAGAGCGCAATCCTGGCCTTTCACGAGTGCCTCATCGGTGAACTCAAGCACATCCACAAAGTGGAAGGCATCTTGAACAGCGTGGTATGTCCTGGATGGACGCGAACCCCCATCATCGCCAAGTGGGGACCAAAGATTTCGGAGGGCGCCATGGACCCAGAAAGGGTGGCAACGAGGGTGGTGGAACATGTCGTGGAATGTGTGGGAGGGCAAAGCTTTGTGCCGGAAAGCCTGGGGCCTCTGTCCATTACAAGGGCATTGCCGCTGTGGCTTCAAGCAGTCGTGCGCGACGCAGCGTGGAAACTTATGATGAACAAGGCGTAGATGTCTGTCTCTGGTAGCTAGCTAGTAACTTAGGTCACAATTTGGCAAGTGGCTCGTCGTGGCGTGCGAGAGCAACCCATTCCGAGACCTGGCGTTGAACCCTCAACATGAGTTAGTAGCGATACTGATGCCTGTTAGCAAACACTCTTGCCTGTCCCTGGGGGCAAGATTCCCAGCTTACCCTGAACTCAATATTCTCTTTGTCGGTCAAATCGTAAAACTCGCTGTTCTCCTGGTGCTCCGTTGTCGCGGAGAGCCTCTCTCGTCGCCTGTTCTCATACCAGTAGTAGCCCATCAATGCCAGGGTCACGAGACACCCAGCACAACTTGTTGCCAGAATGGTAATCTTGGCAGGGATATATCTCGGAGCGTCGTGGTCCTGAAACGTCAAGGGACCAATAATGTTTCCGATGCCTACTTGTCTATTAGCTTCTCCTCGCGAAGTAAACAGCCCTTTGTGTCCTTACCAAAGGCGACGAGAAGCATGGCGTTCATGGTAACCTTTTTCGTGTTGCCGGCAAAGTTGGACGACGAATACGAGTAGAGAAGGGTCATGGCAGATCCAATAAAGTTGGTCAAGAAGTTGCCAGCAAGCTGCACGCCTTGGCTGTCTTTCGGCGAGAAGGCGATGAGCCCACCGCCAAGAATGCCGCCACCAGCCAACAAAAAGATGATGCCCACGCCACTGGCGTTGAATCGACCGCCAAACCAGGCAACGCCCAGTGTCGACACAATGGCCACGGCACCAGACCCAATGGAAAGAAGAGCGGTTTCCTTGGAGGAGAAGCCAAACCCCTCGATGATGGCCGCTTGATAGCTGGACACCGCGCCATTGGGGATGTTGGAAAGAATGTTGATGAGGCAGAGAAGTATGGCCTGCGGATCCCGCAGACACTCGAGTACCTGGTACAGCTTGAAGTGCTTGTTTTCGATGCCAGTCTTGTTTTCACGGAGCCGTTCAATGGCCCACACCTTTTCCTCGTGCGAAAGGAACGTGGCCGTCATGGGGTTTGCCGGCAAGATCCACACAGTGACAAGACCAATAGCAATGGTAATTAGACCAAAGAGAAGGAACATGATTTGCCAGGACTTGAACGTTTGGCCGCCGTAAAACTGGAATCCATACGATGCCAGGGCGCCGACGATTTGTCCAATGCCAGTGGAGAGGTACCAGATGCCCATGCGAAGGGGTTGCTCCGAGCGCTTGTACCACATGCCCGTGACTAGGATGAGCGCAGGTGCGACAACGGCGACGAAGCAGCCTAGCAGCACTCGAAGTGCAACCAACGCGGCATAGTTGCGGGCTCCTGCGGATTCATATAGAGGTTTAATGCACGACCAAGGAAAGACAGTGACGGGACTTGCAGCACGTACCGGCATTCGCAGCCACCACAATGCCCCAGAGCATAATGTTGGCACCGAGGTACCGAGAAAGAGGCAGGCGCTGCATGAGGTACCCGGTCGGGAACTCACACACGATGAAGCTGATGTAGAAGATTGTGGCCATGAGGGAAAACTGGTTGCCTGTGATGCCAGTGTCCTCTTTCATGCCCATGACATTGGCGTAGTTTACTGGGGTGACCCGGCCGATCATCAGTCTCTAGCACCCGGCCCAAGATGGGCGCTACCCGGCAGGTGGCACGGAGTTCACTCACGCAGCGTCTTGTCAAGATATTGGAGAAAGTAGCAGCATGTCAACAGCGGCATGATGCGCCAATCGATTTTCCGGACAAGTCGTTTCTCATCGCTCTCGGTCATGACCGTCCGGGTTCCTTCATTATCAAGGAACTTCAAGGCGGCATCCACATCTCTGGTGGAGATGCGCTTCGTGGGGCCTCCATCCTCGAGCTCGATGGCGCCGGAGATGTTGTCACCGTCGCTGCGCCGGGGCATGGTGCTGAGCAATTCACGTCACTTGCAACAAAAAGAAGTAGATAGAGGTCAGATTGAAAGTAGCATGCTAAAGGCGTTATGACGCGTCTGAGAGCTGCGCAGACCATTGGCATGGGCGCCTTTATAAACAGTATAAGTCGCTGTGGGCTTGACGCATCGATGTGGCTGCCACACGGTTTCATCACTCTGTCCTCCAGCCTTCCCCGCAGATCCCCCGCAAAAGATTATCGGCATCCGAACTAGTCCAGAGAAGACCGATGTACGGAGGCGTTATCTGGGGATTGGGATCATGGCGAGGGCGGGGAAATTGCTGCCCGGATTGGTAGTGGTTGCGCGTTTGACGACTTGGCTGGCATTGCCCGTCGGGCTATCGCTTCCACGAGACGAGGCGATTGCAAGGTTATTTGCTTCGACCAAGTACAGCCTGTTTTCTCTAGGGCTTATCATCGCAGCGTTCAGGAGGCCCTCCACACCACCCGGTGCGGAACGTGTTGCCGTAGGCCCGCTTTTTTCGGCCTGGGCAGTTCTCCACTTTGCCCCGCGGAACCCGATGGCCGGCGCCGAGTGAACTCCAGGTGTCCGGCAACTTTGGCGCACAGCGCATGCATGATCGTATGCGCGGCATCGGGAGAGCCTCGAATCTTTCGGTTCATGTTGCCTTGATACACCTACCACGACGGTCATGTTGAAAGCGACGCCGAGAAAGGGCATCGCTACGACTCAGTGGCATGACACGGTCGCGCAACTTGCAAGAGACGGACCGCTCCAAGTGAAGACCTGGTCAACAAGCTTCACTTGAGGCCCGGCATACCCAGCCGGATGCCGAGTCCGCAAATTGCTATTGAAAGCGTTACGTCGCATCCCAGACGCTAGCCCGCTTGGCAACCCACAATCGCACCCTGGCCTGCGTGAGAATAGTGGCAAGCCCTTCACCAGCGGCAGTCCGTCTCCCGTCCGTTTTCGTGACACTCGTGGAGGATGTATATCCTCTCTGTTGTTCTCCACTTTTCGTATTGATTGCATCGCACGAACTGTTGCGCCCTCGGCATTCGGCGTTCTTGCCATTGACATGCAACGCCGAGAGACAATCGGACGAAAGCCGGGTACATGCTCGAGCTATCACTGCTGCGTCACAGGCGGGGTGTAAAAAACGGGAGGCTCATCATCGGCCCTTCCATGTTCATCAAGCAACAGTACAACATACTTTTGTCGAAAGCTTCGACCTTGTCATAAGTCACCATGAATGGCAAACACCACCAGCACGGCGAGCCACCATCGAGCAATTTTTCCAAATTCGGATCGCGACGAAGTGTAGTCTATAGCACGGAAGGCATTGTAGCGTGCACGCAGCCTCTTGCAGCAAAATGCGGCATTGAGATTCTTAGGTCGGGTGGAAATGCTGCGGTGAGCCCTCCGCTAAGAAATGTCAATCCCTTCGGACTTGTGAACACTAACAGAATGCCCACAGGACGCGGCGGTTGCCGTTGGTACGTGACAACTCCCACAAATTGCCGCCTACAAAGTAGCAGAAGGCTTACGTTGACTTGGATTAGCCGCTGGAATGAACATGACTGAGCCCTGCTCAACGGGTATCGGCGGTGACATGTTCATTCTGTACTGGGACGCCAAGGCCAAAAAAGTCCACGCGTTGAACGGCTCCGGACGCTCGGGCATGCAGTGCTCCCTCAGCTCCGTACGAGCTGCTCTGGGTCTTGAAGACCGATCAGAGGGTGATAAGATTCCGTTGACGAGCGTTCATTCCGTGACCGTTCCCGGCGCAGCGGCCGGCTGGGTCGACACCGTAGAGCGGTTTGGGAGTGGAAAGCTGCTGCTATCACAGATCCTCGAGCCTGCCATTCAACTTGGCGAAAAGGGCTTCCCCGTGTCAGAAGTGGCCAGTCACAACGCAAGTCTTGCCGCACCGACCGACATCCGTGACAACGAGGCACTGACGAGAAATAGTGGCGCGCATCGGAAAAGCTCCTAAAGGCGGCTTCACCGAATTTCGGAGAAATGCTGAAACGGGACCCGGCAGCAAAAGGCGGATGCAGGGCGCCTCATCCAGGGGAGCTCATGAGGAACCCAACCCTGGCGCAGACATTTCGTGTTCTGGGTGAGCAAGGTAAAGCCGGATTCTACTCTGGCAGGATCGCTCGCGAAATCATCAACGTGACAAAGGACCTGGGCGGCGTGCTCACCGAAGAGGACCTGCAACACCATATGGAGATGGGAAGTGAGATGGCAGAGCCCATATCCGTCCAGTTCTACGGCCAAGGCCTCGGGGACGATGGAGTAGAGTTGTGGGAGCAGCCTCCAAACGGTCAAGGGCTCGTCGCCTTGCTCGCTCTGGGTATTATCCAGGAAATGGAAAAGCAGGGCAAGGTACCGGTATTCCAGCCCCAAGACTTCAACTCGGCACCATACCTGCACGCCATCATTGAGGCGCTGCGATTGGCCTTTGCGGATGGAAGCTGGTACATTACAGACCCGGCGACGGCCAAGATTCCAGTCCAGGAGCTGCTGTCACCAGAGTATCTCGCACAACGGGCTACGCTGTTTGATCCCACGAAAGCCATCCGCCACAAGGACCACGGAACCCCCTTCTCCTCTCCGGCACTGCAGAGCAGCGATACGGTGTACTTTGCCGTGTCGGATTCGGACGGCAACGCAGCATCGTTCATCAACTCCAACTACGACGGCTTCGGAAGCGGCATCGTTCCCAAAGGCTGTGGCTTTACCTTGCAAAACAGAGGATGCAATTTTTCCCTCGACTCATTCCATCCAAACAAACTCGAACCACGGAAAAGGCCTTACCATACCATCATACCCGGCATGACAACAAATTTGAGCGACGGGTCCTTGCACTCGGCCTTTGGCGTCATGGGCGGATTTATGCAGCCACAAGGCCACGTCCAGGTCCTTTTGGGGCTCGTTGTCGGCAAACTTGGCCTCCAGGAAGCGCTTGACGCACCCAGGGTTTGTATTGCCTCTCGTATGATGGAGGAGGGTGTTGAGGACTGGACCGTCAGTGTGGAAGAGGGCATGTCCGAGGAAACCATCGCTGGGCTCAGGCAGCTTGGCCACCAAGTGGAGATTCTCAGAGGCTGGGACAGGTCCATGTTCGGGCGCGGGCAAATCATCCGATACAGTCAGGATCCAGTAGAGGGGATTCCGATTTGGTCAGGAGCGAGCGACCCGAGAGGTGACGGGGCTGCGTACGCCGCAATCTGACAGTTTGACCTATAGTTAACACCTGCGATACAGCCTCACCACCAGTGGCATCTAGCGCCCCCCTCCTGCTGTAGGTCCTAAGAATAGGGAGAGGTGGCGACCCCCAAACGCCCGCCAGAGTAGAGGCTCTAGTCAGCCGGAAACACCCCGTCAGCCAGTGTCTGTGGGGCGCTTACGCCCGCTGAAGCAGACAGAACGACTCGGACTTGGGATCAGGCTTCACATGGAATCAAGGCCGTCTGAGACAAAGTAACCTACAACCCTTCCCGCCACATATGAATGTTACGTGCCCCGCCTCCCATCATCACACGGTGAGCCCTCAGGCACCTTTTCCGAGTGCCAAGTCGAGAACGCTGATGGCAGCCATCGCCGCCGGCCAAGGGCGGGAAGCCCTTGTCCGAGCCATTCGGTCCACGCCCATCATCGACAATCATGCGCACCCGCTGCTGAAACGCGACGCGCTGGGGCGACACCCGCTGCTGTCCATCGCGACCGAGGCCCACGGCGATGCTCTCCACACCAGCAAAGACGGCCTTGCGCACTACCGTGCCGTGAAGCAGCTCTCGGAGATACTCGGATGCGACCGGACGTGGGAAGCGGTCGCAGCCGCCATCGAGCAACGGCGCCAGAGCGATTACGATGCGTGGATTGCGACCTGTCTTTTCGGCATTCAGTGCGTCTTGGTGGACGATGGGCTCGACGGCACGGGCGAAGCGGAGCCGTACTCGCATTTCGACAAGTTCACCTCGAGCGCCGCCAAAAGGATTGTTCGGATTGAGCATGTTGCGGCCCCTCTGATTGAGGCGGCCTGCACGACGTGCAACTCCGCCAAAGAGGCGTACCGGGAGTTTGGACGAACGTTTGAGCAGTCCATCCTGCACGCCATTTCGGATCCCGAGGTTGTCGGCTTCAAGTCGGTCATTTGCTACCGTACAGGCCTGGCCATTCCACGGACGCCAAATGCTGAGCAGGCAATCTCCGCGTTTGAGGGGATTTTCGAGCAACGCCGAGCGCCCGGCGCAGAGGCATTCGCGCGTGTCGACCATCCTGGCCTCAACGAACATCTCGTGCACTTTGTTGCCGGCCTCGTGAAGACCAGCCACGGCAACAAGCCAATCCAGTTTCACACCGGCCTTGGAGACAACGACATTACGTTGACAACCTCGTCGCCCTCGCACCTCCAAGCCTTCATCGAGGAATATCCCACGGTCCCGATCGTCTTGCTGCATTCGGGCTACCCCTTTGCCCGCGAGACGGGCTACCTGGCGGCCATGTACGCCAACGTCCACGCCGACATTGGCGAAGTCTTTCCGTTCCTCAGCAGGGACGGGCAGGAGAATGTCGTGCGACACATTCTAGAACTCTGCCCCGCGTCCAAGATTCTGTGGAGTACCGACGGCCACTGGTTTCCCGAAACGTACTTTCTCGCCGTGACACAGATGCGGGAGGTCTTTGAGACGGTGCTGTGCGACTATGTTCACAAAGGCGATCTGAGCTGGGCGCAAGCCATACGTGTCGTCGAGGATCTCCTGTTCCACAACGCCAACAGACTTTACAACCTAAAGCTGGAAATGCACCCGCAGGCGTCTCCTGACTTGGTTGTACGGGGAACGACTCCTCCGTCAGCGATTCTGCAACTGGACGACTCGGTTCAATTCTTGCGCGTCTGTTGGAACGACATGACGGCAACCCCGCGGATGCGTGCCGTGCCCATGCGCCGCGTACAATCCCTGCTACAAGGCAAGGAAGGCCTTTCGTTTGGCATTACGAAAGCCTGCTTGGGAATGACGCAAACTGGTGCGCGGGCGTCAGGGGCCAGCGCCGTGGGGGAGTGGCGCCTGCATCCCGACCTTGGCAGCCTCCGCGTCGGGCCGAGGGTTGGACACGCTACGGTCATGGCCGACTTCAGAGAACAGGACGGCTCCGTCGTTCCGCTATGTCCAAGGTCAGCGTTGCAGCGAGCGGCTCGAATGGCGGCACTGGAGGGGCTGACGTTTGAGATTGGCTTCGAGGTCGAGGTTGTTATTCTGGGAGTCGCCGACTCCGGATATGAGCCGCTCAGAGGAGTCGGCCATCAGTGGTGCATTGCCCGCGCAATGGATCATGAGGTTGTCGCGACAGTCATTGAGACCGCGATTGAGCAGTTGGAGGCGGCTGGCGTGTTCGTGGAGATGGTGCATGCCGAAAGCGCCAGTGGGCAATACGAGATTATCCTGCCCAAGTCGACACCCCTCGAGGCCGTCGACACTCTTCTCTTTGCGCGCGATGTCATCTCCTGCTGCGCGACAGCGCGGGGATACAAAGCCACTCTGCACCCCAAGCCCTTTGCCGACGACTGCGGAACGGGGGGCCACGTTCACATGTCCATCTCGTCACCTGGCGGCGAGAGCAAGGACGTCTACGAACCCTTTTACGCCGGTATATTGCATCACCTCAAAGCGATAGCCGCGTTTACCTATAGCAACCCTGCGAGCTACGAGCGAGTGCGGGACGGGTGGTGGGCGGGCGGCACCTGGATTACGTGGGGCACACAGAACCGAGAGGCGCCGCTGCGCAAGATTGACGGGAGCCACTGGGAACTCAAGTGCGTCGATGGACTGGCTAACCCGTACCTGGCCATGTCAGCGATCCTCCTGGCTGGGCTGGATGGAGTGCGGAGCCAAACGCCCCTGAGATGGAGTGACTGCACGGAGGAACCTCACACGCTCTCCGACGAGGAGAGGGAGCAGTTTGGGGTGACTGAAAAGTTTCCTGCCAGCCTCACAGAGGCTTTCGCTGCGCTTCGGAAGGATACTACGCTGCGCGGCCTGCTCGGCGAGGAGCTGGTGGACAGGTACCTAGCGGTCAAGGAGATTGAGACGGAGTTTCTCGGGACGATGGACAGTGAAGCACGGAGACAATGGCTCATAGAACGGTATTAGTCCGAGACCAAACTCGATGTCCCGGTCATGGGGATGGCGTCGGTCGGTGTTGTATTGAAGCGACCGCGAATAGCATCATAGACAGCTCGTAATGCTGAGCCCTGTTCTCATGCCAATATACACTTGCTTCAACACCAACACGCAGGCCAGAGTGAACGCGACTCTACCGCACTAGTTTGCGTCTCGCGCCCCGGATCAGGCGTCGTTGGCGTCGGGTACCGATGCCAGTATTCACCGACGTTCCGATATGGGCTTCGCATTGGACCTCTCTATCCCGTGCAGAATCTATCGCGCCACCCTTCTGGGCGCCGAATCTCAGGACTCGAGCTTCTTGTCGCCATTCTTCTTGAACGCCGTTGCAGCATCCAGGGCATCCATCAGAGTATCAATGAGGTCCTCCACGTCTTCCAATCCAGCCGAGATTCTCACGCTCTCCTCCTTGACACCGCACGTACGCATGTATGCCCTCTCTTCGGGGTGCTTGGAGAACATGAACATGTTGTAGCACAGCGCGAGGGTGACGTGGCCGCCCAGATGCGGGCTCGGGTAGAACCCAAGCCGGTCGTAAAAGGCCCTCGCCGTGGCCACGCTTTCAAAGTTGACCGTCATGAGACAGCCGTATCCCAGCTCGGGCAGCTCCTTGGTGCTGTGTCTCTTGTACTTGTCGTATAGCGCCTTGCTAGGCAGGAGTCCCGGATATTGGACGCTAACTACGGGAGAATCGGCCTTACCGATGGTGCTGTCGAGGAACGTCGCCATGGCATAGGCATTGCGGTTCAGGCGGCGCGTGCGGGCGAAAAAGTTTTGCGAGTTGGCCAGCAGCACGTCCGCATCGGCAATGAAGAGCTCGTTGTGGTGCGTCGACGAGAACACCGGGGATATGGCCGCATAGTGTCGCGACAGCGGGTTGAGAACGATGGAGCCGCCCATGACGTTGGAGAGACCGCTAAACGACTTGGTGAGGGAGGTCAAGAGAATGTCCGACTCGGCAAGGATGTCGACGTTGCCGAAGCCGGCGACGGTATCGTCGAGAATAAGGACGAAGCCATGCTTCTCCGACTGTCCAGCGTGGTCAGCTCCAAACATCTCTCGGCACTCGCTAGGCCTAGACGAACCAGTTTCTTGAGGCGCGCCACATCGACAGTGTCGAGCGTGGGGTTCCCAGGCACCTCGACGAGCACGTGGCTGACGTCTCTGCTGCTCTTGGTTTCTTCATCCAACCACGACTCGAACGCGTTGATGCCTTCCTCATCGACGCGGCCGAAATGCTTCCAGCCGTGCGGTGACTCCTCAATCAGATGGTGGTACGTGTTGTGGAAGACGACGCCGAGAACGACAATGGTCCCCGGGCGGAAGCGCACAAGGGCGTTGCTCGTGTGAAAGACGGCTGCCATGCCTGTAGGATACAGATACACATCCTTGGGCGCGCACGTTACCTTGGTCGGGTCCAGCGGAGCCCGATGCAGTAGCTCGACGATGCGCTCGCGGAGGCCCTGGTGCGAGGGACCCTCGGGCGTCCACGTTGGCGCCGGCATGTCGGCGATCGCGGCGTCTATCGCAGCCGGCATCTCGACCTCCTTGATCGTGGCGACATCCTTGAGGAGCTGCTCTCCCGCTCGAATGGACAGACCGATGCCTGGGTTGCTCCACGTCGCCATGGCGCCCAGCATGTGCTTGGGGTCGTAGAGCACAACAAAGAGCCGGTGGCCCCCGACGTCGACGCACTTGAAGTGAATGTCGTCGGCCTTCATGACGTGCTCCTTGCGCTGCTCCAGCGTGATGTGGCGGCGCGTATACGGGCCCATTTCCGGGTTGAGATACGGCAGGGCGACGGAGCCCTCCATGCCGAGCTTGTCGGCGATGGCCTTGCCCAGCTAATACAGAGCGGCCCATTGCCGACGGGTTAGCGAGGGAACACGCGACGGAGCACCACACGAAGTGACGGTAGTGACGGTACCTCGGCTGCATAGTGCGTCGGCGAGAAGCGCGGGTAGATGTGGACGATGCGCGACAACGCCGACATGTCGCCATCGCGGATGGTGCGCGCGACGTCCCATCCCGGGAGGTTGGTGACGATGCTGTAGGGCGTCTGCGGGGGCGGGGCATGCCCAAACTCGGATTCCGGCCTGAGAACAACCATTGTTACGGGGGTCGCGCGTTGCGATGTGATGCTGGTCCACTGAGTACTGACTCGCTCAGCGCGCGAATGGTGGCCGGGATGCCAGGCTTATAATGCAAAGGATCTGTGTCTGCACGGGGACGGCCCCTTTCAAGCCCTCGTGCTCCGGCAAGTGAATAAACGGGGTGAGTCCTTGACATGGATGCGGAGTCGACAATACTACCGTCAAGTTGCCCTCTGTGCCGCCCCATTCTGACGACCGGCAGGCGTGGTGGCGATCCAGGGCTCGGACGAAGCCCATATCAGCCCGACACACGTCGTCTGGTGCAGCAAACAAAGCCGGCGTCTGACGCCTGATCTTACGTGAGTTCCCCGAACCTCGATAACAAATGGCGCATAAGCATCGGGTAGATGCAAGATATGCAGGAACCCGGGCTCGTGTTTGGATAGCCTTTTGATGATTAATAGCCGTGATCCCGACCCGTGGTGCACTCCAGGGTGTTGGGGCTCACGCACCGTCTCTGTAAGGCGCGGCGCAGCGAGGGGCCGGTGCTGAGACAGGGTTGTGATTCCACACAGCACGCAACGAAGTCTGTAGACATGGGGCGCCGTAGTTAGGTATCGTCGCTCAATGAGGCCTCTTTAAGACAAGTCGTCGCTCACGGTGGCGAGGGGAAGACATGGAATTGTTGCAATGCAACCACACATTGCCAACTGCTAGGCTCCCCGCAACCGACTTCCTCATGCCTGAGGGCGGGGAGCCGATAGTGATGGGTAGGTGGTCTTTTTGGGGGGCTAACGTCATGGGGTGTGCGCCTGGTCGACCATGCAGCGACGAGCACGACCAACAAGCGTGGCTTCAGCGTGCGCGATGTGCAACATCACACAGCTGCCAGTGAGTCTACCAGGCTGTCAAAACGCAGCACTTGGTGCCTTGAGGCCATGGGACGACACGAGATGAGATTCCAAGCGTGCGTGTCACGTTGCCCTCCCGTTGGTCCGCTATGCTAGATTGACTGCATGCTTCATTGATTGCCCCTCTGACGAGAGTACCCACGAAACGAATGAAGTCAATCAAGCAGTCAATCCGGCAGTCATGCCAACAGTCGATCTAGTAGACAAGCAATCCAGCAGTATATGCGCCAGAAATGCTGACGTTTCAGTAGTCAGCGACGGCGCTACTATCGTGCGACTATTTGGTTCAATGTACTGTGCTCAACTAGGCCCCGTCCGTGAATTGGGGGCCGCTTGTAGACTTCGCATGATAAGGATGCGACCGATGAGGGAGCAAATGCTAGCCTACTTCCAGTCAATTGAGCAAGGCGAAGGGAGGACATACCTTGTCTTCTTTTGTCCATTTTAGGACAGAGACGTTCAAAACTGCCGTCACCTTCTCGTGAAATGCCTTGCTTCGATACCTCCATAGAAAGTCTCACGAGTATTAATAATGCATAAACGTCTTGAAGGAATCCTTTTGGTCTTGACAGTGATTCCGGCGTGGCATTGATGTTTGGTGTTTGAGCTTGTAAACATCAGCACCTGGAGGAAGCTGTCATTAGAGATTGGCGTAGGTACTACGCAGCATCTCAATGGCGCGGTCGCCGTGCTGCCGCCCCGCGGCTGCCGAGATCACTTGCGCCGACCAAGTCGATGTCCACAGGGCGAGCATCATCAGTCATACTGGTAGACTTGCATCACCACGAGCTTCCACTGTAGTGACGTACCGCCGTCACCAGTGGCTAAACAATGATGTGATGCAGCGTCCACAGGGCCGCAGCTATATTAACTCGGAAATCTCAGAGAGCGCAGGATTTTCCCTTTGTCCATATAGTTCCAAGAAACCTAGATCCGTAATCACAACCTGTAGAAAGACCGCCAAGAGCATACCCAGAGATTACTACGCAGCAGTTTGGCATCTTCGACTATACAGGATGTCTGATAGGACGGGCAAAAAGAACAAGAAGAGCAGGACGTTCAGCGCCATGGATGCGGCTGCCCTGCTTCTCTTTGACGGCGCCATGACGTCTGAGCAAAAGTCCAAGACGGCCAAGAAGTTGCGCGACAAGCACGACGATCCCAGTACGTATGGGTTCTATGATACGTACACGACGTCAAAGGAGAAGAAAACATGGAAGAAGCTGAAGAGCGAGGAACGCGGTGCAAGCAGCGGTCAGGGTCGCAACCCGAGTTATTCCTCCATGTCGGCAGGTAGCACGGCCGTCGGCCCAAGCCACGCATCAAGCCACAATCAGTCCAATCAGAGATACGGTTCCACAGGGAGTTATGCAAGCGGTGATTCAAGTCATCTATCGAGACAGAGTCGCTCAAACAGGGGTCAGAGCTACAGCGAGCGCCGTCGCACCCACCAGGCGTTTGTCGCGAGCGCGTCCACAACACCGCAGTCAAAAGCCCGCGGCAGCGGAAAGTAAGGGGAAACCTTGGCTTCCAAACTCATGGTCAACTGCAGTCTTTTCATGGCTAAGCGGCCCGACTGTGCCCAGTGACCTCAACTGCAGGACCGGAGCCGCGATATGGGCTGGCTGAAAGGGCATGGAGCCAGCTGAGGCCCGTCAGCCCTGGCCTCGGTGAGCGAATGGTCGGATTTGTGTCGAGCCGCGGGATGCAACCTTCTCCGCATCGTACTGGCAGCGGAATACGATGCATTGCCATGCAATCTTATTTAAACCCGGCATCCCAGTAAGCGCCAGCGCGCGTGAGAGATGTTCTCGCTCTGAAGCCTGCATATGCACTGCACTGGCAAAACCCCTGCCGCAGGCGCGAAAGAGCACCATTGAAGCCAACAAGATGCCCTGGCTACCTTCGTACGGCCTCTACGCGATCCTGCTTTGGCCGACAGCGTTGGCCCAGACGTCCACAGTGGTTGTCATACCCACCCCTCTCATTTGGCAAGACGCGCAGGCATACTGCGGACAAATTGGACACACCATCTATCCTGTCCCGGCGACGCCCACCGACGCCGTGTACGATGTCCTCGAGGCTCAGTCGAGTGAGAGGTTCTGGATTCGGCGCCGCACTGGCGGCTCCTGCACGTGCCTGAACAGGGACGGGTCCGGGGACAAGCTGGAGGAGGCGCCATGTGGCGATGCTCTGCCGTTCTTTTGCAAGGACTGTTCCCATGGGGGAGACGGGTGCTGAGTGCATGGCAGAAGCTGAAGGCGTGGCCAACGGCATGAACTGGCGATTGCTCTTACATGTAGCGGCGCCGTTGTCAGCGACTCCATGTCGCTGGATGACCGCGAAGAAAAATTGGAAACGCGCCAGTTGCACACACAACACCAAATGTTGCGATGAAGACGCCGGCATCTCAAGAACCCTGCAGACACCTCGAAGCTCTTCCTTGACACTCTAGTAAAGAATACCAATGTGTATGCGTCTTTATACTTTGGTCGCGTTGTTGAAGGATGATGTTTTGACGATGGTTCCCAAGAGAAGAACGACCAAACGTAGAGGGGTGTCGTTGGGGTAATTCGCCGGGTGGAAGGCTGTCTGTGCTTTTTGTTGCCTGGAAAGTGCGCTTCTTCAATAATGTACCATGTTCTCGTTCGCTCCCCTTGGTTGAGTAGAGCATAAAAAGGCAGTGAATCCGGTGCTATGAAGCTCTGAAGTGTCGCGTCCAGCTTGAGAGGCTCACTGTTGTGGTGTAGGGTGGCCCATGCGCAGGGCCTGCCATGCGTGGTGATCCAGATTCCCAAAGGCCATTCTCTATCCCCATGTGACTGCGAATCCCTTCCGAGCGACCAGGGAAAATCCTCAAGCGGCCCAAAGCTTAGCTTCTGTTTTGTTGACAAATGCTGGAAGCCAACTCTCGACGCCTGCCTCTCCAGTCAGCTGAAAGCTGCTACCGGAGCGGGCTGGTGTATGCGGTTGTGATATTGCCGTGGTCTGCCACGCAGAATCCTCACACTTCAACATGACATCCTCCTCTCCTGATTCTGCCATGATCATGACAAATTGTATCCCACCGGCTCCCATACTTGGCCGACATGGTAGACGATAGTCAACACGGCTTGCGATCTCTTGGCTCTGTCGCTGCTCCATTACTAATTGAACCCCTCGTTCCATTATTAATGCTCAACCTCAACTTGTAGTAGGTCGGTCCAGAGGAAGCCAGTCCAGGCTCGAACGGGAAAAATAATATCAAGTTTCTTTCCCTCGGCAGGAAGCGTCATTCAGCACACCGCATACATGTAGACCATGCAGCGACGCGTGATAAGTATTGCGTCGATCCCGTCGGGCAGAAAGTTCATTAATCAGATCTCGTCGCGATGAAGTATTTCACAATAGACCCGGTCCCAAACGTGGACGCCAAAGCTCCATGCGAAAACGAAGACCTCACTTTGGCGTACAAGACCTTTGGCTCGCCGAGCAACCCGGCTGTCTTCATACCAACATGCTTCAGTGGTCGCGTCGACTTTACCCTCAACTTCTTGTATGAAGGCTCTGATGCGCCCCTCGCGAACTACTTTGTCATTGTCTGCGGCCTCCTCGGAGGCAGCGACTCCTCCTCTCCGTCCAACGCGCCAGCTTCCTTGCGCGGCCCTCGCTTTCCCAAGGTCACATATGAGGACAACATCCGTCTACAGTATGCACTTTGCCAAACCCTTGGAGTGGCGCAGCTCGAGGCATACATTGGATTTTCCATGGGAGGCCAGCAGGCATACTATATGGCCACGCTGTATCCTGACTTTGTGAAGCGCATCGCCGTCCTCGCCAGCTCGGCCCGCACCAGCTGGCACAACAAGTCCTTCCTCGAGGGACCCAAGACAGCACTGCTCAACAGCATCGACTGGCACGACGGCAAGTACAGTCAGCCGGCACGCAAAGGCACCGTAGCGTTCGCGCGGGCGTACTCGACCTGGGCACTGAGCTCCGCGTGGTTCCGACAGCGCAGCTGGGAGAGACTCGGCTGCGCCTCGGTCGAGGACTACTTGCGCACGAATTGGGATGACGAAATGGGGATGCTGGACGCGCATGACTTGCTGTGCATGCTGACCACCTGGGTCGGAGGCGACATCGCGGCCGTAGGCCAGGGCCCGGCTGGGGAAAACCTGGAACAAGCGCTGGCACGCATCAAAGCCAAGGTCCTCCTGATGCCGTCTCGAACGGACTTGTACTTTCCGCCCGAGGACAGCGAGGAAGAAGTGAAGCACCTGGCACGTGGGCGGCTTGTCATCATTGAGAGCGTATGGGGCCATCTGGCTGGCGGGGAGTTTGGGCCAGAGGAGGACCAAAAGGTCATCAGCAGGGAGGTGCAACGCCTCCTGGCCGAATAGGGACATACTGGACGCAGGGGCCATGTCCCGTCCACGCACCGCTACTTCGCACATGCCACATCATCAATGGCTGAAAGCTTGTATCTCACGTTGCACTAGCCATGTCCGTGGTCACGGCTCTCGTTTTTCTGGCGACGGATCGCAGTAATAAGGAGGCATGTGGTCTGCCATTTGATGCAATGACAATTTGTCTTCTACTAGAAGCCAGGGACCATGGAGCAATGAATACGGCCAATTATTGTGTCTGAATGAGAGGCTATAGGGTATAATAACAAGGGAAAAGAAGGCCAGAAGAAGCTGTGCGATCGACGCTCTCGTCGCGGCCAGGCACGCGCACAGACAGCGGTGGTGCTTCCGACGCCGCCACGAGGAGAGGACGTGGGCTGTCGCTAGACTTTGTTTGCGAAAATTCATCGAGAAGTTGCGAAATTTGCCCACAGAGCCGTCTTTTTGCCTCCGCTCTCGATTTCTCCGCGAACCACTCCACCGAGTCGAAGCAATCATGCTCCTCTTGGTCCAGCCTCGACTGGCCCCTGCGATGCGTAGCGAAGCGGAGGGGCGTCGCCGGGGGCTTTGCCTTGCGCACAAACGCGCGGCGACGTTCATGGTAGCGCTGTGAACGCGCGCTCCAAAAGTCCATGGACATTTGCGCGAGCTCTGTGGCGCGTGCTCGGGCCAGCGCGCCCGCAGACAAGTCGGCATTGCGCTTCCACCGCCCGAGGGACATGTTGCGGAACGGCCACGAGTTCGGCGCGAGCATGGCGTCCACCCGCTGCCGAATCGCCGAGTCAAGCATGTCGCCATAGCCCGGGACGACGGCGTCGACGAGGCCTACGCGCAGAGCATCGTCCGCACTCAGAGGAGTCATCGATCGCAAGAGTGTTGCGGCGCTCTCTGCGCCGCAGCGGCCCGGATAGCTCAGGCTGTGGAACTCGGATCCATGGAGACCCAACGCGCGGTACGCAGGGTTCAAGACGACGTGCTCGCCAGCCAGGACGACGTCGCACGCGGCGGCTAGAGCGACACCCCCGGCAGCGCAATTGCCGCGCAGAGCCGCGACCATGGTGACGCCGCGGGAGGGAAAGTCGCCCAATATCAACTGAACGACGTCGTTGATGGCATTGATATTGTACCACGACTCCAATGCCGGATCCTGCGCCGCGTCGATGACGTTTAGGTGAATGCCATTGCTGAAGTAGGACCTACCACCCATGAGCACAACAGCAGTCAGAGGCAGGTTGTCGGCCACGCGGAGCAAGGCTCTCAGGCATTCGCTGAGTCGCCGGCATTGCGAGGTGCTCATGGCGCCGTTATACAGCGCAAAGTGAACGTACGCCACGTGCCTGTTTTCATCAACGGCAAACTCCACCCATATCTCTTGGAAAGCGGTGTGGCTGTCCTTTGTCCACTCATCAATGTTCGCGGGCGACCGTGCGGCGGTGCCAGGCACAACCTGTGACGATGACCTCGGGTTCTCAATGATGCCAAGCTCGGCGAGGCCAGCCGCGGCTGGGACTTTTGGCCAGAGTTCTGGATCCGTCTTTGCCTTGACACGCCGAATATGGGTGATCCAGACGCCCTTGTGGTCCGCAGTCGCAACGCATACGGCCTCATCACGGATGCCGATGATGCTTCCCGGCGAGACATCTGACGCCACGGCCGGTTCGACGAGTCCACCATACAGGTACAGTTTGGGACCAAAGAGCGCGCTGAGACAGCCGGGCTGCGAGTCTGCGCTCCGGATCCTACGCGAAATCTCCACTGCTGGATGCGTGTTGGGGTCAAAGTCGCGATGCGCCGCTTTGAGCAGTGGACGACAGTGCGTCTGTCCACCGCAAAAGGGCTCTCCAGAGCCGGCAGAGAAGAAGGCATATTCCCCACGGGCCACGAGGCCGGGGTGGATCTTGACGATGGCTCCGTGTGGATCAGACGATTGCTCATCATTACAAGGCGACTCTGGTGGAGTCAGTGGCGAGCCAAAGGGTTCCTCCAGACGGGAAGGTGCTTCTTCTTCGATCCTATCTATGGCGGCGAGAACAGCCGTTATGGCAGCTCGAGTGACGGCCCCACGATACAAGGTTGACTTGGTGAGTCCGGGCTCGTCGATATCGACAGGGAACTGGTCATACGCCCAGACCTGGCCGGCGTCGAGCTCTCCGATGGCTTGGAGGACAGTGACCCCCCAGTGGCTGCGGCCCTTGGCGCTGAGTCTCTGCCGACTGGGTTCTAGCAAGCGGGTACTGTCGGGCTCCGTACCGTCGTCGCCCATCAGAAGCCAATCCAGAGCGCTGGGTCCAGCATCGCCGGGAGGGCCAGGATGTACAATGAGGGTGAGGTAGGCGTTGTACACCTCTCGAGGGACCCGTGTGGTGAGGAAGGGGCAAACAATGAGGTGCGGCTGGGCCAGCCGAGCCGCTTCCATCATGGTGGCCTCGGATAAAGCATACTCGACCGTGACAGAGTGCTTCTTGGACAAGACCAAGGACAGCCTCTGCGACAGTGAATTGTGTGCGGTACAGAGAAGGAGGATGCGCATGATTGGGCGCTCTTTGCCAGGGGCAAACAACTGATGACTGCACGTGGATGCTGGTAGTTGCTTTGTGGCGGTGTCCCCGGAAACCTTCCGCGGGCCAGAAAAAAGGCAAAGAAAAGGCAAAAAAAGCTCTGTTTGAAGCTATCCCAGGTCGTGCGTTGACAGTTGAGTGGAGAAGAGGCGCGCGATAAGGCAGGGAACCCCCCTTCAGACTGCTTCAGCTGTCGTTATATACACTCGTTTGCCGTGGCGCCCTCCATCATCGGACGAGACCTGGAGTTCCCTACGTGTACGGACGAAAGCCCTCGTAGTCCGCAACACACCCCTTGCGGCTAGAGCTGAGGAGTTTTGGTCACAATGACGAGCCAGAATGGGAAATCGTGGGCCACCGCAACCCCCCATTTGGGCGTTCTGCAATGGGTGGAGGAGGGGTAGCATTGTATGCAGTGCCGGGGGTCATTGCGCAAACCGTCTGTACTATAATGGCTTGGCCACCAGACATGAGTAGTCAGTCGCAACAGACTGCCGCGCACCGTTGTGGCTGCGGCCTCGTTGCCGACGGGTACGTTAGACCAGTGCGTGCGCTCTGATGGCGCCCCGTGCGGTCTTCAAAGCTGCACAAATAGTGGTGCGGCGTACCGTTCGCGATTGGTGGTTGAGGCTTTCGTGGCGCCGGCTCGTTATTTCTCGCATACGACAGCGACCGCCCGGACAGGCCTAGCACTGGACTGAAACGGGCGCGCTAGGGGTCGACGACCGGGTTGGGGTTCGTTGGGTCCGCGCAGCTCTGTCCGGTCGGGGTGTGCCGCTGGTACTGTACGCAGGGAAGAGTTGGGATGGCAACTTGCCTGTCCGGATGGCCCCAGCCCCTTTCTTCTGTCGTGCCATCAGCGATTCAACCCGTCTGGTGCTTCCTGCCAGCGCGTCGACGGGGAAACTTTCATCGGATGGCATCGGGCGCCCAACGACCTGGGGTCCGTGAATCCACTTTTGTGCGTCCCGGTATCGTGGTCGATCTAGGGGATCTGGGTGGAGGAATCAATAATACGCGGCGCGTATGACTTAGATCTCGGCTCAACTGGCCCCATCGCCCACCCAGCGCGCCACCCATGGAAGGCCCGCCCACCTGCTAGACAGGAACCCCCGGTGGCCTTGGAGGGGGCTTGTTTTTTTTTTTTCGTCGGCCAAGGCTGCCGAATGGAGGGGCCGAGACTCCATGTTGCCGATCGACGACTCCTCCCCCCCCAGTGACTGCACGTGCGCGATCCGTCCGCCTTCCGCCCGGGCCCCCGGACGTTGCTGTCAACCCAGACATGCTCGACTCGATATTGTCCCCATCGGGTCAGGGGCGAGCGCGTCCTGTGCTCATTGTTCGGTTGTCGGAACGCTGTCGACAAAGTGATCGGCGCGGTGGCGCTCCGGTTTCACTGCACGGCCTCTTGGAGCAACGGACGACCAGCTGGACCGCGTCGCATAGACCTCCCTCGAATGCTTCCTTCAAGCGAGCGGCCCCCCCTCCCTTGCGCACATGCCCCTCGTTCCCCCGCTCTACCCACTCCGTACGTACGCGAATGTGATGAGGAAAGAGAGCACAGCGACGAAATCCTGCTCTGGGGGCTTTTGCTCTTTCGACAAAGCAAAGCCGACGGGATGGTGAGGGAATAGTTGTCGCCGGTGGCGTCAATGGAGACGTCCCTGTGGACGGAGGGGGTATTTTTTTTTTTCTTCTTTTGTCCTTGCATTCGCATCACCCAGGCACAATGACCTAAAGAGGGCAAGGGGGGCTTGGAGAGGCGCCGGTTTGCCTCGTAGTTGTGGCTTTCTCAACGACCCGGACTTTTCTTTTTCAGCAGCATACTAGCACCTTAGTTCCCAATGACGCGGTCCGGAGCACCCACCTTCGGCAACGCTAAAGGGCTCTGGACAGGGGTATACCTTGACCCAGCTGGCCGTGCCCATGCTTGCCTTGGTGTGCTAGACCAGTCTCGTACTCTTGGTCCGCCTCGATGCGAGCGGAAAGTCCTGCGGAGGGCCATGGCCGTGCAGACTCCAGAGCATGAGGAGGACTGGAGTGACGGCACGGATTCTGGGGTCTTTGTGGTCGCGTCGCTCAGCTCGCATCAGTGCGTCTGGCCCTTTGGGGCCCCGTCGAGTCCCACACTCGCCTGGCAAGGTCCTTTCCAGCACAACTCGGCTTTGCCCGGACCCAGACACCACGCTGATGACTAGCGACTTTTGTCTGCTGCGGGCGGGCAGGCGAAGAAGCGTACGCGTAGATATGTAGCAAGTGCCCTGCTCGAACCCGCGGACGTCTCCAACCGACCGGGTTCGTGACGGCTCCCAAAGTCAACATCGTCGTCTCAGACACTGCAGCACGCCTCCGGTCGCCGCCATGTCGAGCTCAGAGGAACTGCTGCGGCAGTACGAGGGCCAGCTGGTCCCGTACGATTTCCACGCTGGGTTCGTGTGTCTGAGTTATGCCATCAGCTTGATTGGCACGAGCACGACGCTCGAACTCATCCGACGTCGCACCTCGCACAGGGGACTTCACAACTTGTAGGTGCCGAGCGCCCCCCCCCCTTTCGTCTCCTACCACTGGCGCACGTCAAGGTCTGGTCCAACGATGGCTGACGAACTTGAACAAGACTGTTACTGGTCGGCGCCGCGATTTCCATGGGCGGTATCGCCATCTGGTCCATGGTACGTCTCGCTATTCGATTGCGAGTGACTCTTTTCGCCCCTAATGACGCCACCCGTAGCACTTTATTGGCAACCGAGCCATCTACATGCTCAACGGCCAAGAGTCCTTCCAGATCGCGTACTCGACGAGCCTGACTGTCCTTTCCATCCTGGTGCCGATTCTCGTGCTCATCCTCGCGTTCCTCGCCGTCAGCGGCAACGGGCGCATCCGCTGGTGGCGCATCGGCCTTGCGGGCCTGCTGTCGGGCGGCGCCATCTGCGGCATGCACTATCTTGCCGACTCCTCGATTAGCAACTACACCAGCTCCTACAAGGTTCCCAATGTGGTGGGCTCGGCCATCATTGCCGTGTCGGCCAGCGCGACGGCGCTCGCCGTCTTCTTCGTCTTCGAGGCAACGTGGAAGGGCGTCTGGTGGAAGCGATTGGGTTGCGCCATGATCCTCGCCGGAGCCGTGTCGGGCATGCACTGGTGTGCCGCCGTCGGCACGAGCTACCGGCTGCGCGAGCTGCACTCGCCGGGCAAGGGCGTCTCCCGCCAAGAGGCCATGATTGTGGTCATCTGCCTGGTATGTTTTTGGTGACAACACTCTGGCCTGGGCCTGTGAACACGTTGGAAAGTGACGTTGCCACTGACGGATATGTACTGTAGTCTGTCGCCGCTGGCATCGTCATGACGGCCAGCGCCGCGTACTCAAGCTGGATCAGGAGAGACTACGCCAGCAAGTCGCAGCAGGTCGTCTTGGCGGCCGCCGTCTTCGACAGCAAGGGCAGGATCATGGTCAACCAAGAAGGCTTTCTGCCCACCGAGGTCGTGACCGACACGCTGGTGCCCAAGGTCGGTGTCCCCCATCCCCAACTGCGCGCTTACATGAAGGGTTGCCTGTGCTTGGGGCCCGCCTGCTAACAGTGTCTCGAATAACTAGTCCAACGACGACATCTTCAGCACCGGCCACCCCCTGTTCCACTGGATGTTTCGGGCCTCGCGCAACTGGAACACCATTGCTGCCGTCGTTGCCAAGATGGCCGACCACATTGGCCGGCTGTCGCCCGACGGCAACATTGCCGGCAGGACCGGCGTGCAGCTGGTCGGCGACGACGGCCTGCTGGTCGACAACTACGACATCATCTTGCGCGAGCTCTTCTGCCTTGCCGCGACCGCGCTGGCGACCCGCACACGAGAAACGCTGACCAACGTCGGCGTGCTCTGGGATGAAATCTTCACCACCGGCGACAGCTCGACGCTCGGCAGTCGGCCCATGACGGCGCACGGCAACGACAGCAGCCAGGGGCCGGACCAGGCCGACCAGTCGTCCAAGGATAAGTCCATCTTCCAAAGCCTGGCCGAAAAGGGGCTCTCTCCCACGCACATGCAAGAGTACGGCCGCGGTTGCCTCATGTTTCTTGTGCGGCGGGTCGACCACAAGCGCGATGCCGAGAACCTCGAGGCGGCGGGCTACCGCTTCGCCGAGGTCCATCAGGTTGTCGGGGGCATCCGCTCGAGCATGCAGATCAAGGCGCAGGACCTCGAAGCACGCCTGCGGACCATGTCGACCCATAACGAAAAGGCCGCGATGCTCGGCCCCGGCGTCCACCTGGGCATGTTTGCCGTCCGCGCGAGGCTGGACCGCAGCGGGTTCGACGTGTTGGCGCAAAAGGACGCCAGGAATCTGCTACCCACCGTGGCCATGCCGATGGACCACCTGGAGCCGTGGCAGACGCGGTTCCTGGCTCGCCATCAGAGCATGACCGTCCTTGCGTTGGCGCAGAGGCTGGAGACGATGGAGCACGCGTCGACGCAAGAGAGGCTCTTCGCGTCGGACCTTCGCCACGCCATCTCCGCCCTCCGGCAAGGCCTCGATGACGCGCGCTTCGACGAGGCGACGCTTCTGCCGCGGGAGGTGCAGGTGCCCTGTTTCACCCGCGAGGAGACACCGCGCCCGTCGACGTGCACGCTCATTGCCTTCCGGATCGTGCTGCCCATCCACGCGACCGTCGAGTCGACGCAGTGCGAGTTCACGCCGCTCAACTTCTTCAAACTGCGCCAGCTCACGTACGAGGGATCGCCTCACCATGTTGAGTTTTCGCACATGGTGCATCGCGACATGTCGTACGTGCCGCCAGAAGACTCGGCAAGGCGCGCCAGCACGGCGACGCGCGGTGCGCACAAGCCCAAGTCGTCCTTTTCGCGTGCCGTAGACAGTATGAGCCATGCGCTTCCGGGGCGGCGGCGCGGCGGGACGCATTCATCAAGGCTCCCATCTACGCGGAGCCAGGAAGAGCTCTCGCGCGTACCATCTCACCCCAGCTCCGTGTTCCATGCGAGGGACGACAGCAGCTTTGAAGACGGGCACAAGCTGGGCTCCATGAGTGCGTCGTCCGGCGTCGAGGAGCTCGGAGAGCTGCAGCAGCACAGCACCAAGCAGCTCTTTGGCGGCATCATGGTCTCGCAGGAGATCATGGTCGACGTCCAAGAGGTGAGTGCTCTGATGTTCCTTTGGCCTGTGCTGGTGAGCGACAACTGACCCTCTCCATCTAGAACCAGCCGGCGGCGCATGACGGCAGTACGGAGCTGAATACTCTCCGGTCCAAGGCAGAGAGTACCGCCCCGTACACGGCCATTGCCACGGGCGAGAAAGACGCAAGAAAAGGGGGCGAGCAGCGCGATTTCCTGGATGAGTTGCTGTCCATGAGCATGGTACTGGACAAGTCCAGGGACGCGCTGTAAGGGCCTTGGACCAGGCCCGAGGCAGCGAACCTTTTTTTTTTTCCTCTCTCTTTGGGTCGTTTTGTTTGACGGCTTGGGTGTTGTAAGATGTGTGTATACCAGCGGCGCAACGCGTGAATGGACGGACGGGACGGAACCGGAGTTGGAGGATACATTGAATGTAATGATGGCATGTTATACTTCTGCAAAGGGCATCTGGGGACAAGCTGCGCGCTCTGACGGAATGTCGCTAGAATAGAGTCACTGGACGCCGTTCGTTGCTCAAAAAGCATGAAACAACGGGATGGCTGTTGCGACGAGACATGAGCGATGGACTGGCTTGAACAAATCGCGTGCACAATGCGCAACACGGCCACGGTCGGCGCGGCCATGACTACTCGGTCCATCAGATGGATTGATTCCAGGTTGATTTGCCTCACCTGCCCTTTCGGTCTAATCATCTGCGCGCAACGGCGGCCGGCTACAGTTGCCGTTAGTGCTGACCTCTGTGATGCGGCAGGACGGGGAGATAAAAGCCCGGCTGGTTGGGGATCGGACCCCACGGGCTCGCTGCTTGCTCTGTCGGAAACAAGCCCGGTCGACTGCAGAATCGGTGTCCCATCATCATGTCGTCCATGGTCTCGCTGGCGTCGAAGCTGGCCGTGGCGAGCTTGCTGGTTCACAAGGCAGCTGGCAGCAGCGAGTTCAATTGGAGCCACATCGAGCCGTCTTGGGATCTCGAGTACACGCCATGCTATGACGGTCTCCAGTGCGCCCGACTTCTTCTGCCGCTGGACTGGCTCAACCCCCGCGACAAACTCAATGCGACCGTCGCCATTGCCATCGCCAAGTTACCTGCCAAGGTGGGCGCCGACCATGACAGCTTCGGGGGCACCGTCATCACGAACCCGGGGGGGCCCGGCGACTCGGGCGTCGTCCACATGATCAAGAATGGCCACTTTCTGCAGAGCATGGTTGATGGGAACCGGCACTACGAGGTGCTGTCGTTTGACCCGCGCGGCGTCTTCTACAGCACGCCCATCGCCAACTGCTATGAGAACGAGGCGGACGGCGACCTTGCCGAGTGGCAGATGCGGGGGTTCGGCCTCCTGGACGGATCAACACAGCAGCTGCGGCGACGCAGGGCACACGCGACAGCGCGAGGGCAGCGCTGTGCGGAGGCCGACAAGGGCCAGTCCTCCATCCGAGAGTTCATGTCCACCGCCTCAGTGGCCCGCGACATGCTGGCCATTGTCGACAAGATTGAGGCGTCGAGATCCGCCGCACTGGCGAAAGCGACGAGGCAAGGTGGTCATGATGACAGTGCGCAGAGACTCGAACTCCGCTCACAGTCCGCCAACAAGAGAGCCGAGGCAAGGCTGCAGTACTTTGGCACATCCTATGGCACGTTTTTGGGAAACACGTTCCTGTCCATGTTCCCGGGCCGTGTTCACCGAATGGTGCTCGATGGCCTCGTGGTCGGCGAGGAGTACGTTGATCTGGTACGATTCAATCGCCCACGACGTCTGGTCCCAATGATCTAGAAGGCTGACCGAGTCCAGGACTGGTCCACGAACCTCGCCGACACGGCACATGTTGTCGACTACTTTTACCAGTCGTGTTTCGAGGCCGGGCCCTACTGCCCCCTGTGGAGAGCGTTTGACATGTCTTGGAGCACAATCAAGTCGCGGGTGGACAAACTCGTGGCCGATCTCGATGCCAACCCGCTGGCTATCGCGAACACGGACGGGCCCGAGACGGTCATCACCGGCGACGAGATTCGCATCGCCATGATGGATCCCCTCTATGCCCCGCTGGACCTGTTTGAGGGCTTAGCAACACTCCTGCACGATGCACTGCAGGGCAACTACACGCTTCTCCTCCAGCGGACGGGCATCACCGGCCACCGAGATACCTGCTCCGCTTCCAGGGCGCTCGCGTATACCTGGATGGACCAGGCATCCATGGCGGTCCGGTGTGGTGATGCCAAGGATGTCACAGACCGCGACCTGGCGTTCTGGGGTGCCTACGCGAAGAAGCTCGGGAACCTCTCGGCGGATATCGGCGGCCTCTGGGTCGAGGTTCCGTTCGCCTGCTCCGGCTGGAAGACCCGACCCAAGTACCGCTACGATGGACCCTTCACGTCGCCAGAGCACGACGCAGCAGCCATCCACAGTGGCCGACCCTCCGCGCCGCTGTTGCTCCTGTCCAGCCTGTACGACCCCGTCACGCCGCTTCGGAGCGCGGCAAAGGTGGCGCGCGGCCATCCCGGGTCGCGCGTCCTGCTGCAAAAATCCGTTGGGCATTGCGCCTTTCTCTCCGCCCCGAGCGAATGCACAAAGCGGTACGTCCGGGACTACATGGACACTGGGCGGCTGCCTCCCGAGGGGACCGAATGCGAGCCCGACTGCAGCCCCTGGTGGCCCTGTCCGGTGGAGAGAGCGCACCTACCCCGATGAGCGAAACGGACGTGAAGTGCTTGGTATGGGGTGTAACGCCGGGCTTCAGGTAGATGATGGTCCTCCCCAAGGTCGTCGCAACGTGCTTGTAGGCATAGCCATGGAGCGCCCTAGTTGGACAGCGATGCCATGAACACGGGTGCCTCAGAAACAAATCAGTACCACCGCGTTTCCCCCATCCTGGCATGTCGTGAGTCTCATATGTACCAGCGTGAGCATGGGCGGCATCTGTGCCTTTGTACATGTATGTGAGCCTACGTGCGTCTCTGTTGCTTTTCACGCAGCCTGTACGAGCGAAACATTAGCGGCGACTTCTTCGTGAGACGTGACCCCAGTGCAGACGATGGAGCCCTGCTGTGCCGCGTTGGCAGCGATTGAGTATGGCCAGGCGTGAGCAATGATTTGACTGCACGCAAACTCCTTCCTGGCTTGCAAAAAGCCATGAGTGCCACCTTTTCATGCAGGGAAATGTCCTCGGAGATCTTGCCCGCGCCTACCATCAAATGTACCATGTCGGCTTTGCCAAGCTTCAATCGCCGACAACTCCGGCTTGGACGCATCCACGTCGTCGTGCCGGTGGTGCATATAACTCTTTCCCGGCGTGGACGCGGCGAGGGCTGGATGAGACCGTTACATAGACAACTCGACGGATCAATATGACTAGGAATTCCTTGTATTTGCGGCCAACGGAATGCAGGTTTTGGAAGCCTGACAATCTCATCAATGAGCGATGCACTCGCGCACATGTACGACTTGGGCGGACAGAGCGTCATGTCTGGAACGTCCATGGCAACGCCGCACGTTCATGTTGTGGGCCTGGCGGCGTACTTGGCGACACTGGAGGGCACATCCAACGGGGATGCGCTCTGCTCGCGGATCATGGCACTGGGAACCAAAAATGCGTTGCAGGGCGTTCCGTCGGGCACGGTCAACTTGCTGGCTTTCAACGGCAACCCGTCCGGGTGAGCGAGTTCAAACATGAATGGGGCCGTCAGATGTGCCGAGACCCCCGACAACATGAACACTGGGCCGTGACAGGCTGTTGGCAGTCCATTAACTCCATAGTTACCCCATCGTAGACGGAAAAAACACATTTACCAAGAGTGGCCATGATTTCATACTGCGCTGTCCCGGCTGGGAGCCACATTACGCTCTTCCAAATCCGCAGTGCTCGCACTTCTCCATGGCAGCGATTCGGCTGATTATGGCCAGAGGCGTCCTGGAGACGGCAAGCCACAGGGAAGACGGTATCTAAACGACGTTTAGCCATGGAGGCAGCTAATTTCACCCCGCCAACATTGAAGTGTGCTAATTAACAGCATAAACGGCTACAGTACCATACCGCCTGTATTGTTAGGTGTCGAACGATTCGAGGCTACTGGCCATACAATGCACTGCTGAAACCCGCTGAAAGGCGCGCAGCCAAAATGCGCTGCGAGGTACGCGATGAGGTGCGCCATTAGACCAGGTGGTGGGAATTCCGTGCACGTGGATCCAAATCCCTACGCGCTACAGTTTGAGCGATTGATGTGCCACATGAGAGTGAATTCTTCACCACGATCCCCTGTTATCCCTCCGGCCCCGGAGTCTGGTAGTGTAAAAATCACGGTCTGAAATGGCTTCAAGCGTTTTGACCCCTTTGGCTTGCCCTGACTACCCTTGCTGGCTCCCGCTTCGCGTTCCCCGTATTGGTGCTCCCCAACCAATGGGCGCCAAAGTACAACGGCACGGTGATTACCTACCTGCTCAAATTGGTTTGGCGGGGCATGTGCCGTCTGGTGTTGGAGTGACTCAACTCCTTGATCCGTTGACATGAGATGCGACTGCTGTGAGCCGCATTGTGGCCGGCCGCCGTTTGCAGCTACGCCCCATGAAAGCAACTGACGTTGTTTCTTGAGATTTTTTTGGGAAGTTTCTCACGCTTCAACATGTCGTTGGCCGTTGCGGAATCCGACGCGCTGACGCCTGCGCAGCGCAGTGCCATCAGCAACATCCGGCAGCGAGCGCAGGACCTGCGCGCCGACGCAGTCATGACGATCTCGCATATCCTAAACATGTCCAACGTCGAGCCCTCTACCGCGGATGCCGTCAGGGCCGCCATTCACGACCACGCTCACGTTGTGATACACTTTCACCCTGACCGGCCGGTCGGGTCTCGCGTCGTTGCGAGGGCGCTGCTGGAGGACGGCGTCTACCGCAACCAGTTCGAAACTGGCATTTCGAATGGCCTGGTGTCGACAGCGCTGGATGGGCCTCGTGACAGCTGGGAGAAAAGCCTCTTTTCTGGCGCCTACCATGACGGCACGGGACTACGGGCGGCCGAGAGACCCAAGTATGGCGCGCTGGATCTCACCTGCCACCCAGACGGCCCGGCTCCTCGTTTCGGTTCCTGCTACCTGGTACTGAAGCCAGAGGTATCACGCCGGTCGACGTTTACCTTTGGCGGCTCGCAGGCGGACCCCAAGTTTCGGGGCACGATTGACGAGTTCGACGCCATCCTGTCGGCTATTCTCGAGGAATCCTTCACCAGGGACTTTATGCTGGGCGTGAGCGATATCAGGCCTGGCCCCGCCATGTGTTTGCTACGCGAGAGTCTCACCACGCCTAGACAATTCCGAACCGACGACGCCAGCCACAACCTAGACCACATGGTCGAGGCACAGGTCCACGGCGACATCTGCCTCGACCGCGACGTCGAGGCCCTGATCGCGGACGGGTCGTTTGCAGATGGGGATACCGGCCGGATCCTCAAAGCCATCGGCGAGAGGTTCGGGTTCCCCGTTCGATTCAACCGCGGCTTTCAGCTGCCTGTGGAAAGCATACCGCCAGACTTCCGGGGACCCTGCATGCCATCTCTGGCTGCCAGGGTCACCACGACGCGAGTTGACGCCCGGGCAATCGGCACGGCAGCCCAGGGCTTGTTTGACAATCGAGACCAGTGGCGTGACAGGGGAACGTACGAAGAGATCCTGCAGGAGCTGAAGCTCCTTTGGCACGTGTTGGTCAAGTACGGAGAACCCCTTAGTACTCTACCGTGAGTAGATTCAAAGCAGTTTTGCCTGTGCACGTGCAGCCCCGTAACAAGTTCCAAGCCACCAAGCATCTCTCGGGTGCGGCTATCGGCTCCATGTCGTAGTGGACGATTATGTCAACCTGATACCTGGAAGGCCGAAAGGACGTCTCTCAAGTACAACACAGGTCGCAAATTCGCCAACAATTTCGCGCCCGGGAGGTGCACAAGTCGAGGGATTATCAACGCCTATTCAAGGGCGGGTTGTAAATTACCAGCGCAGGCTGGACGATACCGGGAACAACCGCGAGGACACTTTCTTGTCTGCAGATCCAATGCAATGCGATGCGTGGAAGAAAACGCAGTGGTAGAGGTAGGCTCCACTGCTATCTGTCCGTGGGTTATAATCCAGCTTGAGATATCCCGGATCATTTTCCATGTCCACCCGCCCACATGTCGGGCACCTTTTGGCATGCAATACCTTCCAGAGTTCCTTAATCTCCGCACCCGTAATGTTCGGCTTCTTCATGTTTTCGGCAGAAATGCAAATTGAGCCTGGTCCCGGCTTCCGGATCCCGCACAAGATACGCTGTCCGCTCTTCCACGTCCTGTCGTCTTGTACCTTGTACATTTCTTTATCCACTAGGTGCCACGGAGGTCTGAAAAAATAGCACTCCGGGTGACTGTCCTCACAACTCACGCCTGTTGCAACTGCAGTAACGGGCATCATAACAGCAAGCAAAATGCCCTGAGAGTGCATCTACGGACGTCTCGGTTAGGCATGCCAACAAACACAAAGGGCCTCAAATACCTTTTCGGAGGGCCAGTTGGACTACGATATGAATGTGCTGCAACTTGTGTTAAGACTGCTTTGTATACCCATTTATCTCTCTGTCGGCCTTGGGCTGTGCTTTTATACTCGTTCCGCAATAGGTTATAGACAGGGCAGGACGTAATAGCGTCTGTAAACACCATACGATAGACTGCGAAGCTGGTTCTGCTGCGGATCCACGTAGATGGCCTGGCTCGTGGACTGATATGAGACTCATGGCTACTTGCGCTGGGCAACTTGGACATGCAGTAAGGGGCTGTGGCCAGAGCGTGCGTGACTGCTTCATAAAGATAAGGCGAAACAATATTATGGCCTATGCCAGAGGCTGGGCTGGAGCCTGACGGACTTCGGGCAGTATAGTCTACTATCATGCCTTACGGCACTCCGTAGATAGCAACCCTATAGGTGGCTTTCCGTAGTCATGCTGGCGCCGCGGTGGTTCCATGGTTCCATGGTTCGCCTTATAACCAAACATACGGACCTCACCCGCAGCTCGCCACGCTCGGCACGGTTTCGGAAGGCGTACTGTCACTGTCGCTCGCGTCTGCCCGACGCTCACTCTTCTGGGTATAGATGTGTATAAGAGACAGCTCCTGCCTCCTCAAAAGAGAGCAGCTATTTAGACACCACCCGTTTCCTGTCCAGACACTAGACTAGGTGCCAAGCCCTCCGAAAGAGGCAAATGCGGCATGCCGCGATAGGGCTCCAACTGGCCCGCTGCGATGGCCTCAGATGCTGCTGCAGCAGTCGGTCAGTCGCGATGCCTTCAATTACTGCAGTAGCCGCGCAGTAGCCTGCTATAGCCCGGCAGCCCGGCAGCCCGCGATGCCTTCAATTGCTGCTGCAGCCCGCGCAGACCGCGATGCGTTCAATTGCCTGCTGCAGCCCGGCAGACCGCGATGCCCGCGATGCCTTCAATTGCGCGATGCCTTCAATTGCGCGATGGCCTCGATTGTCTGCTGCAGCCCAGCAGCCTGCGATGCCTTCGACCTGCTGCTATACCTTGACGGCCGCTGCCGCTTGAAGGCATCTTAGGCTCGTGGTGTCCAAATAGAAAACGGGTGGTGTCCAAATGGCACATCTCGCTCAAAATACTATTTTGATCTATTTCACTTTCGTTCATATCGTTCCCTTGCTCGTTTACACTCGCTCGGTCAACACTCTCTGTGTTGTTGGGTTGTCCTCACTCCGTCCCTTGGACTCCGTTGCGGTCGTGAACATCTCATCTCCGTGCTTACGCACTCCGATTCGACGCAACTCTGCAGGCCTGGGGACTCTGTCCCAAGTGAGACTCTACACAGAGCCAACAACTGTGAGTGCTGGCCTTGTTCTACAACTTGTCCTGGGTCCGCCCATAATACCGGACCACTCGACTGCATCGAGCCCACGCAATCACAAAGCGTCCTATAGCTCTCCTGGAGTCCTGGCCCGTGTCTCCTGTTTCATGCCCCAAGAATTCCAACAGGATCTAGTTTGTCGCTGCATCGTCGACACACATCACTCACTGCAATGCTCAAACGGTGCGACGCCCAGGCACAACCCACGCACGCACTGCGCTTATGTCTCGGTGCCTCACACACACACACACACACACATGCACCCCGGCATGGACTGCGTCCCGAGCCGAAATAAAGCAGGCCAGGGTCGAGGCAGGCTCGTGGAGCGTCCAGCTGTGTCGAATTGCCGTTAGCCGAAATGGTACGTATGCGAGGATCGTGCTTCGCACCGTAATTGCAACCCGACATGGATAACGACATACTTACGGAGACCCAATAAGGTATGCAGGCGCAATGCAGGGCTTATGCGCTCGAGGCGCTCCGCTGTCGGCGGCAGGGTCATGCCGCTGAGGAATCAAAGACGTCGACTGCAACAGTACTAGAGCCCCATGGAGCAATGCAGATTGTGTTGGCACTGGCAACAAGTCCGGTCATCCGGCCACCACCCCGCAACCCCCGCAGTCGTCCTGTCAAGGTGCCTATCCCCGTTGGGCATTGCGTCGACGACAGCGGCGTCTCATGCTAAACCCAAACACCCTCGGGCGACTCTGTACACACGGTGCCGTATACCCGCCCTGCACAGACCACATTCCATCTGTCTGTCCTCCTCACCGAGCAAGCCAGTATCGATCATCAACATGACCGCTGCCGCCGCTGCCGCTCCGCCGCAGACCGTCCATGTCCTCCCCGGGTCGACGAACGTACCTCTCGCTGACTTTCCACCGCCGGCTGCGATCGACTCCGTGAATGCGGAATCGGAGGCGCAGGCCGCAATCGAGGCTCTCAATGCAACGATCTCGAAGGCCGACTTCAACGCGGCGTCTGGGCTGTTCGCCCACAACGGCTACTGGCGCGACCACCTGGCCCTGTCGTGGGAGTTTCGCACCGTCAAGGGCAACGACGGCATCTTGGCCTTCTTGCAGCACTGTGCCCGATCCAGGGATGGCTTTCGGCTGCAGCGGCTCGAGCTGGACACGGCAAGGGCGCCAGCCATCATGCCCATAGATGGCGGAGCCGGTGTCAATGGTATCCACGCCTTCTTTCGCTTCGAGACGTCCATCGGGACGGGCGAAGGCACCTTGCGCCTTGCCCTCGAAGATGGAAAATGGAAGATTTTCACAATCTACACCAGCCTGCGGGAATTGAATGGCCATCCAGAACGTACCTTTGTTCATCGGCCCCCAGGCGTTGAGCATGGCGCACCGACGGATGGCAAGAACTGGGCTGACAGGCGGGCCGCCGAGGTTGCCATCGATGGTGGGATCGAGCCTGCTGTGCTTATCGTTGGTGAGCTGGAGTTCCATGCGCCCTCACAACCTTGCCAGGCTAACAATCCTCTCCAGGGGCCGGGCAGGCAGGCCTGACCGCGGCCGCCAGACTTCAGGTACTGGGTGTCAGGGCGCTACTCATAGACAGAAATGAGCGTGTGGGCGATAACTGGCGCAAGCGATATCGCCAACTTGTCCTTCACGACCCCGTATGGTACGACCACCTGCCATATCTCAATTTCCCACCGCAATGGCCCATCTTTACCCCGAAGGACAAGCTGGCCCAGTTCCTGGCGTCGTACGCAGAGTTGATGGAGCTCAACGTCTGGATGAATACAGAGCTTGCAAGCAGCCGATGGAATGAGAAAGAGGGCAACTGGACAGTGACTGTCACACGCAAGCTCGGAGACGGGGCAACGCAAACGCGAGAGCTTCGTCCGCGACACATCATCCAGGCCACGGGTGCCTCTGGGATGAAGTGCCAGCCCGTTTTCAAGGGCGCGGAGGCTTTCAAGGGGGGCGTGCTCTGCCACTCGTCCGAATTCTCGGGCGCGCGCAAGGACTCTGCAGGAAAAAGGGCCGTGATAGTGGGCTGCTGCAATTCCGCACATGACATCGCCCAAGAGTACCTCGACAAAGGCTACGACGTGACAATGGTGCAGCGGTCAAGCACGCACGTCGTGTCCTCCAAAGCTATTTTGGACATTGCCTTCAAGGGTCTCTACTCGGAAGATGCCCCGCCGGTCGACACTTCCGACATGATTGTGCAGGGCATGCCGCTGGCCGTGCTCAAGGCTGTGCAGGTCAAGGTCGCTGCGCGCCAACGGGAGCACGACAGGGGCATGCTGGAGGGCCTGGCCAGAGCTGGCTTCAACGTCGACCATGGACCGGACGACTCGGGTCTCTTTTTGAAGTATTTCCAACGCGGCGGGGGATACTACATCGATGTCGGCGCCGCAAAGCTGATTGCCGATGGCAGGATCAAGATTAAGCAGGGCCAGGAGATCTCCGAGATACTCCCCGGCGGCATCCGCTTCGCGGATGGGTCCGAGTTGGAGGCGGATGAAATTATCCTCGCGACGGGTTACGAGAACATGAGGACGCAGACTAGGGTCATGTTTGGTGACGCGGTGGCAGACAAAGTCCATGATGCCTGGGGCCTGAACGAAGAAGGGGAGATGCGGACCGTCTGGCAGAAGAGTGGACATCCGGGGCTCTGGCTGCACGGCGGCAACCTGGCACTGTGCCGTTTCTTCTCGAGGCTTCTGGCGTTGCAGATCAAGGGGCTCGAGGAGGGTCTCTATGCATATGGTGACATTTAGGCCTGCCGCCGCCTTGCTCTGCTATTGAAGGTAACCGGAAGCCACTCAATCCTTTTTCATTGCATCGCGACGCAGCTACACATCCATGTACGACGTTTAGAGTGGTTGCGACGGGCCAATGATCGTCAGCTCTAGCATCTCGTCTCATGTCAAGTTGTCTAGATCACCGTCAAGTGATTGCTAGTTACGCAATGTCACGTACATTCTGCCGATCGTACTCAAACACTTTGAATGAAATTCCGATTACTGTCAGCAGCTCGTGACATGAGGTAGGAAGAAGAGCCGCGGCCTGAGGGACCTTGTTGCCTGCGATTTGATGCCCATCCTGCAGGTGCTTCGTCTAGCCCGACGGGTTTCCGTTGAACGCAAGAAGGTTAACAGTGCCGGCCGGAATACCGCTGATGGCACCCTCGGTAGCAAGCTCTTGGATGCGGTCGCAGGCTGAGCCGCCCGTCTTTCCCTCCAACGCCGCAAGGTACGCGGCAAGGCCTACGATATGCGGCGTAGCCATGGACGTGCCCGAGATCGTTTTCTGTTGGTGTCAGTAGTGAGCCTCCCGCGTGGTCGTGTGACCAAAACTCACAATTTGACCGCCGATCCAGGTGGACAAGACATCGGTGCCCGGTCCAAAGATGTCGAGGACGTCTCCGTAGTTGGAAAAGGACGACTTGTTGTCGTTCCTGTCCGTCGCCCCAACCGTGCAAACGCTTGGCTCCGATGCCGGAGACGACTCTCCAGCGTCCTTGGCTGAGTTGCCCGCTGCTACGCCGACGAACACTCCACTCTGCACTAGCGACGCGGCCGCGTTGTTCACGGACGCAGCGTATCCTCCTTCCAAGCTCATATTCGCTACGGCGCCTTTGGGGCAACCGCGCGTTTTTGCGTCCTTGGCTACAAAGTCCATCCCGGCAATGATGCCGGAGTAAGGCCCGCTACCTTGGTCGTCCAGGACCTTGACGCCATAAATTTTGGTCTTTTTGGCTACGCCATACGTCTTGCTGCCGATCGTTCCGGAGACGTGCGTGCCGTGGCCGTTTCCGTCAGCGTTCTGCCCGTCGATGAAACTCTTGAGAAGCTCGGCACGCCCCTCAAACTCCTGCTACGTGTTAGTGAAGACTCCATGGGTCTCCCTTGGAAGCAGCACGAGTGCACTACTCGTCCCATCGCCTCCCGTCAAATCGGAAAACGTACAGGGTGATCGGCCTCAACGCCGGTATCAATGACATAAGAGCACGTGCCCTCCCCGGCGCTCGAATCAAAATCGTAGGTTGAAGCGCCTGCCCGACGGTGCGAGATGCGCGATAGTCCCCAAGTAGCATCGGGCTGAGACTCAAACCCGGAGAGCGTGACCATGGCATCCTGCTCGACATAGTCTACCTAGACCTATCATCAGCGCAAGAGCGGACAGCAAGACAACAAAATGTCGCACATCAGGGTGGTCCCGAAGAGTCTTGAGCATACGCTCATTCAGGTGAAGAGCAAAGCCTTTGAAGACACTGTCGTACATGTGGTCGGGCTTGCCACCAAAGGAGCTCAAAGCATCCTCAAGAACAGACAGGGCGCTTCCCTGCTTGAACTTGACGATGTACTTGTCGGCAATGAGCTGGTGATTGCCACGCGGAACCAGCAAAGGGGCGGGCTCGGAACGCTTGGTGGCCGGCGCAGCCAGCACCATGGGGAGGATCGAGAGAAGCAGAGACAAGCGCATGATGTCGGTCGTTCCGAGCTGGTAATTCGAATGGATCCAGAATATTACTATGAGTGAGCCTGAGCGTTTGACGAACAGCGAGAGTTTCGTCTCGAGTTTCGAAGACTGTGTCCGTACTTATACGTCGAGATTCCGAAGAGGAGCGGCCGTGAGCTCAAGGGAATGGACTATGACCTTCCTCCTGAGGACTGGCGGTTCTCTTGCCTTCTCCATTGTACAAAACATTCGACGGCCGGCCTTGCAGTGATCATGTCTTCGATACGGTCAGTTGTACTTGGGAAGTCTGTTGACGCCAACGCAACGCGCCGCCAGCTTCTGTATGAATCCTAGTCTACGTTGTTGGCCTGCCCGCCCTTGCCGTTCGAGGCTGGTGGTCGTCGGGCAAGCTCCTTGATGCAACAACATGTCGAGAGTTTGCGCCGTGGCGATCGTCATGAGTCCAAGCGTAGTGGAAGTGGACTGGCTTTCTCCGACAGAGCTACGATGGCTTGGGGCAAAGGAGGTTGTCTCCGTGACACCAGGGGCAACAAACAGCTCCCACGGGATGCCTCCAATAGACACGATTTCCAAGACGCGGTGCGATGCGTGTGTCAGACGGCGTTGGCAGCTGCTTGATAAATCCTAGTACGAGTCGCCCACGGAAAAGCCACCAGACGAATTTGATGCCGCCGATGCGGGCGTCATGGGCGTTTGACTGCTCCAAGCCATCGGGACGGGCCTTGACTTGCTATTTTAAGCTTGAACGAAGGGCGGCAGGATCCTTCCCCCATCTCGTCTCCACTTCGACGGCAGTCCCCAGACTCCAGTATTGGGGTACTCGTGGTGGCGCTCAATCGTGCCACGCGCTGCATGTGGGACGCCCCTTTGCGGCTGCGACACCTCTGCCACGGCACAGGATCATTCCGCTCCTCAAGTTCAAGGTGACAGGGACACCAGCTCAGAGTGCCCGAGAAATCGATTGTTCTTTGTTGATACGCAGATCCAAGGTGGCGACTGTGTGAAAGAGTCTGGCCTTGACGTAATCAGGTCTCGACGTTGTCATGGTGTTGCCAAGCGTCGACGGTGTATTGATTCCTCACAATCGCAATTCACCCTCGGCGAGAGAGGCAGATATTGTGGACTAAAGCAAACATGGACTCGGAGGTCCGTCGCACAACCCTGTTGGCGATATCCGTGGGAGGGTCTGGGCGGTGTAATCAAGCTGTCGCATTGAACCTTGGTGGTCTGGATGCCTGGCACTTCGCAGCAGCCGGCAAGGTTCGAGCCGTGGGTTCTCCCGCCTGCGCTGCCGATCACTTGCGCCGCCTTCCCGATCCATTGATGCGTGTCACGGACGCCGATCGCTCTGGTAGGCCTTCCTGTTTGACATGCCGTAGGGTAGCCTACTTGCGAGCCTCGGTGTCGTGATCTGCACGACAAGTAGAACGCGAACGTGCAGCGACAAGAAACGCACACATGGACGAGGCGATGTTGGACGTGAGCGAGAGCTTGCACATCACATGTGCGGTGCCCCAGTAGAGGCTGTTTCCAGCTTCTTGAAGCGGAATGGGCGCGCTCCCATACGCCCACGCAGCGTAAACAGGGACAGCCAGCCCCGCGGTCGCAGTCGCTCTTTGCGGGTGCTGGATCTCTGATGGGCAACATGGCAACGAAACGAGGCGCTGCGGGGAGGATGGCCTCTGACCCGTTGCAGGCGCCGGACAGCCAAAAAGCCGATCCTCCCCAAGTTGAGTTTCAACACTATGGACGTCGGCGATGCTTTGCGCGCGCGTCGCGGCCGGCAAAGCCGTCCGTAGCAAACGGGGTGTACTGTGGCCGCTGGGTACTTTACGACCTGGCCCGAAAATGGCTGCCGGGTATGTTAAGGCAGCGTACAACCATGTAGCAGCAGTTGCGCGATGTGAACCAGTGGCTCATTTTGGCTGGGTTCAGGTAGAAAGAGGCACGCTTCCCAGTCATTGGTACGTACGTCGCTTGGGCGGAGAAAACGGCCAGCGTCATGGATGTCGTGGAGCCACGTTGGCCGGAAAAAAGACCAAGGACACAACCTGCTCTGTTGCCCAACCCGGAGAGTCCGATTCTGCTGCCACACGGAACACGCAGGCTCCCGAGCCCCTTTGGCATGGCTTGCCCTTCATCCACCCGTCAGCCAAGACCCGAGCCTCTCCGTCCGCGAGCGAGCTGCACAGCGGCATTTGGCCGAACCGGCAGTTCCACCCTCCAATCTGCACCCCACAGCGAAACGGATCGTCGGCACATCTTGCCAAGCTGGGTGCCCTCAGCCTCTCCGCGACCGACGGACGGCGTGACGGGCTTGGCGAGCTTGGCCAGGGGACCTTTCCAAGCTTTCCTTGCTGCTCCAGCCCCCGGAAGCCACTGGACCTGCGACGATTCGTCCCGCCTCGTGGCGCTGAAACGACCGTGCCCTTCCCCCCAGCGGCCACGCGCCGTGCGAGGTGCGACCTCCAAGTCCAAGGCATGCGCCCAGCCTGGTCTGGGATCTGAAGATGCAGTCAGTGGTCAGCCGCAGCGTGGCGACCCGACCCGCCCATCATCACAGCGGATGCCCCCCCAACGCACAGGGACATACGTATTCGTACTTGGTGCGCAGTGCGGCAAGCACGAGTATGGTTCGGGTGCGGCATCGGTCCTCGCCATTCATGTTGCGGGCCAGTCGTTTCGGGTTCCGTGACGCCTGATCGAATCTGACGCTAGGACGGCTAGGTACGCCCCCTTCATCACGACAAAAAGTCGCCCCATTCGATGCTGAGCGCCGGCGCAGACCTGCTTGTTATGGAGATGATCGTTTCCTGCGCACCGCTGCGTCCTAGGTCACCCCCGGGAATCGCACCCGGACCGGAGGCGATGGCACTGGCAGTCGCGCCGTGGTCGCTGCGGGACCTTCCTGTCCAGTCCTAGTGATGCTCATGACTTTGTGGTTCTCTCCACGGAAACTGCGACGGCAAGCGATGACTCGCCGGCAACTATGCTATCACGACAAGGACTGAGCGGCACGCCGTGCGGTGCGAATGCCCCCGACCGACGATTGTCAGGCGTAGCGAACACATATATCCCTTGCCATGGCCATCTCATCGTCCTCGGGTACGCTGCTCGCATGCTTTTTTGCTCTCCGTCCCATTACATCCTTGGGCTGCCAGTTCCCCAGGCTGTTGAGCTTTCGATTGTATCGGTACCATAGTTCGCATCAGCCTGAGTCTGGAACCGGCGTCAAAACATCCACGTCGCCTTCTGCTTTCGCACCGAGACTCTGACCATGAAGCCTACGCTGGCGGCGTTCTTTCTGGGCGCCTTGCCGGCCCTCGCGCTGCGCCCCGTCGGCAGCCAGCCCAAGGACAGCTCCCAAAGACCCGACGATCACTGGGACGCAATCGTTCGAGGCTCGAGCGTCCAGGGCGCGAGCAAAGACGCACTCTCCAACTACAATTTACGCGTCAACAAGGTCGACCCGTCCAAGCTGGGCGTTGACAAGGTCAAGCAGTACAGCGGCTATTTGGACGACGACCAGCAGGACAAGCATCTCTTCTATTGTAAGCCACCGACCAGGATGCGTGCATGAGACCAGCAAGTTTAACCCGCCGTGCGCAGGGTTCTTCGAGTCGCGCAATGACCCAAAGAATGATCCCGTCGTGCTGTGGCTCAACGGCGGCCCCGGATGCTCGTCGTTGACCGGCCTGTTCCTCGAGCTCGGCCCGGCCAAGATTGATCAGAATCTCCAGGTCGTCAACAACCCGCACTCTTGGAACAGCAACGCATCCGTCATCTTCCTTGACCAGCCCGTCAACACCGGATTTTCCTACAGCAAGCAGCAGGTGGACAGCACAGAGGCCGCCGGGAAAGACATATACGCCCTGCTGACTCTTTTCTTCCAACAATTCCCGGAATACTCGAAGCAGCCATTCCACATTGCCGGCGAGTCGTATGCCGGCCACTACATTCCCGTCTTCTCCGCAGAGATCCTGTCCCATAGCGATCGCAACATCAACCTCAAGAGCGCGCTCATTGGAAACGGCTTGACGGACCCCTTGACGCAGTACAAGTACTACCGTCCCATGGCCTGCGGCGAAGGCGGCTACCCTGCTGTGCTGAGCCAAAGCGACTGCCAGTCGATGGACAATGCGCTGCCGAGATGCCAGTCGCTCATCCAGTCATGCTACAACTCGAGCGACCCGCAAGCATGCTCGAGCGCTACCTCGTACTGCAACAACGCCATGCTCGGCCCGTTCCAGCAGACGGGCAAGAACGTATACGACGTCCGCAAGAACTGCGAGGGCAGCAACCTCTGCTACGACGAGCTCGAGTGGATCTCGCAGTATCTCAACAAAAAGGAAGTGATTGAGGCCCTGGGCGTCGAGGTGTCTAGCTTCGAGAGCTGCAACTACGACATCAACCGCAACTTTGCCGCCCACGGCGATTGGATGCTTCCCGAGCACCGCAACGTGCCCAAGCTGCTCGAGCAGATCCCCGTGCTCATCTACGCGGGCGACGCCGACTTCATCTGCAATTGGCTGGGCAACCAGGCATGGACCAAGGCGCTTGCGTGGCCTGGAAAGGACGCCTTCAACAGCGCTCAACCCCAGACGCTCCGTACCGCCGCGGGCGGCAAAGACTACGGCAAGATCACGACAGCGCAGAACTTTGCCTTCCTCCAGGTCTTTGGTGCGGGACATATGACCCCGATGGACCAGCCCGAGGCAGCCCTCGACTTTTTCAACCGATGGCTGGCTGGGGAGTGGAAGTCGAAATAAGGAGCGAGGCGGCCAAATCGACATGGACCAACGGACGCGGCCACGACAAACCATGTACATAGTCTCAGCGCCCTAGCATACGGATAGCCTAGTATCCATCAATGTACGACTGGTATCGTTACGATGGCGCGTCGTGGATGCGGGTTACGTGATGTACGTTGGTGTGGTCGGTTTGAGCGATGGACCCGCGCACTCCAGCATTCCCACGGTGAGCACCGAGAGGCACAGGCGCGTCGTCGCGGCCATGTTACCTTTCTTTGGGGTAGGTGTCGCTTGTAGGAACGAATCGTCACGTCGCCGAGACGCTTTTGGCGCGACACCTCAATCCACCTTGATGGTCCAGGTCGGACCCCCCACGTTGGCCATCAAGGTGAGTCGCGGCGCACGCACGAGGCCTTGGGTATACTGCGTCACGTTTGTGTGGTCCTCATATGGGCCACAAGGGTACCCGAAACGGACTCTGACATTCTTTGCAATATCTATAGTTGGCCGCCGGATCGTCTTGTACATACGAACGTCGAATCTCACACGCCAAACCGGACTGGCTTCGCGCCTGTATCGCAATACCATGGACGCTGAGAGCGAAGTATACGATGTCATCATTGTTGGCGCAGGGCCCTGTGGTCTTGCCACGGCGGCTCGACTGCGCGAGCATACGCCCGCCGCGCTCTTTACCGACGAGGAGCATCGCCGATACCACTGGATCGGCAAGTATGGCAGCAACGTCTCGCTCAAGCACGTGCGAAGCGGCAAGGTCTCCAATAGAGGACGTGCGCGAGCGCGACCCGAGTACAAGATGCTCGTACTCGACGCCACGGACGAGTCGTGGTTGGGCCGTTGGAGGCGGCTGTTTCGCACCTTTGACATTTCTCACCTCCGCAGCCCGATGCTCTGGCACGTGGACCCCTTGGATCGAGACGCACTGCTGGCCCATGCGTACCGCGAAGAGCGCGAGGGGGAGCTTGTGGAGATTCGGAACTGCGTGGGCAAGGAGATGAGCAAGCATGCGAAAAAGAAGCTGGCCGGCAGCAAGGCCTGCGGGAAGAAGTGAGAACCTGTCGAGTCGTCTGGAGCAACTTTTCTGATCCGTCAACCCTAGGCAAGAGGCCAGGGTGGCCATCAATCTGCGAGATCGCAACGACTACTACACCCCGTCGCAGTCCCTCTTCTGCGACAACTGCGACGACGTGGTCGCGCGATACAACCTCGGCGCGGGCCTGGTTCAAAAAGGCGCCATACACGACATTGACTATGGCGTGGTGAATGGCGTTTCCATCGACGACGAGAGGCTCTTCACCGTCACCACGGATGGCGGCGTCCGTCGTTACGCCAAGGTCGTCGTCCTCGCAGTCGGTCCTGCCAATGGCCCTCAACTGCCTCGCCTGCCCTCGATGCCCACGAACCAAGCCCAGCTCCGGCAGGCCTGCCACAGCATGCAGATTCAAGAGTTTCCGGACCCTGTCGTCACTTCGCGCATGCAGGCCGGCCGGCCGACGCATATCCTCGTCGTCGGCGGAGGTCTCACATCCGCGCAGCTGTCAGACCTGGCGATCCGCCGCGGCGTCACCAAGGTCTGGCACATGATGCGCGGCCCCTTGCGCATCAAGCATTTTGACGTGGACTTGCAGTGGATGGGCAAGTACAAGAACGCGGAGCAGGCGCGGTTCTGGACGGCAGACTCGGACGAGGAGCGGCTGGCCATCATCAAGGAGGCTCGTGGCGGCGGAAGCATCACGCCCTTGTTCAACAAGCGGCTCAAGAAGCACATTGCAGCAGGCAAGTTGGCGCTTTTTGAGAGGACCTCCCTGAGCGATGTCTGCTTTGAAGAGTCGGACTGCGAGGCAGACGGAGCGGGCCGTTGGACCGTGTCGACGGAGCCTCCCGTCGACGGCCTGCCAGCCTTTGACTACATCTACTTTGCCACGGGCATCCAGACAGACTTCCGGACGTTGCCGTACCTGCGTTGCATGCTGAACAAGCACCCCATCCAAGGCTTCGGCGGCTTTCCCTGTCTAAACGAGGACCTGATGTGGGCGGACGGCGTGCCGTTGTTCGTGGCCGGAAGGCTGGCGTCGCTGCAGCTCGGCCCGGCGGCGCCCAACATTGGCGGTGCGAAGCTCGGCGCGGAGAGGATTTCCTGGGCCATTGAGGATCTGATCAAGCCATCCGGGTGGGAAGCTGACGGCGGGCGGGAGGACCGGGCGAGCGGAGGGATGGCGGGATACCTGTCAGGACACGATAACCGGTTCTCGTGCCTTGCGGGCGTCTGAGCGAGTCTTTAGTCCCGGGCATCACAATAGCCGGATTCATTGCGTTTAATAAGTGCGACCCTGCAACAAAAAGTTCCGCGCCGAGCAGTGGAACACATGCCCACTTACACGTACACGGGCACCACGGGGCCGTAGTTGAACTTTAGCCGCCACCAGGGCGCCATCGGCCCGCATGCCCCAGGACGGGGTTACTGGCGGCACTGACAGCCGTGGCCACTCATCCGCCCGGCATGTCGCTCAGTGGCGAACGTCATCTTTGCGTTGCACCCGTGGCATTCCCGAGCGATATCGGTCTCCCAGAAGACCTCGCCGTCGCGTATAAGTGCTGCCCAGACGATGCCTGTCCATCCAGTGTCGTGCCCTCATCCACACAGCTATACAAGTTTTTTTTTTATTTCCCTCACGGGCCGACTCGCTACTCTCACGATGGCTGCTGCGACGAAACTCCGCAAGATGGTCGAGGACCCCCAGTCCTTCGTCGTGGCGCCGGGCGTCTACGATGGCTTCAGCGCCCGCATCGCCCTCGAGGTTGGCTTTGACTGTATTTACATGGTTCGTTTCGGCTCCGTGACTGCCTCGATATGTCGCTGACCAGACGTAAGACTGGTGCTGGCACGAGCGCATCCCGGCTCGGCCAGCCCGATCTGGGCTTTGCCTCGCTCAACGACATGCGCGCCCATGCGGAGATGATTGCCAACCTGGACCCGTCTACACCCCTCATCGCCGACGCCGACACGGGCTACGGCGGGCCCAACATGATTGCCCGTACCATCGAGCAGTACCACCGCAGCGGCGTCGCGGGCCTGCACATCGAGGACCAGATCCAGACGAAGCGCTGCGGGCACCTCGGCGGGAAGGAGGTCGTGTCCGCGGAGACGTTCAGTCAGCGGATCGCGGCCGCTGCGCAGGCGCGCAAGAGAGTGCACTCGGACATTGTCATCATTGCGCGCACGGACGCCCTCCAGACGGACGGCTACGAGGAGGCGGTGCGGAGGCTCAAGCTCGCCGTCGCGGCTGGCGCCGACGTGGCGTTCCTCGAGGGCGTCCAGACGGAGGAGCAGGCGAGGGGTGTCTGTCGCGAGCTCGCTCCGACACCGGTGCTGCTCAACATGGTTGAGAACGGGGCGACGCCGTCGTGGACGCCGGACCAGGCCAGGGAGTTTGGGTTCAAGATCATCATCTTTCCCTTCTTGACGATCGCGCCCGCGTACGAGGCCATCAAGTCCTCACTGCAGCACTTCAAGAAGACGGGCACCTCGGGCATAAGCAAGGATTTCACACCAAAGAAGCTGTTTACCGTGGTTGGCTTGGAGAAAGCGACGGCCGTTGATGCCGAAGCGGGAGGGTCCATGTATTCTAGAGTGTAGCGACTAGGGCTATAAAGAAGGGCTCCTTGGTTTTAAGAACGCTTCTATTTGGTCGCTACTTTGAAGAGTGACGTTAAGTGGCGAGAGGAGGAGCGAGAGGAGGAGCGAGAGGAGCGAGAGGAGCGAGAGGAACGAGAGGAACGCGGGAGGGCGCAGGTTGAATTACCTCCAGGAGCCTACAGCATATTTCCGCATTACGAAATTGGCGAGGATAGTGATGAAGGCAATCGACAAACGTATAAAGTCAATATTTAGCGCGTCAAAGTCGGCGCCAAGCTGCGTCGTGACACCGAAGAGTATCGCAATTCCATGGTCTGGCCCTTTGCAAAGGGATGCCTTGAGTGGGCTCCTAACCCACGGTACCATTGGCAAACCCCATCGATCCAGATTGAAGAATAAGATCTCCTCCATGGTAGCGTATGGCAGTCGTTCCATGAGGCCCTTGATCTTATTGCAATAAAAGGCTGCCATCCAGCAGATAACACCTTCCCAGTCCAGTATCTTCTCGCCACATCCCTTACCCTCGGCGCACTTTTTGCAATTTGACCGCATCGTCTCGAGCATGGTCTTCGCAATTGTCACCAAGAACCCGTCGTGCCACCTAATTGCCAGCGCCTGGGGCCTAGAGAGGACGTGATATGGGTAGAAGCAGCGACCGCCCGAATGTTGGGATAGTCAAGAAGTAATTAAACTCGACCGACGATAGCCCGTAGCGTGCGGCAATCTTCTTGAGTGTCGACATGCTAAAATGTGCCCGAATCGCATGCTTAAGATAGCGCGATAATGGTGAAAAGATGGGCTCCTTGAGCGCATCAGCAATCGCGCCTTCGAGGGTCGAACTCATAGTCCCAGTTCTCATTGCGGTAAGCATGTGACCGAGCTCTGTTGGGTCGAGCTTGCTCCAGCGATCTACCCGTTTCTGGTGTGATCCTCTAGTCTTAAAGACTGTGCTGAGAATGGTGGCATTGAATAACGCGTTGTAGCACCAAGATATTCTCGACTTCCAGCTCGCGAAGTCCGTATTCTCTCTGAGCCGGACGCATTCCGCTATCAGTGGCAGAACGAGGGGGCCCATCTGGCGTTTCGTCACGTTCAAGCTGTACATGACGAACTAACAATTTGCAGCGGTACGATAGGCGAGTCGGCGTCAAGTTCAAGAGGCGCCAGGTTGTGATCGCGGGCGTTTGCAAGGCCATCGCCTCTCGTGACATCGCCCTACGACGATGGTGCCGGCCGTCGTCGAAATCAGCTCTCCCTTACGGCCGTGCCGGTTGTGTGAGAGGCATGACCATTTCGTTCTCAACGGAAACGATAGGAACGATAGGAACGATAGGAACGAAAGGAACGAAAGGAACGAGAGGAACGAAAGGGACGAAAGGAACGAAAGGAACGAAAGGAACGAAAGGAACGAAGGGAACGAAAGAGAATGTTCTAGTTTGAACTCCGTAGTGATATTGAGTTTGCTGATGCCCATGGCAGAACCGTGCTCTTCAGCACTGAACGATTCATACTTTGAATCTGGGTTGGGATATTCTTCGTGAACGACAGTGCAGCCATTGGCGTCGTCGATGGGTATGCAGTTATTGTCGTTCTCCTGATTATCCCCCGGGCCTTTCCGATGTCAACGTCCACAAGGTCCTCGGAGGGGTTATTCAAGCTGCTCTTCTGCCTTGTGTGTGTCTGTGCGATTTTGGCGGACTTTCGACGAGGGGCCTTTGGGTCGCATTCGAGCAGAAAAGGCCTGGTGACGGAGGCACTGGCACGGACGACTCCATGTCTGTGAGGATTGGCCGAGCGTAGTGAAGCGCCAGCCTGGTTGACATCCGGTGAGGAGCGTCCGGGTCACCATCAGCCGGACGCGGCCTGGGCTTGATGATGGGGCCAGTGGCACCGATCGTTCCAGCGGTTCCCTGGTCATCCCAAACTGTGCAATCGATGGAGGTCAGAGCAGAGCCGATGGGTGCCAGGGGCAGGGTAGTCACGCTTGCGCCCCCTCACTGTGGCAGGGCCGCTCGGTACGATGGCCCTGTCGAGACAGGATAAGAGGGCGCAGACCAGACAGGCCGAAGGAATAGACAGGACCGGTGCCACACAGGGGACCAGAGCTTCGGACGGTGTTTAAGACGGGAGCAAGAAGGACAAGAAGCTACGTCGACAGAGCCATTGTGTGTGGTCGTGGGTGTCGAGCTCTGGTCGTGGAAGGAGTAGACGTGGTCGTAGAGCCTGTGGTTGAGGAAGGAGGGCCCCTGGCGCACCTGCTGGTCCAGTGGCTGGATTTCAGTCAACGATGAACTACAAAGAAGCAAGTAAATTGCTATACAGACGTCGTTACAATTGAACTTTGCAGATATCGCGGGTGCCTATTCAGCCTGCGAGACCGTTGCGAAGTTCATGTCCCTTTCCACATTAGTCGGACTTGCATGGCCGTTTGCTGCCGTTCCGGTGACCTCGAAGTGCCTCCCGCGAAAAGGAAAAGTGCCCAGCGGTGTCTGTTCTGAAGAAAAGATTGGCCAATACCCCTTCTTCAGTTCGCCCCGTCCGTAGGCAATATCGTGATCGTCGATGACCCATCTATAGGCAAGCCGTTTGCGGACTGGAGGGGGCGGGAGGAACGAAAGGAATTGAACAGACGGGAAAGGGGGACGAGAAGAACTAAAGGGTAAAAATAGATAGCTAAGACTAGTTTTTCTTTATAATTCATATCCTTGCCGTCTCTACACGTACAGTCGACTGACAGCAGTCGCCCTTCATGAGACTGCCTAGCCAACCAAGCCTAGCTATCCAGGCTAATATAGAGTCTAGTCTCGGTCGAGCAAGACCAGTTATCTACTGCGCCTATTCTTGCAGCCAGCCAAGGGGAGTCATCAATAAGCAATCGCAATCATTCAAGACAAACGACCCTTGGCCTCTATGCAGGTCCCTATGGTCAGTCAGTAAAGCCCAGGCGACCGACCTCCTCGACCTGATACAAGCACGCTCTTCGTGTTGCAGTCGCAGATAGTACCGCCGCCGCAGGCGAATAACCTACGAGGGAGCGCAAAAAGCGGGTAGTGGACCACCTTCACGTTTCTGTATGGCGATTTCTGCCATCGCGACATAGTAATCTTGTTTCTAGGATGTCGTCGCCATTCAATAGCAATCGCTGCGACGTATCATTGATGCTTGGCTTGATAGAACACAGCTGACCCCTCTACATGTGGCGCCAACGTAGTCACGAATCGCTACCCACTCTTCCACGGATGAAGAGACGGCGAGAGGGCGCACCGGGTCATGTATAACGGAACAAAAGCTGCGACATCACTGCGGGGCTTCGCAAGTTAAACTTTTCACTTCCTCATCAACTCCTGGCATCAACGTAGCTCCGGAAAGTACTTTGTTGAGATTTACAGACGTCCTGGTTGCAGTCATGTCCCACGCAATGGCTGGCCGGCGACAGATTATGACGCGCTGGGCAAACGCCGCGCTGAACGTCCGCCAATTCTCCACATCCGGCCCCCGCCAGTCCGCGGGCCTCAAGATCAACGCCGACCGCCTCAACAAGACGCTGCACGACACATGCCAATGGGGTGCCGCTCATCGATATGGAAGGTGTGTTTCTGCTCCGTAGGTCGCCTAGTGCTGTGACTCTTGATGCTGATCCGGGACAGTGGTCCGACGGAGACGGGAATGGCTCGTCTCGCCCTTACAGACGACGATGCTCACGTCAGGCGATGGTTCGCCGACGAGGTCAAAAGCCTTGGCTGCAGCCTCACGGTTGATCAAATGGGCAATATGTTTGCGAAGCGCCCAGGCGCGGGCAAGGTCAAGGCCCCGATGATTGCCATGGGCAGCCATCTCGACACGCAGCCACGCGGCGGCCGCTACGACGGTATCCTAGGCGTGATGGCTGGTCTTGAGGCGCTCCGCACGCTGCAAGAGAACGGCTACAAGACAAATTTCGACATTGGCCTCGTCAACTGGACAAAGTGAGCCACGCCAGATATGAGCCAGTTGCGGTCACCAGCACTGACGCGTCGCAGCGAGGAGGGAGCCCGGTTTCCCAAGTCCATGGTCTCGTCCGGCGTCTGGGCAGGTGCGATCCCGATAGACAAGGCCTGGAATCTGGCAGACGTTTTCGACCCGGCGACAACGATGAAGTCGGAGCTCCAGAAGCACGGCTACCTGGGCGACGTGGCCTGCTCGAGCGACGCGGCAGCAGGTGTCCCTCTGTCCGCTCACTTCGAGCTGCACATCGAACAGGGCCCGATCCTCGAGCGCGCGGGCAAGAAGATTGGCGTCGTCTCTGGAGCTCAGGCGTACAAGTGGTTCACCTTCACAGTCGTCGGCCGCGACGCCCACACTGGCACGACACCCCTCGAAGCCCGCAGCGACCCCTTGCTCGCGGCGGCCAAGATGATTGCGAGCTCGCATGCAATCGCAAAGAAGTACGGTGCGCTGGCGTCGACCGGCATTGTCAAGATTCCAACAAACTCCTCCACCAACACGATCGCCTCTGAGACGAGTTTCACCCTGGATATACGGCACCCGGAAGACGGGGTCGTTGCCGAGGTGGAGAAGCTGTGCCTCGACTCCTTTCGGCAAATAAGCAAGGAAGACGGGAAGGGGGTAGCCTTGAGCTGGACTCTCGATACCGACTCCCCGGCCGTCAAGTTCGATTGGGATTGCATACAGGCGGTCGAGGCGGCGGCCACTGAGCTTGTCGGCCCTGACGGCTGGCTCCCCATTACCAGCGGGGCAGGTCATGACAGTGTCTACACGAGCAGCAGATGTCCGACGACCATGATCTTCGTTCCATGCCGAGACGGCGTGAGCCATCACCCGGAGGAGTATTGCAGCCCAGAGGACTGGTGAGTGGCGGCCGTCTTGCTACGCTCGACTGGTCAGAAGCGACTAACATCCCACAGCGCCATCGGTACACAGGCACTCTTGGACGCTGTTTTGTACTACGACGAGAGGAAGGGTAGCACGATAAGCTGAGCCTCCGGGCTACTACATGGGCATCTGCTGTCGGAGCAGTGTGGAATCATCGTCTCGGGCTCACTCGTCCAGACTGGGGCGAACCCAAGATGAACATCAGAGACGTCTTGAACTGGCCCAACAAAATGCACCGAAGCGCCAGCCCTTTTCTTGCCAATGTTACGTATTTCATGGGCGCGCATAGTGGGGAATAGTTAAACCTGAATGGCGCCATGGGTCGTCATCCACGAAGACATACATTATTTCATTGCTATCGATGCTGCCTTCGACGTGTACCCTCCTTCGGCCGCTGAATCCTGCCTCCAGTCAAGTTCTGGTCGTCATGACGCGCGATCGAAATTTCGGGAATCGCAGCATACAATAGCTGTACCATTATTGACAGGCTATTCCGTATGGTAAGTATACTGCCGATCAGATATCCCTATTGCGAGCAGCCCCCCTCCCTCTCTTCGGGTCGTGTTACTCCATGTCTGCCTAAGATGAACGCATAGCTTTAACGCGACAAGCAACAACTTTGAGCTCCCGGTGTAAATATGCCGCGTAAATTTGTGGTCAATGGAACCTTGCAGAGTAGCAATGCACAAAGACCTGCCCGGGGCTCTATGACGTGGACCGCTGGCGAAGGATTTAGACTAGCACGAATGTCGGTAAAGGTCGCTGAAATGGTCCGAAAACTCCCCGCCTCAAGACTGCAGCCGACGACTCATCTAACGGAAGACGACCTCGTCTGTCAATGCACGCTCCCTCAATTCTTTGAGACTGCTCACCATGGCTCTCTCGTCCCGACAGGATTTTGTGACGTCTCGTCAACACACAATCTCCTACGTCCATGTCGCACCGACCCACGCGCTACCGACTCTCCTCTTTCTGCACGGCTTCCCTTCGCATATCCCTGATTGGAAGCATCAAATCCAGCATTTTGCGTCGCTCGGCTACGGGATCCTTGCGGTGGACTTGTTGGGGTATGGTAGCAGCAGCAAGCCGACCGACGTGGACAGCTACCGCCTCCGGCCCATGGGTGATGGAATCGTTGAGCTCCTCGACCACCTCGAATTGACGCAGGTTGTTGGCGTCGGCCACGATGTAGGGTCGACTTTGCTTTCGCGCATGGCCGCATACCATCCCGAGAGATGGACGGCACTCGTCTTCCTCGCCGTCGGCCCGCCCAAGCTCGGCACGCCATTCAACGTCGACGCCATCAACACCATGACGAAGCAGGCGATGGGTTTTGAGCTCCTCGGGTACATCCCATGGCTCGGCGGTGCTGACACCGATGCCCAAGCGACGCTGGAGGAGAACCCTCGCGCGGCCATGAGCCTCATGTTCGCCGCCGACAAGGCGTCCTGGGTCGAGTGGTTCCACCCTCTACATCGGATGGAGCAATTCGTCACCAAAGACAAACGGGTGCCCATCGGGGAATGGTACACCGAGGACCTCCAACGGCTCCATCTCGCGGCGTTTGGCCAAGGAGGCGGCTACACGGGCGCAACGCGGTGGTACCGCATGTGGCTCGAGAACCGATTCGCGCCCGAGGAAGTTGGGTACGAGGATGCAAAGATTGCGCAGCCGGTGCTGTTTGTGGTACCCAGGGAGCCTGAGACCGGCGCAGACCAGCAGACGCAGATGCTGGCCGCCTGGGCAGCGGATTTGACGGTCGTCAAGGTGGACTCGGGGCATTGGGTGCACTTGGAGCGGCCCGAGGAGACGAACGAGGCGATTGAGCACTTCTTGACGAAGCTGTGACGTGCAACCGCCGTAGAGCCCAGTGCAACGCACAGGATTGGGCGTCTTGGAGGCTATCTCCCTTTCTCCTCTGTATTCAATCGTTTCCCTCAAACTCTGATCCCGACGCTCACAGCTCTCATTCGCCTGCAATGCTACAAGTACAACCTCAACAGAATCGATGGCGGGAGGCACCCAGCCAGCAGCAGTCCGGTCCCAGATCTATGCAGGCAGGTGGCAGACGGCCTCGAAATTGTTGCCCGCCGGGTCGATCAAGAACGCCCCATAGTAGTTGGGGTGGTACATGGCCCTCACGCCCGGTGCGCCGTTGTCCTTCGCGCCAGCCTTGAGCGCCGCAGCATGGAAAGCGTCCACGGTCGCACGATCTGTGGTTGACTTTAGACCTCGGGCACAGACTACATAACTCACCCCGGCATGCTCACCGTTTGTTTTGAATGCAACGTGCGTCTTGCTCTCACCGACGTCCTTGGCCCCCGTGAGCCAGAAGTCGGGAACCGGCTTGTTGTCCGGGCAGCCCTGCGCAGACCCGAGCCCGACGACGTAGTCGCCGAACTGGTGCGTCTTGGTGTACCCGAGTGGCTTCAGGGCCTCGAGGTAGACTTGTAGCGTCTCCTGAAACTTGGACTCGGAGACGGTCAGTCCGACGTGGTCAATGGTCATGGTGCTGGTTGTTGAATTTGGTGAGGTTGATGGACAGGCCAATGTTGAACGCCCGGACAGTAGGGGTCTTTGTCTGAATGGTCAAGCAACATGCAACCACGGGAGGCTTTATAGCGGGGGAACAGCCTTCGCGTGACGTTTCCTTGGTGCCCCTCCGCTGAACCGACTTGTCCTCTCGCTGGATCTCGGTTCCAAGGGGGGTTGCGTGAAACTCTACAGCCCGTCCCAATGGTCGACAATAAAGCCACGACTGTTAAGCCTCTGAATGTGTGAAACCTGAGCCTGGTTTATTTCGTCAGCCACCCCACATTCACGGTCGGCGCAGGAATCAGTGTCTTGCAGTGAAGGGCATTCCAGCCGCACGCCACATTCAACATGTAAGTAGGGTCGGGTCAGCCCTGCAACTGCGTCCCTCAAAAACAAGCGCCGAAGGCGCCTCGGTGAGATGAAAATGATTTGACATTATTGCGGGCTATGCGTCTATGAAAAGCAGGAAGAATGCACGCGCTCAAGTATGCCTGGGTATCAGACCGTTCAAATCAACTCCAAGAAACCTCTGAAAACCGTCGTCGTTTCACTGCCGTACTTCATGCCTGCGAGCCACCATCAGGTCTGGAATTGGACGGCCCAGCCTCAGAGTGCCCGTCGGGCCTCCGGGGCGGCATCGGGGGCGGCGTCGGTTCCGAGACAGGGGCCGCGTCGGAGACGCTCGAGACGACTGGCGACGGGGACCTCTCTCCGGCAAGTCGTGCCTGCGGCGGAACGCGCGGCTGCTCGTGGATCGTGGGCATGCCGGTCGACATTCGCTGCGACTGCGATCTCCGCTGCTGCTGTCGCCCGCTTGCGCTTCGTCCTGCCACCGGCGGCGGCAGCGACTCTCGCGGGCGCTGCACCATGGGCTGCGTACCGTACGCCGCACCCGTGGCCGACGTCGCCGGCAGGTCGCTCTCGTCCAGGTACCCGTCGGGCTTCCAGTCGTCGTGCTCGCCGAGCAGCTCAAACGGATACCTGTGCCGCAGGCCCAGCTTCGCCCAGAGGCGGAACTTGCTGCCGGCGGTCATGCCCGTCCACTGCTCCCGCAGGCGCTCCTGGTCCTCGACGAGGCGGGGCGGGACGCGCCGCAGGAGGAAGATGATGGGCGGGCACAGGAGGATCCAGGAAATGGTGGCGAAGCGCATGGTGCTCTTGCCGAGCATGAGCCTGCGGAACCAGAGGAAGGACTCGACGAAGCCGAACAGGAAGACGGAGGGGAGCACCGCGGCAAGGACGATGCCCCAGATGGGGACCCCGCCGACGCAGCCGGACCCGTCAGTGCCGCACATGGAGCTGTCGCTGTCGGGGTCGCCATTGCTGTTGCCGGGGCCGCTGACGTCGCCTCCCCGGTATCGGGAGCTTGTGCTGGTGGTGGACGACGCTTGCGGGTTCCGGCAGTTGGACACGTAGTAGCTGTACGTAAAGTCTCTCGAGAGCGAGCTGCCCGTCGGCCAGTACGTCTTGTCGATGTAGGCCTTGACCGTCGTGTAGAGCGTGCCGTCGCCGTAGTCGCGGACGGTGCTGGTGGTGGACGTGGGCGTCACCTGGGCGGCGACGGCGCTGGGCAGGGATAGAGTGCGCGACGAAGTCACGGTGAAGGGCGTCGGGCAAGACGACGGCGCCGAGTACGCCATCGGTTGCACGTAGTATGTGTAGACGTATCGCGAAGAGCGGTCAGTGTCGTCGCCATAGACGCTGAGATCCGACGAGGGCACGGCCGATATGGGCAGGTAGATGCGAACGGTCTCGACGTCCCCGTCGTAGTCGCCCAGCGTGACGGTCGAGACGGCGGCCGAGGCGGGCAGAGTCGTGGCGCTCGCCTTGAGCGAGTACAGGCTGCTGTCGGTGTACACGCGGGTCGTCGTGTACTGGTAGTTGCGGTACGTGTAGCTGTACGTCGTGATGGACACGGCGTAGTATGACGTGACCGTCCATTGCGCCGCGTCGGCAAGACGGGCCAGGGCAAGAAGCCAAACGAGAGACACGGCGAACACGGCGGTGAAACCACCACCGCCGGTGGCGCCTTGACGTTGCGGCCGCCCGAGAGCCAGCCACATGATGGCTATGGTCGCACCCGCGAAGAAGCGGGAAAGTGATGAGGAACGAGAGACTGGGTGGAAAAGACGGAACGGAAGAGATCAAAAAGGCCACCACAAGGGGTGGTCTTCTTGTCGTGGCGCCACCGTGGTTTTCATAGCGCCCGCAACTCGGCTGGTGCTGGAGATGCGGCTCACTCTCACTCCTCTAGTCCTCCGGGCTCCCAGCAAATATTTTCCCACCAGGCTGCCGTTAGCCTGGACTGGTCCACGACGGTTAGCCTGCCTGCCCTGCCTCTGTTCACGAACCACGGCAACCCGCGCGTGGGATGATTCGCCATCTCCAGTATCGACCCCCGTGCAGGGTCGAATATTGCCTGTTCTTAGCGCAGTGTTCTGGCTCCGGCCGAGAGCCAAACGGGACGCAGGCCCGCTCCCGCTGCCAATCCCGCGCCTCGACGCCGCCGCCGGCGATCCACTGTCGTAGGGCAGGGTCAGGGGCCCCCCCAGGCGTGGATGGTGGGATGGGTGGTTCGGCGACTGCTGTAATGGGGTTGCCAAGAAGCTCACGAGATGAGCAAAGGGTTCGCTGTGGCAGGCACCCGCGTCCGAGCGGTCTGGGGTGAGGCCAGGCCTGCACAAACACATGTGTTGTGGGATGGAGTCACTTCATGTTGGTGTGCAATAACTACCAAGCCTCTGGTCTTGGTCTCTTTTTGCTGTCCGGTCCCTCATTCATCTCGTGATGCGCCTCAACTTTCTGCGATTGCTTTTGTCACTCTCTTCGCAGCCGCTCTGAGCTCAGCTCTGTCAGGCACTTGGCGTCTTATCATTCACCAGACTGCACACTGAGCCAAACTGCACCATTGAATTCGACTCACGTGGTGTGATAACCGTGTTGCCATTGAATGAGTGGACAGGTAAGTAAGTCTTGCAAATGGTAATCGCCATGTATTGTCACCCCGGAAAAGCGTCTCTGCATCCTGCGCCTCCATGTTCTCGTGCGCCTCTCGCCTGGTCAACGCTCCTCACAACTTCATCCCGTCGTCAGTTCGACGGTAGATACACAATCATTTCCAGCCCGCCAGAGTACGGCGTCGTCGTCGTCTTGAATCCATTTTCCGGATTGTGGATGTAGGCCAAAAACTCCTTGTACAGCGCCTTTGCCATGACTGTGTTGTCGGCTAGGATAAGTGCTCCCTTGCGCAGCCGTGGTTTGACAATCTCCAGCACGGGCAGTGCCATTGGCGTCCAGACTGCGACCCGTTAGCCATGGATGCCATTTCCGGACGATACGGGAACGACATACTGTCAAGCAGCAGCAGGTCAATCTGCTCCGGCATTCCCTCAGCGACCTTCAACGTCTCGCGCAAGTCACCCTCGCGCAGCTCAATCCAAGGTTCCACCTCGTCGCCCGCCTGCTTCCAGTGCTCGCGTGCTTTCGCAGCCTTGGTCGGCTCCTGCTCCGTCGCGATGACCTTGCCCGTCGCCCGCCCCCCGGCGGCCCGCGCATCGGCGACGTTTTGTCCCACGGCGAGGGCCAGGTATATGGTGGACACGCCGAAGCTGGTGCCGGCCTCCACAATGTTGCGCGCGCCCATGCCCCGGGCGAGGAGGTACATGAACTGGCACTTGTCCTGCTCGAGCGAGACGTACTTGTCTCGCATGTGGTCGTCAGCCGAGGCGGACCAGCCTGAGCCCCAAATGTAGTACGACGCAAGCATCTTGACGTAGAAGAAGATTTGGGACAGCGACTTTTCCTGTGCCTCGGACGCCGCGTGCAGGCGTTGCAGGAGGTCGTGGATGCGGGCGCTGGCCTCGAGGGCCCGGGTCGCTGCCGCAGGCGGTGCCATTGTAGCGTTTGAAGGCCGTTTGTAAGTCTCTGACTCTGTGTGTTGGTTTTGATGAAGACGCCTGATTCAGTCCGTGAAACGCCGCAGCGAAAGACGTTTGCCATCGAGCCATTGCAAACAATCACGGGTTTGGTGCTTGGCCACGCCCTCTTAAATGCCCGCTCAGAGTCGAAAGGTGGCTGCATCGGAGAACCGAGACCGCCGAGCGGTGTCGCAAATCGCCGCGCGGTGGTGATGCTCTCGTTCATGCGACCCCAGGCTTACCCGAATGAACCCATCCGCATGCCGACTTGCTGTAGTATGCCAGGCCAGCGTCCCAGATCTTCGGTGACTATAACGTAGCCTCGATTTCCACGGCAAAGCACCAGACCATAGCCGCACGCGTTCTCGACATCTTCGTATTGCAAGCAAACCGCGACCCGAGACAAACGCGCGGGCAGACAAGAGATTCCACGCCTAGGCGCACAAACGGGCATTCCGCGCTCTACTCGGCGTTATGCGGCTGATAAGCCAGCGCCGCCGGTTTGGCCGCAAACCGGATCAAGTTCGCCCGGAACATTCACTGTTGAGCCGACGCCGCGTTTGCATCATTCACTCGCAACCACGGCAAACGAACCGCAGGCCTTGTGCTTCACTGGCATCACTGCTCAATCCGAACAGATATAAAACCTCTCCCAATCGCCACCCCATAGCTCCGACCTTTTGTTCCTCTTCCATCTTCCAGTCGTTTCTGTCCAGACTTCATGTGCAGGCCAGGCCCAGGCGTAACTCGTGGATCACCGCGCTCTCCACGCCAGTCGCCTCGTGTGAGCAACACCCTCTGTTCCATGTCTTTGATCCTTTCTCCCGATGCTCATATTTGACTAACTCATGGCACCGCCAGCATGTCTTGTCAGGGACGCGATTATGCGGTCAGCAGGAATCGCCGGTTCGTATAAATTGGCGATCCGCTCTACCCATCGCGCCTCCGGCATCTACCAGGCACTTGCCAACGCGGTAACACGGCTCTCGGCGAAGGGCGAGCGCTTACTCGCTACTTCAGCTTCGAAACTCCTTCTGTTACCGCTGTCTGTCTGCATTCTATGGCAGCATCCGTAAGTCACTTTCCCGCACCCGCCTTTCATTACAACGAGTCTCGGTAGCTCGCGCAAATCACCGTCTTGTACTGCACCATTTCTCCCTGTCCCCGTCGTCGGATCAACAGGATCACGCACACTGCTGACTTGAAGTAGTCTGTCGAATCATCGGCCCTGCGCTCAGCGTGTGCCATGATAGAGGATGCAATCATGCCGTCATAGAGTGCATCAACATCAGTCTCCATTCAGAGGCATATGAGCGACATCACCACGGCACGGAATTCGCGAAGCTCGTGGACCAGTGCGCCAAATTGGTTCGTACACTGGCCCCAAATCTTGTCGAGCCTCTACAGCGTGACTCGCCCCATGATATCATGAGGGAGGTCATGGGCGGCAAGCGTCTGCGTGCAATCTTGCACATCGTTGCACGACACTGCACGAAACCCACATTCGTTCCCATCACGACTGGGTATATTTGTGAGGGCCGCCAGCAAGGCTCCAACCAAATGTCCATACCTGAGCTCATGACCGTGAGGATCCCCGATGTGTGGATTTCCAAGGCAGCTCAGCTAACGATGCATCTTGCAGTAACGCATTTGGTCGAGCCTCCGGTCTCGTTGGGTGACACGGCAACTACGAGAGCCACGGGAGGTACGAGAGGTAGGGCAGCCACGACAGCCACCGAGACGTGGGATATTGCTTCTGACACTTTTCCAGGTCCAACGTCACCACATTCTCACCCGCCCCGGATGGCTGTCCATTGCTCGCCGGGTGTCAGGACTCGACAGCATCAGATTCACGAATCTCGGTTGCCATACAACAACCTCGCATCCGCCCCATCAGGCGCGACCAATCTTCTATACACGGGGGCAATTACCCCTCCGAAGGGACCATCTTCTTCGACACGGAAGACATCCATGGACTCGGAAAGTGAGCCCAAACGTCGACTACACCGGGAGCATTTATCCCTTCGACGCGAGCCTACTTCAACGTTGTCTAGGCAGGAGCCATCTCCGTTCTACACGAGAACGTGATCACCTGGGCTCTCGACTGCGCGGGGGCCATGATATGCCCCCTTCGAGACGATCATGCCCGTCTAAGTCGGGAACGTCTTCCATCCTGACGAGAACATGATCGCACGTGCAAGCTTCCGGTACACGGGGGACATTTATCCCCCCGAAGCGATCGTGCCCTTCCAGACTAGGCGGGCACTTACAAAGTCGAGTGTATGCTCCGACTCTTCACTTGGGACAAGTTGGTCTGGGTCACACGGATCGTCTTCGTGACAGGTCTTCGGGGCATCCCAAGCCTAATGCATCTCATTGGCGACAAGCTCGGCTTCGCGCATGGGGTTCTATTGACGCACAACAAGCCTGAGTGTCATGCTCAGCAACGACGTGGGCCTCGGCAAACCCACAGGGTCTTACCATTCGTATGCTCGCCTTCTTGAGAGAAGGTGAATGGCATTGACTGGATGATGCCGTGATATTCAAGCGCTCTCTCACTGTCAATCCCATGCAGACCATCGTGCAGACGGCACACGAGTCGGCACATGTCCCGGGCCTCACGGTACTGTACTATATCGAGTCGAGCACGTTCGCATCCGTCCCAAAAGCGCGTCGCATCAAGTCGGATAGCTGACTGCGACATTCGCTGCGTTCGAGAGAAAGGTCATTCGGACTGGTCGGACGGTGATTCTTACAATGGTCCAGACCTTACAACGCCTCGAGGAATCTATCCGACTCCGAGTCCTTGTTTGTGGTTCGCCGAAAGATCGCACGCCGAGCATATCGAATGGCAGGATCCGACTCCCGTGAGCGACGACGACGGCGACGCGGATGAGGACATGGAGTACGCCGCCGCCCATCGTTACGAAACAGATGATGAGGTGCCTCAGCGATGCCGTGGCCCAATTGCGATCCCGGATCCGGGAAGCGAGTCTGGGCTTCGCGCGCACGGGGGCAGTCTTCTTTCCGAGACAATCGTGTTCGTTAATGCGGAGGGTGTGCCTCGGACTGAAACCATCGGCAATATGGTTCAGTACAAGCTGCGCAACCCGGATCTGCCGAACCAAGAGTTCCAATTTCTCATAGTAGAGGAAGCGCAGATGGCACGCTGCCTTGGCGGAAAATCAACGCCACGTCCCCAGGGACGAGTTTCCGCAACATTCAGAGCCCAATGCACCTCCGTGCCATTGGCGGGAAGTTCGAATTCACGAGTTCAACCCCAGTGAGCACACAGTGCGCCTCTGCGACCTCGAGCCCCTGTTTCACACGTTTTGCCATCGTGCGCGTGCTACCCTACGAGTCACTGTCAATCACATCGACATCACGTCGATCTTCACCATATGCCACTACACCAGCACCCGTTCTCGAGATTTTCAAGTTGGCTTGACGGGAAGACGACTTCGAAGGGGAACCAAGAAAACGCTACCGTGGCGGGGTGCTAACAGGCACTCCGCTGTGACCAGAGTTTCGGGGCGGATGAGACAACCCTGAGCCCAACGGCAACATTGAATGCGGACGCGACCGCAGGGATATTCGCGCAGCTTGGCCCTTGTCGGATCACTGAGAGTTTCGATAAATGATCGTAAAACAACATTGAAGACCAGTTCTCACAAACAGCCGCGCACACTTCCGCTGCATTATAATCCCAATCCATCTTGTGCTTTGCCATGCTCTTGTGAACCCGAAGGAGCCTGGTGCTTCCACCCGCGCTTCGCTAGTGAACCTGAACGATATGGCTACAGTTTCCCTTTGAGACCCTAGACTACTGCATTCACTACGGTGCGCTCTGGCTCGCTGTTCGGGTTGACCTCGGCGACGGTCATGGCCTGTACTTTTGGCAACCTGAGAAACTTGACCTCGAGCGCCTGGGAGCCAAGTGGCACACTGGTACCCTGAGCCACGTCCACCGCTCTCCTCGCGATGCCACTCACTCAATGGTGTTGTTCTTCGACTGAGGGTCCGACCGCTCCATGAGACTTGCATGCAAGTAAGATGTCAGCGACCGCAAATTCGCAAGGTAGCAAGCAGGGCACCTCGAGGTTCTTACGTTTCCTTGGTCAGCTTCTCCTTGTTGTAGACCATCACCTCGGCCTGGTGCGGCTGCAAAAGCGCCTTGGCCTGCTTGTGAAAGCCCTCCTTCTTGTTCTTCTCGACGCTGCCCACGCCCGCGCCGATCCACCGGACTAAGACATCCCTGGTGTCGCTCACGCCGCCTTGCTGCACCGCCAGGCGAACCACCGCGTATTGGACCTGGTCGGCCTCGAGAAGCGAGGTCATGTCAGCGACGTCGCCTTCTCCGCAGGACGCCATGTGCACCGTGCTTGGGCCGACGTAGTTGAGGAGAATCCAATCGCTGGTGGATGTGGTGGTGAACAGGGAGGACTGGGCCTCTCTCAGCTCGTCTTGATTGTCAATCTTGAGAGACATGTCGTGCGTTGGGAACGGTCGTTGCTGGAGCCTCTTTTGACGTTTTGACGTTTGCCAAAGAACAAGTTGCTCCGTCAAGTCGTCGATGGCGGATACGCCCCTCGTTTTATCCCCTCGCCGACCGACCGCGTGAGATTCGTCCCCGCTTGCGACGTTGATACACTCGGTCGCACAACAGATGTCTCATGGCAACATCCCGCGCACACTGACCGGTTGAACGCGGACAAAGCATCAATATCTTGATATCTCTCCGGGCTTCACAGGCTTCACCAATCGAGACATGCCACGTCGGTTCCTGCCACTCTACGAGAACCGTCGTTGCACAAATGGCGGGAGTGATTGCAGATGGCCGCGTCTTTCAGCAGGCATGGGCATCGGGGGAGACGGAGCAACGAGGCAAGGCTATACGTTGCGACGTTCGCTGGAGGACCCAGGCGGCGAACAAGGTCAATGAAGGCGGTAGCGTAGGCTTTTGGCTATGGTGAAACCGGATCGTGGTATAGAGCTGAGTATGGATGGTCGGGCCCTGGCCTGCTTCCAAAGACGCTCTTCCATCCGATCTGTCAAAAGCGCGGCGAAAGTCATCATCGAGGCTTCGAAAATCCATTGAGAGCATAGGATGTACGGAACACGAGAGATTCACGAAGCACAAGCCACTAGCCACGTGCATATTCTTCCCTTTATTTTCTGCCTTTGAGACCCTGTACAACTGCATCCACCACCTGAGTGACCATGGTCCGTTCCGGATCGTTATTGGGGTTGACCTCGGTGATGGTCATGGCTCGTACTTTGGGCGACCCGAGAAACACCTCGAGCGCCGCAAAGGCCTCCCCGGCGGCCAGCCCAGCGTAGTGCGGGTAGTTTGCCAGCGGGAACTCGCCCGAGTCAATGACGTCGACGTCGAAGTGCAGCACGATGAAGTCGAACCTGCTCTCCAGCCACGACAGCGCCGACTTGGCCGCCGCGACCGCATCGGCCCGCACCGTCGGCCGCGAAAGCACCTTGCACCCGTTCTCGGCCAGGTACACCCAGTGGCTTGCCGACGGCTGCAGCGGGTCGAAGGCAAAGAAGACGGCGTTTTGCGGCGTCACGAGCGCACTCCCGTCGGGTCGAGACGAACACCGCGCGGTGCTGAAGCTGGACAGGCAGCCAGGTCGGCGCATCAGGTGCGACATGGTCATGGCGTCGAGCACGCCCGTTGCATCGATACTGGCGGCCGCCTCGGCCGGCACGCTCAGGTCCACGTCGCCATCCATGTAGATCAGCCCGACGTCATGAATGGGTTGTTTCTTGCCGTGGAGGATGGTGTGAGCGGCACTTAACACCGGTTGCAGAATGGTACAGTCGCCGCCGAGGAATAGAATGAAGCGACCGTCGTCAGTGTCGAGGCAGTCGACGAGTTCGTCGTATACGTCATTCAAGACAAGCAAAGTCTTTTGCTCGTTGCGGACGCCGTCCAGCTTGGGACTCGGCTGCCACTTTGCGGCCGACGCGACCGCGGTGGCTCTGCCCAAGAGCGTCGAGGTCGCCACGACCTCGTGTCCTGACTTTAAGAGTTTCGTCTCAATGCCTGCCTCGTAAATTGCTTCGCCCGCTCTGCTTTGGCCCGGGAAGTGCGTCCCCGCCTCGGTCGCGATGGTGACAATCTGGATTTTGGTCATGTTTGATGAGTGTCAATCCACTTCCGGCTGATTGAGCACGAAGGAGATCAAAGATGGAATGACAAGACTGCACCGGCATTTATACGTTGATTTTTTATCTCTCCTGTCGTCAATTGCGCCATTGACGTAGACACTGTGGAATGTTGCCCAAGGGCGTGCACGACAGGCCTGGTGTATTGTCGGCCGACCACTGAGGCTCACGCCCTCCATCGACACACAGGAGCTAGGCCAGCAGAGATCAGCAACGCGTCAATCGCGCAGGGCGAAAATAGATGCGTTAGCCATTTTCGTGGCAAATAATACACAAAACCAAGATCATCGGCCATGATGCAGCGACGAAGTTCCGTGGCTGGTGTTGCCCACTCGGCGTACCCGACACCGACAACAATAGTAGTTTCATATGCGGCATACAGCACGTTGATTATAGTCTCACTTCTAGACTCCAGAACTGCAAGCGCTACGCTCCCTTGGTCAGCCTCTCCTCTTCGTTGTTGGAAGAAGAGATGGCCCCTTCCAGCCTATAGCCCTTGAACTTCCTCGCCGACACGCCGTGATCGAAGAGCAGGTCGAGTTCCTCGTAGGACCTGCCCATCGTCTCCGGCACTCGGAAATACGACCACACCAGGCACAAACCGGCCAATCCGCCAAAGAAGAAGCCAAGCTTTCCTTGGATGTTGGCTTCCGTGGGGTTCTCAAGGTATGGGATAGCCACGGTCATGACTAGGGATTGTCAGCAAGCTGTTGACATCGGTCAAGTCTCCGACCTAAGCACAAAGTGAGACGTACCGATTCCCAATAATGCCTGGGCTGCCGTGGCAATGGCAATGGACTTGGAGCGCACGCGTGTGGCGGAGCACTCTGAAAGGAGCACAAAGCAGATGGGACCGATGGAGATGTCGTAAAAGAAGTTCCACACCAACATCAAGATCGACTCGGCCCAGATGGCGCCAGAGGGACGGCCTGGCACACAGTCGAGGATGCCGATCAGCAGTTGCAAGAAGGTGAGCATGGCGAGGCCCCAGACAAAGAGCACTCGACGCCCGATGCGGACCATGAGTCCCCAGGACACGAGTGTTCCAACAAACCCAACCGCTATTAGCATTGATTAGCTTCGATCCGTGCTTGAGACAGAAGGAACTCATATTCCGATAATGTGAAAATCGCGTTGGCAATGCGACAAAGCCCGTAATAGAGCGGTTGTGAGATTAGAGTTGCTTGGGTTGTGGGATCGGAGCGGTAGTGGGATAGGATAAAGGAAACGTACCCAAGAAGCCCACCGCCATGTTAAAGGCCTCGTCCGTCGGCAAACCGGCCTGCTGGAAAAAGTACGTGCCGTAATTGATCAGGTAAATCCCACTCAATACCTGCGCGCAGTAGACGCCAATTGAGATCTCCGTCCGGCGAAGGTTGACCTTCTTGAAGCAGTCCATGTACGTGCTGCCCGCCTCCAGCTCTTGTTCCAGGCGATCCGTCTCGACAATAAAGGCAAGAGTCGCAGTAACATTTACTTTGCTGGAGGCTAGCCGGCGCAACGACGCCTCGGCGTCTTCCATGCGGCCCTTGCGGACAAGCCACCAGGGGCTTTCAGGGACGAAGAACATGCCCGGGATGATAACGGCGATCCAGAACCACTGCAGAGCGAAAGGAATCGAGTAGGCCCAGTGGTTCTCGAGCTTGGACGTGCCGTTGCAGACTCCGTTTCCTAGTGTCGAGCACTTGTTAGACGGTGTTGGACGTAGAGCAGAAGTGCGAGACTGCATGGCTCGCGTCATAGGAATACTGGGAACAGAGTTCCTTGCATAGCCTGAAGCCAAGAGAAAAGTGGACAAGGAATTCGTGGTGTCAAGACTCACCCAGAAGTTGCCCAGCCACAAAGCACAAGTTGACATATGCTGTTAGATGTCCTCTAACAGCTGTCGGACACACTTCCGAGGCGTACGCCGGTGCAATGACCACGAACTGACCAAGAACTAGGCCTGCCAGAAGCTCGCCTGCTAGGAGAACGCTGAGGGAGCGGGCAAAGAACTGGATAAACACGAGCCCGGCCGTGAGAACAACGCACGCGGCAAATGTGCGTTTTCGACCAAACCATTCCATGGGATACGCGGCGAACAAGGCGCCGACCACCTGCCATTCGAAGTTAGCCATGACGGCCAGATAATGAATAGCATGATGGCAAGAGGCGTACTTGGCCTATGGGGTTCCCCATTGAAAGCCCTGTCTGCCAAGAGGCATCAATGACATACTGAGGCGATATCGGGTCAGTTGCGCGGCCTGAAGAAAGAGGGGGGCGGGGTTGGGAATCGTACCTCGCCCTCAAACTCGTATCCAAAGTCCCGCTGAAACTGCGGCGTCGCATACAGATTGCCAATAAGTTGCGGGTCAAAAGCCAGCATAATAACTCCCATGCTCACGAAAGCCGACCAGCCGATGGCTTTGGGGTATAGGCGCAGGGCTTGACCGAAGGTGAGCTGGTTCTCAGCGCGGATGGCTTCGACGAGCTCCGCATCGGCAGCCAAGGCGCCGGGCTTGGCGACCGAGTCCCGGTGGGTATTTTCGGCGGCGGAAACGACATGCTTCTCGTCAGACGTCTGCGGGTAGCCGCCCGCGCGGTGCTGGTGGTCGTGGTCGTCTGTCGCCATCGTGCCGGTGTCGTGGGGACTTACACAGAGGTCAAGTGAAGCGATGCGCAACCACGACAACGATGACAGATGTCAGGGACGGGCGGCACGTGTATATAACACTAAAAGCTACCCAAAGCTGATAGTCAAGTCGCATGCCACCTGCAGACGTCAACCGAGCTTCCCCAGCTCCAGTCAGTCCCCTGGCTCCGCTCTCGCATGGCCATCACCTCGCGCCCGTGTGCAAGCCTGCACGAGCAAAAGTCCGGGGATCTACGGGCGGTACCCGAAGGATGCACGCAGAGTTGGAGACTGACATCGCGCCAGCCAGACACAGGGCGAGGGGGGCTTGCCGGCTTGTCAGGGGGGCTGCAGCCCACGCTGGGGGGGCTTCGGGGGTGCGCCGGCAAACCCCGGCAATCACCGGCGCCTGGCCCCGAACGGATTCTTGAGGGGAATTGCTATCGACCCTGCGCTCACTGGCCAAACGTGACACAACAGACCATGTGCCGCACCCGATCCCCGGTCTTCTCCACGCGCCACACGCTGGGCTATCGCCGGCCGGAGTCTGGCGTCCCGCTTGGATTGACGGCTCCTCCGCTGCCCATACCGTGTACCAGATAACGGGGGACGGGGGGGTCGCGAATCGCGCAGCGAAGCTTCCCCCCTCCCGAGATTTGGAGGATGCGGAGGCGCCAGGGTTGTGGCCTGGAGCCGGGTCGCTACGTTGCATCTGGGATGACGGCCGGACCAGGAGCATGGTGCCAGAAATCGCATTCTGGATCTTGGGACAGTTGTATCAAATCACGTGTGGTCAGACGCGGGTGGGAGGTGAATTCCGGCTGCGGGCGTCGTTTGTCTCTGCTGCTGGAAGAAGAGCCAAATCGGTCTCTGCGTACCTACTCACCGTCGAATGTGGCCACTGTTCCCCACCCCCGCATTGCCCTGTGAGCTCCAAAGCTCCTGTATGTACGTACAATTGTACATAATACCCCCATCTTGATCACACGGTTTATCCACCAATACTGGATGAGAGCCAGTTTTTCACGTCGAAGTTGCCGAAAACCAATCCCAATTCTCTGTTCGTGACCTGCCCTCATTCATGCTTCAATGAGCAGGAGATAGATACTCGTAGGAGAAGCGGTGACAATGGGACAGGCACAGGTGGCACGAGAGCCACAAGAGGCGCCAGACCAGGCGACAGCAACAAGAGGCACGACAGCAACGAGACCGACGACAGCGACGAGACCAACGAGACTCGCGGGATAGTTTCCATGCCTTCCGTAGTAGCCGTATCGATTGCCTCCTCAATGCCACATTCTGCTCAAGAATGATCTCAATCACAGTTACAAGGCTATACGAGTGTATGAGCCACAAGCCGGTGGCTTTCGCTCCAAGCGCGCGACCCAGCCATGCCCAGTACGGTTTCGCACCCACGACGACCCTAGTCCGCCAGCCGGGGAATCGTGTTCTTGAAGACCCCCTTCGGATCATACCGCTGCTTGAGGCGTCGGAGCTCCTCGAGCTTGTCTCCAAATATGTCCGCCACATTTAGGCACTCGGGCGACGTGGTCGCAATGTACGTGCTCTTCACCGCGTCCGGGAGCCCCATCAGCTCATTGCGCGTCTCCAGCGCCCATGCCATGGCGGCCTCTGCCGCTTCGTCGTCCGGCCCTGTGCCCAGGATCTCAAAGGTGATGTGCGGCTTGCGATAGGGACAGACCGACTCGGGGACGTCGGGTCCGCAAGAGGGACAGTCGGAACGCATCTGCTGTACGATGATGCCGCCGTTGGACGTGCTCGGCTTTTTGCCCATGCCGCGCGCCAGGCAGCCAACGACATCTGGGGAAAAGTGCGTCACGCTGGCGGTTTGGCTGCGCCCTTGGAGCTGCTTCGGAAACATGTCCATCAGTCGCCGCGCAAACTCGAGGGCCGATGTCGTGGCGACCGCAACGTCTGGAGGCGGCGTTCCTGGCATGAGGGGCGCAAGGCTCGCGATGCGTTCAGTCAGGGCCTGGGACTCGTCACTCGCGGGGCCGTTGTAGACCACGAAACAGCAAAGCGTGGTGCTCATGCCAGGCGGAGTGATGACAACCGGCATCGTGTAAAATTTGCGCGGCAGGGTGCTTCCTTGGACGAAAAGCTCGGCGTATTTGGGCAAGAAGGTGGTGAGCGTCTTTTCAATGTCACTCGACTCAAACATCAACATGCCGGCTTGTATCTGTATACGGGTCAGTCGAGTGCGAAACAGTACCGTATGTCAAGCGCACATTCTCGAAAGGATACACCTTGACTGTCAGCTCAACCACGACTCCGAGATTGCTTCCGCCGCCTCGCAGCCCTTTGAGCATGTCCGCATCGGCGTCCACCACCGTACCATCGGCAGTGACCACACGCGCTCCTACGATTTGGTCTGTTCCGATTCCATACGAATGCATATAGGGCCCAAAGCCAGCGACGAGGCACCAGCCGGCGTAGCCAACCATGCCGCACGTCCCGACGGGCGCCTGCAGCCCTTGGGGGGCCAGCGCGGTCAAGACTTGGACAGACGTTGCGCCGCCGCCGATCCGGGCCGTTTGCCTGTCCTGAGAGACGGCGACGGAAGAGAGCTTGCGGAGATCAATCGTGACGCCATTAGCGACGGTCGAGCGCCCAAAGGCATCGTGACCGCCGCCGCGAACCACGAATTCGACACGATTGGCGACGCAGGCCGACACTATAGCAGCGACATGCTGCTCCGTCTCTGGGGTGGTGATGAGGCTTGGCTTGCCGTCGAGGTGATTGCCGCTGAAATTGGAGAGGAGTGCATCGAAGTCCGCCGATGTTGGCGTCGAGTACGGGATGCCGGCCTGGCAGAAAAGGGCTTCAATTTCCGTCATTGTCGCAGCTAGTTTGTGCGATGCCGATGCACGACTATGGACACAACGTAGGTACGCATTGAAGGTTTTATTCTTCTTGCGCCGCCGTCGCAGGCGGACGTGTCCATCCGATTCCCGAGTGAGATTCCCCGCCCGAGGCTGAGACGAAGGTGATGGATGAGGCGCCAAACCTCTGCGCAGCAATTGGGTGATTGTCCCTCGTGCATTCTGTGAAAGGGAATGAGTTGGTTGCATTCAGCTCGTCGTCGGCTGAGACACGGAGCGTCGAGGCGTCGAGTCGTCAAATCACATATCCCGCGGGTGCCGACATCTTCAACGCCGTCCTGTGGGAGCGAAGCCTGCGATGCAGGTGGCACCGCAAACACCAGGGACTTGACTTGACCATCGGTGAGGTGTTCACGCCAGTCGAGGTGCAATGGCGGGGCAAACGGGCAAATTGATGCATCGGCGTTGTTCATTTGCAAACATGTCGATGGCCATTGGTACCAATCGACTTTTTGTTTCGATCCGATAGAATCGAATGGACCCGGTCATTGCAGGACCCGCACAGGCGATTGAGCGATTCGAAGCTTCGGCATACAATTGTGTGCGCGCCATGCATTCATTCATTCAGTCAATAGCCGGCTGCCCTCGTCTTGGCAAACGACTCCATCTGATAGAGAAGGGTTTTCCGTTTGCGAAGCCAGTCTCGGCTCGGATTCAAAGCTGCGAATCACAAGCACCACTGAGGCCCCATGCTGGTCGCATCCTTGGAGTTGGCAGAGCCTCGCCCATGGCACGCCCAAGTCTCTTTGTTGGTGGCACCCTCTCCAGACCGTGCCCGCTCCAGCCACTGTCGATCCCATCTGCCACTCGCCCACCAATCACCCCGTCCCGTATTCCTCGCGATGAGCCTTGAGGAGCAGTCCCGCCAGGCTTCGCCCCTCACGTGGCCCTGGGCACTCGGCGCCCGAATGGGGCAAGATACAACGAGCGTGCAAGGTGCCTGCGCGTGCTGGCCGATGCACTGCCCGCGCCCGGCTGTCTTGTCTTGTCTCGATGCGTGGCGCAAGCGCCCGGGCCCTGTCGACCGAGCAAACCGAGGGGGAAAGGCGGGCCCGGCGACGTAATACTGGGGCTCGCATTCATCGTTTGGCACCTTTTACAGCATCATGTCGCGAGAGACGGTGACGCACCCCCCCAAACATTGAGCCGCCGCCCGGCACGCGTCCATGCTGCTGGATACAAGCCGTCCCGGGTGCTAGTAGCTACGATGGTATATATATATAGGAGCGTACGAGTGATGCGTGTTGCATACATTGTGTCTTGTCGTCGACTTTGTGATTGAACCTGCACAGGCGGCACCAGCCAAAATGCATCTCGAACAGCTCGTCCTGTCCATCCCGTGCCTCCTGGGCTCGGCCTCTGCAAGCTGCCCCGGCACCAACAGCTGCAAGGCGGCTCCCGGCTCACGGGCCTGGCCCTCCCCCGGCGCCTGGAACGCGCTCAACTCCACCGTCGGGGGCCGCCTGCTCGCCCCGGCCCCACCCGGCGCCGTGTGCCACCCGGACCAGCCGACGTACAACCCGGAGCAGTGCCCCGCGACGCAAAGGGGCTGGAGCAGCTACGACTGGCACGCCGCCGACCCGGTGTCCATGATGATGGACCAGTTTGCCAACGACACTTGCCTGCCAAACGCCCAATACCCCTGCAGCGGGAAGGGGTACCCTACCTACGTCGTTAATGCGACGACGGCGTCGCATGTAAAGGCTGCCGTGGACTTTGGTGCGTTTTGCATTCATAGGGGAGCAGTTCCGGCTCTCGGTCTTGGCTAACTGATACAACACGAAGCCCGGAAGCACACTGTTCGACTTGTCGTCAAGTCCTCCGGCCACGACTATCTCGGCCGCTCCAATGCCCCCGGCTCTCTGTCCATCTGGGTCCACCACATGAACAGCATCGAGTTCCACGAGGGCAGTTTCACACTCGCCGGCTCGGGCAAGGTGCTCAAGGGCAGCGCCGTCACTGTCGGCGGGGGCACAGAGATGTACGACATCTACACCGCCGCCGACGCGCACAACCAAACCGTCGTTGGCGGCGGCGCAAAGAGCGTCTCGGTCGGTGGATACATCTCCGGCGGCGGGCACTCGACGCTTGCGCCGCGTTACGGTCTCGCCGCGGACAATGTCATTCAGGTCGAGGTCGTCACGCCGCAGGGGCAGATTCTCGTAGCGAACGAGGACCAACACAGCGACCTTTTCTGGGCGCTCAGAGGTGTAAGTCGCCTTTTTTTATTGGGCCCAAGGTGCCCCAAGTGAGATGCTGCTGATTCTGACATTGTGCTTGCAGGGTGGCGGCAGCACTTTTGGCGTCATGACCAAGGTCACCATGTGGACGCACCCGACGCCCAAAATCACCTCCCTGTCCTGGATGGGCATCACGGACCCAAAAAGCCCTTTCCTCCTTGACCTCATAGCGTACCTGTCTTCGCAGATTCCGTACTTGATGGACAAGGGCGGCCTGTCCGGCTACAATTACGCCAGCCTCGGCATGAAGAATCCGGTTCCGGCGCCGGGAGCACCAACGGATATCGCCGGCGTCATGGGCTTCGGCTTCGTGCAGGACAAGGGCCCTGGCTTCCTGCAAGACATCTTCAAGCCCATCAACGACACCATCAAGCAGCGCTGGCCCGGTCAGGCGTTCCTGTTCCTCATCTCGGAGGAGTTCCCCACGTTCCGCGCCTGGTTTGACAAGAACTGCGACCAGGCCTTTGCGGGGAACAGCTCCTACATCGTCTCTAGGCTGGTGGACGGCAAGACGTTGAAGGGCGATCCAAAGGCGCTCGGCAAGGCGATCCAGGCGGCGAGCCTTCCGAGCGGTGGCATGTCGCTCTTCATGGTCGGCGGAAAGGGCGTGCAAAACGCAAAGCCTCGAGGGGGCAACTCTGTCAATCCAGCCTGGCGAAACACCTACGTCCACGCCTGTAAGTCGTTTGTGCCGCTTCGTCCGGGACATTGACTTTCTCTCTGACCGCGGCGCATGTGCCTAGTGTCCGCAACCGGCTTCCCGCCCTTCAACAAGACGGCGGAGCAGGAAACCATCAAGCTCCTCGACTCATCGATGGAGCCACTGCGCGCTCTCACGCCAAAGGCAGGCGCCTATCTAAACGAGGTACGTTGAGCCGCACCGAAAAGCGACGACGCAGTGGATAGATATGCTGACGCGACACTTCGGCATGGCGCAGGCGCTGCCGTTTGAGAAGGACTGGCAGCACACGTTCTGGGGCAGCAACTACGAGCGCCTGCTCAAGATCAAGAGGGCGGTGGATCCGACCGACGTTTTCTGGTGCGCGCCATGTGTGGGCAATGAGCGCTGGGTTGAAACGGGGGATGGACGGCTCTGTAGGAAGAGGTAGGCTGTGGCTTCGCCGTTGGCGCCATCCGGGGGTGGCTTGGGGTTTGGCAACAGCACGAGGAGTGCGTCGTGATTTGGCCAACACGAAGCGAAACCACCTTGGCATGAAGCACGCCGCAAAACGGCGAGTCCCTTTATGATACATACGCAAGAGCTCGTTCGTTGGCCCTGTAAAGCTGCGTGCATGGATGCACTGCAAGATGCCTCTTTCGCGGTCGTTTCGTTTTGACGTTGGGACAATGGTCGACTGCCCAGCAGCGGAATCATCAAGCGTGGCATAGTGATCGCGCCTCCGATGTGGCAGTGTTCATGTTGGCGGTGGTATTAAACGATGCGAAGCATTGGAAAAGTCAGGCCTGCCAGAGGCGAGAAGCAGGGAACGCACGGAGGACGGGCATGTTAAGCGTCGATGATTACATCTACATTTGTTTTTTGTTTTGTTTTTTTGTTCTTATATCTGCAATCTACTCCTCAGTGGCCCAGAAGTCATCCTCCACCTCCCAGTCGTCACCAAAGTTGGGGTCCTTGAACGCATCGCGCTGCCGGGTTCGCTCCTTCTGAAGCGCAAGGTGCGTCTGGCGCGCCTCCTCCTCCGCTTCATCCTCTTCACACCTGGCACGCACTTGCTCGAGGACTTGGGCGATTTCTTTGTCGGCCTCCTCGTTGTCCCACAGCTCGGCACCGGTCGCGAGCGACCTACGGTACAAGTCCTCGACAGGCTTGTCGGAGACCCACTCGGTGAGCGTCTGGACGAGGTACCTTCCTATGTCCCTCAAGAAATATGCCCGGTGCTCCTTACCCTCTGTCGAAATCGCCATCTTGGCGATGATGGACAATGCATGACCAAGTTTGATCGTGTTGTCCGCGTAGTAGCGGAACCCCGTCGGGTCCGAGGGCTTCAAGAGCACCCAGGCAAGCCGATTGAATGAGTGATGATAGTAGGCCCGCATGCACTCGAAAACAATGACCTCCTCGATGCCGTCGCCGAATCCCGTCTGCAGGTCGAGCTCGGCGGCCAGTTGGCTTGCGAGCTTTGCGACGCAATGCAGCTCCTGGTGATCGTGGAACGAATCAATGGCCTTGATGGCATGCCAAGTTACTGGCTTCGTCTGTCCGAGCCGATGGAGCAGATAATGCACCTGCCGCATGAGGTTGGCGTTTTGCGCGAACGATACCGTAATGCCCAGGTGGCAGCATGTGTGGAGGTTGACGCCGGTCGAAAGCATGCTCATATTGGCAATGAAAACCTGCGAGCCGCTGTCCGGGTCATTGAACTCCCTGACCTGCTTTAACGTGTCGTGTGCGCGATCCTTGGCACGGCATGTATTGACTCGGAGGCTAAGGAGGTCGTCGCACACCGTGATCAGGAGCCTGCGGCCGTAGTGTTAGCACATCGTTACACACTGTTTCGTTGAGACCGCAGGGAAAGGCGGCGCGGCGAACTCACTCCTGCAAAAAGTCCGTTTCAACGACAATCAGGACTCGCTCGTTGCGGTCAAGGACATGGCGGACAATGAGGCGACATGCTCGCGCCATAACGGGACTGCTCGAGAGCATCGATTCGAGCAATATCGCGTTGTCCATGAATGGAGGATAACTAAAATCGAACTTGGCGATGTTGACGTAGTAGCTGGCAAATCCACATGGGGCGTTCTCAACTAGCTTTCGAATGTCTTCGAGGTTGTCAGGGTCCGTGACTGGCGGAGATTCGTCGTTGTTGTCCAAACGCTCGCCAGTGTGCGTATGGGAGGGCATCGTGGCGACGCCAGCGCGCAACTGCCGAAGAAACCGCGCTGACTCCTCAAGATTGGGGCCGAACACGTCGAGGCAAGAATCCTGCTGGATAATGAGCTGCAGCGCTCGGTAATCATGCGCGACGTATTGGCCAATGCGATGGGCCGCCAAGCTGAGGCTGCCGCTGCCGCCACATGACAAGAAGCTCTCGGCCATGACACTGCCCTGGGTGCGCACTACCTTGCGCATTCCAGGGACCCTTTCCTTGGAAAATGCTACCTCCTCCGTCAACACGCTCATGGGAGGCAACTGCCGAGCAGGGTATACCGTCTTGCCCGCGGGCAGGGTGATTGGTGTGTTGAATGTCCGCCGCAGAGACAGCATATCCAGAAGTGGTCGTATGACGTTGGCTCCGACCTGGAAACCCCAACCTCGTGCCTCTCCAACCTCGTTGATCAGGTAAGTATTGATCATCCAGGCCCGGACACCATGCTCGTCCCACAGCCGCTTGCAAACATGTCCATCGATTTCGCCCATAAAGGGGGACTTGGGATGGAGCAGCCCACCACAGCGAAGGTCGTCAATGTCGTTGGTGAGTGCGGTAGGGTCGTAGGCCGGGTGAAAGAGGAGCTGCAAGTCACCGAGTCCTAGCGTGTGCCAGTCTGATACTGTAAAGCCCAGTTTTTGGCTCATCAGGTAGGTTGGGCTCAGTATTTCCCGCAGGCTCCTCGTGAGGACCATTCCGGTAACCCAGAGCAACTTTTCCCAGTTGAAGAGCCTCAGCGTGTTGTTGAATGCGCCATTCAACTGGCACGCCACGTGGGCCTCGTCGACGATGAGGAATTCGAACTGGTGGTTATTTAATCCTGGGTTGCGCAGGCTGTACTTGGTCGAAATGCCGTCCGACTCAGGGACGTCTCCTGCTTCCACAAACATCACCGAATGCCATGGATATGTGCCGCTGAGCGCTCGGGGCAAGGATTCGCTTCTTGGGTTGGATACGCGAGGTGTGTTCTGGCATCGCCACAACACCTCTTGATCCGTTTCATAGCGAAGGGCGACGGCTCTCTCGTCGGCGTCATCCTCGCTTGTGGCATCATGTCCCTGCGGCCGACATGCTTGAGGTTGCACCTTTTGGCGAAAGACAAACGGCGATTCAGAAACCGAAACTTCCGTCAATTGCAGAGTCTGGTAGGTCGTGAGAATGACCGTTCTGCCAGTCTTGGGGTCCGCGGGGTCCACCTTCTCCAAAATGGAACTCAGGTTTCCGACGTGACGCGTGTTCTGAGCAGAGCCACTCGGGCCAGAATCGCAGTAGTACACAAAGAGAGTGATGTCCGGGAAGTGTGTCGACTCCTGCGCTGTCTGCTCGATCTTCGGAACAGTGCTGATGATGAGGGAAGGCTTGAACGCCACAGTGCTGTCGTAGGTGCGCTTTTTCTCCAAAAGGCGGGTGTGCAGGACGACAAGAGCGTAGAGCTCCCGAGTCTTGCCGAGGCCACTGTCATTGCTCAGCATGATACTGAGGCCTGCTTCGACGCGGTGCATGAGGATGTCCAGGTCCGCAACTTGGTGTGGCGTGAGTGGTTGCACGCCCTGGTTCGGGTACAGGGACAAGTGCCGCGGGTCAAGGCCGTACTTGGCGCACACTTCTTCCCATCCGACGTCTGGCGGTGGCGGTGTCGCTGCCGACGCCATGTCCAGCTTCATCGTTTGCATGACCAGGTCATCGATGCCATGGAAGTCCTCAGGATGCGCATTCGCATAGGCGCTGGCGCCACGGCCATTGCGAAGGGTCGTCATCAAGGCGTGCAGGGCGGCGCCGCGGCCGCCGAACTTCAGTTCCTCGACAAAGTCTTCGGCTGCTGCCCAGGTCTCGTCGTTGCCATGATCGACAGGCCCCTGTTTGTGATAGCAGTCGATAATTTGTGCTATCGTATAGGGCGTGAGGGGAAACTCGTCGTCGACGTCGAATGTCCACGGGAGGCCCGTCGCGCGCCTTGAGCCGTCTAGCCGGCGTCGCCGCTTCACCATGTATATCGAATGACCCATCATGGCGTGGAGGTCAAGAGTAGACTGGGTCCTCTCCAGGGTCTCCAAGGGCACTGAAACAGGGACGGCGTTGGCGCCTAACAGAGATGGTGGCCAATTTGCCGACTTGTCCCGTTGGCGCCGCCGTTCCTGGATTGTAAAGGTGGCATACTCGGCAATGCCCCTCTGGTCGAACTTCACGGATTGTCGTGTTGTGGGCTCAGCTTCATCGCCCAGGTCGGCGGGGGACCATGACGTCGGAAAAGCAGTCCCCGCTATCGACGGGGGCCGATCGCCAGGCATGCTGGGAGTTGGATGCGTGAGCCAGGATTCAGCGTCGGAAGAGGGGAGGAGGTAGGTGGGGAAGGGGGGGTTTCCTTACATGCCGGCAAGTTGCGAGCAGAGTCGAGGTGCAGATCACGACACGCCTGACGACCTGGAGGGGGGAGGGAGGAGAATGAGGGCAGGTTTCCAGCGAGGGCGAGGGAGAGAGAAAGGGCAGATTTGGATGACGAACGCGCGCCGGCGAGGCAGCCTGTTTCTGCGTTTGGATTATGTAACGCTGTTCTGAGTGAATAGGGTTGGGACGAAAGGATGTCGGCATCGGCGGAGCAGTGAATGTTGCCGGGCCAGTCTGGCGCCCAGCCGGTGGTGGCTGCTGAGCCGCACGACCCGGAGCCGCAGCGAGAGAAGCCCGCCTGCTCTCCATGCTGCGGGCTTCCCCTGCCTACCTGGCGAGCTTGCGAGGCGGAGTTTTGCTTGCAGGATGCTGAGAAGCGGATGCCAGCGTAATGGTGTTGGTGTTGGAAGGCGGCTGCAGGCGAGGCCAGGAGCAAACCGACCGGCAGGGGCAAACAACAACAAAAAAATGAAGAAAAAAAAACGAAGTGAAAAACGGCGGATCAAAATGGCAAAACTCGAAGCGAGACTCTGCTCCTCTTCAAGAAAATACCTTACGACGGATCGCCCCGAGGGGGTCACCGCGCGCAAAGTACTTTTTTCTCTCCTGCCAGGCCGCTTGGGACGACACAGCGGCTCGAAGACCGAAAAGGTTGCCAGGCCGATTCTAGCAGAACCGCGAATCGAACAGTTGGCCCTAGCGGGGGAGGGTTTGGGGGCCAGCTCCGTACCACTAGACTATTCGAGCCCACTCACGGCTGCTTTGGTGACAGGAGAAGCATTATGTTTACTTAAGTAGTGTTTGCGCGTTGGATGCTGGGGGGGGGGGGAGACGTGCGCGCCAGGGCGGCGCATACAGACTGTGCGGTACTGGCCTGGGAGGGACGTCGTCGTCGTCTTATACGTTCAGTCGCGCGACTGCCTAATCGGGCTGGGACCCGCTTTTTAAATTGCAGAAGAGGCACGTCCCGGGACTCACGTGATGGCGGGGCCAGTTGCCTCCTGGCCCCTCAAGCCCCTCCCCGCCTCCAGCTGGCCCAGCAAGTGCAGCAGTCCAGCTCCTGCCTCGTCCGTTGGTACGCAGTATTACATACTACAGTAAGAGAAGGTGTGCTGCCCCGCACTTGCCCAGGCAGTTACATCACCAGCCGCGTCGTCGGCCAGGCCAGGCCAGGCCAGGCCCCCGTCGAAGCCTGCCAGGAGGCGTCCACGTTGGACCAGGGCGGCGCACGATTGCCTGACCCGTCCATCCAGCTCGTCGCTAGGCTGCCGCCCGGGCTGAGCCATCGACACTCAAGCAGCCCCGGCATTTCGAGCGCCGCGCGTGGCTCCTGGCGAATCGACGACGGGCCCAAGATGCGCTAGGCGGCCTCCCGAGTCCCGACCCGGCTCCTGGGGCGCGCTCCACCAGGCAGACAGGCCAGGCAGGCGACGGCCGAACCTTCCAAGTTGGCTTGGACGCAAGTATAACTGCAAGGTCGAGCTCCCTGCCCTCCGCCCACCTGTCACCATCGTCTTCCTCAACATATCCAGTTCCTGATCAAGCTTCACATCGCCGTTGGCCAAACAAGACACCGGCCCCCAAGTGCATACGTATAAAGCGTCGCGGCTCGCCGCCACATCCAACCAAACTCTCAGCCCTACGTCACACCCCCATCGTCACGTCACACATCACCGGCATCATGAGACGACCCGACTACTACTCCAAGCTCCCCCTCTGCGGCTGCTTCGTCATCGTCCAGAGCCAGCGCAAATGGCTCCCTCTCATCAACCTCGACGCCCATGCCACCATTGTATCATCCACCTCACGCACCGTCCTCAAACAGACCTTCACCAACCCGGACGCCAAGTCTGCGCTCAAGGAAGTTCACTACGACTTTCCTCTCTACGATGGCGTCTCAGTAGTTGGCTTCCGGTGCACCGTGGGCGACCGCGTCATCACGGGCGTCGTCAAGGAGAGGCAGGCCGCCAAAAAGACGTACGACGATGCCGCGAGCAAGGGTGACACGGCCGCCCTCCTGCAGCAGAACCTCCGAGCCGCCGACGTCTTTACCACGACGCTCGGCAACGTCCCCGCCGGCGCCAAAGTCACCGTCGAAATCACCCATCTCGGCGAGCTCGAGCACGACGCCGAGACGGACGGCGTGCGCCTCACCATCCCGACCAGCATCGCGCCGCGCTACGATGCCGGCAAGACGGTGGGCAGCTTCGACAGCGTCAAGGCCGGCGGCGGCACCATCAGCATCACCGTCGACTGCGAAATGGCCGACGGCTGCTCCGTCACCAGTGTCCAGTCGCCGACACATCCCATCTCCGTCCGCATCGGCCATACCTCCGCCTCTGCGTCCAGCGCAGCAAGCGAGCCTGCCTCCTTGCATCGTGCCTCGGCCACCCTCTCCCTAGGGTCAGCGCATCTCGACAAGGATATCGTCGTGCAGGTCGTCGCCGACGGCCTCGGCAACCCGACCGCCCTGCTCGAGACGCACCCGACCCTCCCCCACCGCCGGGCCATCATGACGACCCTCGTCCCGCGCTTCAACCTCCCCGCCGACAAACCCGAGGTCGTCTTTGTGTGCGACCGCAGCGGCAGCATGGGCGTCGGCCAAAAGATGCCCAACCTTGTCGCCGCCTTGCAGCTCTTCCTCAAGTCGCTGCCCGTCGGCGCACGCTTCAACGTCTGTAGCTTCGGCTCGCGTTGCACCTTTTTATGGGCCAAGTCCCGCCTCTACGACAGCCAGGAGACGCTCGATGCCGCAGTCGACCACGTCAAGGGATTCTCGTCCAACTACGGCGGCACCGAAATGTACACGCCCCTGGACGAGACCTTTAAGCGCCGTTACAAGGACATGAACCTCGAGGTCTTTCTGCTGACCGACGGTGAGATTTGGGAGCACGACCGGCTCTTCAGCCTCATCAACGACAACGTGCAGGAGAGCAAGGGCGCCATCCGCGTCTTCACGCTCGGCGTCGGGGAGGAGGCGAGCTCGGCGCTCATCAACGGCGTGGCGCGCGCCGGCAATGGCTTCGCCCAGCGGGTCGCCGAGGACGAAAAGATGGACAAGAAGATCATTCGCATGCTCAAGGGCGCCCTGACACCCCACGTCAGCGACTACGCGCTCGAGGTCAAGTACGGCGACGGCGGCGACGAGGACTTTGAGGTCGTCGAAAAGGTCATGGATGCGCTGTCTCTCGATGTCGGCGCCGCCGACTCAGCAGGCAAGCCGGCCAGCGATGAGCCCATCTCGCTCTTCAACACGGACACCAAGAATGAGGACATGGAGATGCCTGATGCAAAGGCCGGCATCGACGCCAAATTCGACGGCCTGCCTCCCGTGCCGCGCCCCCGATACCTGCAGGCACCATTCAAGATCCCCGCGCTCTTCCCGTTCAACCGCACCACCGCATACGTCATGTTGTCGGGCGAGACAAGCCACCGTGGTGAGCCGACGTCGGTCATTCTCACCGGCACGTCTGCACGGGGCCCGCTGCGACTGGAGATTCCCGTGACGCGGCTTGCGGAGAAGGGATCTACGATTCACCAGCTTGCGGCGCGCAAGGCCATCCAGGAGCTCGAAGAGGGCCGGGGCTGGATCACACATGCCAAGGACACCAAGGGAAACTTGCTCAAGAAGGAGTACGAGGGCCAGTTTGAGAGCATGGTGCAGCGCGAGGCGGTCGGCCTCGGCGTCGAGTTCCAAGTGGGCGGCAAGTGGTGCTCCTTTGTTGCCGTACAAGAGGACAAACAGGGCGAGAGGGCAGGCGAGACGGGCGCGGAGGAGCTGGGCGAATTCGAGATTGTGCACCCTCCAGAGCCGATCAAGCCCATGATGTTTGGCGCGGCAGCCCCGCGTCGGCGCATGATGGCCATGCCCGCAGCCGCTTCGGCATTCGCGGCTCCCCCGCCGCCGGCTCCGTCGGGTGCAATGTCGGCCACGTCGTTTGGCATGAACGCACCGGGCGGGTTCGGAAGCCTGCAGTCTGTTCACAGCCACAGCCACAGCATGGGCCGATCCGCGAGCCGCAGCTCCCCTCCCTCGAGCTTGGACACCGCATCCTTCGACGCCGAGTTTTCCGCCAGCGCCAGGGACCAAGGGCCGCAGGAAGCCGCGTTTGGTGCCCCGGAAGGGCTGGACATGTTCCGCAGCGCGTTGGACGGCGGCGGCGCCAAGGGCAAGAGGAGCAGCGGCCAGGGCAGCCCGCTCGACGCGCTGGCCGCGCTGCAGACGTTTGTGGGGAGCTGGTCCTGGGGCCCGCAGCTGGAGCAGGTCCTTGGCCTGACGCAGCGGGAAGCCGCCGGCAAGGTGCCCGGCCTGCAGGGCGATGTCCTGGCGACGCTGTGTGCCGTGTCGTACCTGAGGAGGAGGCTGGCAGGCGACAAGGACGCCTGGGAGCTCATGGTGGACAAGGCGGAGAGCTGGCTCGAGGACCAGACGGGGGAGGACAAGCAGGCGCTGGCCAAGAGGGTAGGCGACGCTGCACTCTTTGTTTAGATAAGTAGAGGATTATTACGAGGCTACGAATCTCGATCCATGAGCTATCTCAAGTGCGCTCGCCCGAGTCTATGGTCGTCGGCCTCGATGCTGGTTAACCTCGATGCTCGTTCTATTCGTACCATTCGTTCCATTCGATCCATTCGATCCATTCGATCCATTCGATCCATTCGATCCTTTCGATCTATTCGATCCATTCGATCTATTCGTTCCTTTCGATCCATTCGTTCCTTTCGTTCCTTTCGTTCCTTTCGTTCCTTTCGTTCCTTTCGTTCCTTTCGTTCCTTTCGTTCCTTTCGTTCCTTTCGTTCCTTTCG